GGAATGAAAGTACAGCTCAGGCAGTTCTCTTAGGTTCACATATTTGTGAGTTACTTAGAAAATTCACACAAAGTTCTCATGCAGAAGTTGAGGTAATACAAGTCCTATTTAAATTCTCTATCTTGGCCTAAATGGTGGGTTCTGATCAGCATCCAGAAAAATGGGCACAAAGTGTATTTTGTGGTGACATTGTGCTTCTGTACATGTGTGAGGGCAGCTGTTGTTCGTGTCCACTTCCAGCCACGCCTGGGCTCTGGTCAGCTTGAGTGCTGACACAGATCAACCACTCAGTCTGGGAGTTCGGTGCTTTCATCCAACTCTGTAGTCAGTTTGTTTTTTTCTTTTTTGGGGTACCAGGGATCAAACTTGGGTCCTTGCGCTTGCACAGCAGGTGATGAAACCACTGAGCTAAATCCCTGGTCCCTGTAGTCAGTTTTGAGGGAGAAGAAAAAAAACCAACCCAAAATAGAGAGTGGATGGGAAGTTTGGAAAAGGGATGGAAACCAGAAGTGAGTTACAAGTACCTATCGCAAAAGAGACCCAGAAGAATCTTCCTTCAGAATGGGAAAAGAATAAAAGGACTTACACTGACAATGTCCCTGTGAATCATTAACTAGATTTTCTAACCTAGATGGGCAAGTTAGGGCCTTCAAAACCTACTCTGAGCTTACTCTTTCTCCAAGAAGTGGAGGGTCAATAATACAGGCCCATAGCAAATGAACACTAAGGACACATCAGCCACTGTGGCATTTCTTGATCAAAGGAATGACAAAGAGATCACCACACATCTGACACAGTGACATCCATTTGAGCAAGTGCTACCGGCTCTTCCTGATAAGAAAATCGTCTTCCAGGGTGAACTTTCACAATGCCACGCAAGAAGTACTGACACAGCTGGTCTGATCCCAAACCAGGTCTTCCTCTAAAGTCACACATGCAACCATTCCTTCATATTCCCTCAATGAAACATTTCAAGGACTTGCCAAGTGGACATTTCCAGTGAGCAAGTCTGTTGAATCTACTGAATTTCTACAAACATCACTGTCAAACATCTGTCTACCATCCATAACAGTGGTCCCCAATATAGATAAAGCATTGCTTGCTTACTCACTGCTTGCATCCTGCTATGTGGCTCAGTTTCTAAAACACCTACAGTGTATTCTTATGCATAATTTACATACCATGGAGCTAACTGAAAGCAAGAAAATACTTTCATTTTTTCTAGAAGCTCCAAGTAGAACCAAACAGGAATGTTTTGATTTGAATGGAGGAATTAGGAATGACATTTTTTTTTCAGATTTAAAATTTTTTTTCTTAAAATGTTCTACTGTTACAGTGAGATGAAGTTGTAGTGCATATATACCAGTGTGGTTTATTCTAAGATTGTAATCCTAGTTTTCATTACATGAGATATAGAAACCTCAACTGAAGGAAGGAGAGTGGATTTTAAACAGAAGCTGTGACTGAAGGTAACAACTTTCAATTTCTTTTCTTTTATGCATAATAATAACAAGCAGGTCTTTATTTCACTATTCAAGAGAATCTTGGAGGGGTTTTGGTTATTAAGTATATATTTTGTTGTCTTTATTGCTTTATTCTTATGCCTACCTACTTACCCATACCCAGACTCTTTATGCTGACATAAATTGAATGACTCTATAAGCAGCCTAATTTCATATTCAAGTCTGATCCAATGTGCTTCTCTATAAATTGTACCTCTTTATGACTAATACAAGTGTTTTCTGAGTTTTGCATAAACTTTCTTTGGTCTGGAGGGACCCTCTACCCACTTTTAAATATATTTCTCTAAAAGGACATATGAATCATTGAAGTTCATTTTTAAAGATGTGGTTTTTACAGAAAATACTTAAACATGAGAAGACAGTGTATATTCTGTTTCTTTGATCTGTTTCCTCAAAGCCCAGGCAATGCAAGCCTAGAGATCCCCTTAGTAGAAAGCACAATCCATTAAACAAACAAGTAGGGCAATGGTCACATACACACTCCCACTTTGGAAAAATAATTTTGACTCTGTTTTCTTTGAAAAATATCAAGTATAATTGGTATTTTAATTTTAGAAGATCTTGTTAAGCAATCAGGCAGATAAAACAGGTCCAGCTAGCTTCCTATTCCATGCTAGATAATATTTAAATAAAACTTCAATTTCTAAACTCTTTCTATAGTTTTTACTGCAAAAAAAATTATAGTGGCATTAAAGGGATTTTTTTTAAAAAAACAATGCTAGTCAAACACTCCAAAACTACTGATTTCAATTTTGCATATTCCTACCTTATCTTTATGTACCTAATATATTTATTCATTTTCCAATTATCTAATTATAAAAGAGAAGAAAACAAAACAACCCAGGGCTAAATGCTGTTCCCACAGACGGGTATTTTGTGACACTGATGGCGTTAGGGGAAAGAACCAAAATAGTCAAGTCCTGTGGTCTTGCTGAGCTGCCAATGCCCGGTTTCCATGTTAGCATCTACCCCAAGTCCCTAAATTCCTGTTTTTCATTTATTAGTGACCCCTGATTTCCCCCACTGCATAACCCTAACAATAAGAGGGCAGGGGCAGATTGCTTAGTACAGTGCTGGGAGAATAACACATTCAGTTACCAAGGAAAACCAAAAGAAACGGGAACTGGCGTCCTTCTGCTGGCTCCAAGTCTATCTCATTCCCTTAATTATCCCTCATTCTCCCAAGAGCACAGATTTGTGATAAAGAACAAATCACTGTTGCCACATTTAACACTTGTACATTTTATTGAATTAAATCAGCCATTGTACAACATTGCAGCTATGTATTGTTAGTGTTGTATTTTTTTCCGTTAACTAATACATGCCCTCATAGATATATTCAATTAGCGTTATCACCATGGGAACAAAATGCTGATTCATCAACTGAAAATTCACTTCTTCTCACATATTCAAGTTTTTCTGATAACACAGCAAAAATCAAAAATCAAAGGAAGGTGAATAACAATTATGTTGTTACACAGACATCATCTGCACTGCAAATTACACACGGAAATGCTTGTCGGGTTCCAGGTGGAGGCTGAGACAGAGGGCCTTGGTGAGTGCCACAAAGGTCCACGGGGGCCTCTCTCTTTTCAGTGCCAAAGAACGCTCTATTCCCATCCAGCTGCCAGAAGTGCTAGCGTTGGAGGGTTAGGAGATTTGGCTTAGGGGAAACCGGCCCCCCCCACCAGAACATTTTTTTCTCTTGGCAAAGTTACTTTAAATAATGAAGTGCCATGGTTTGTCACATTGGCTGTTGACATTCGGAGCAATGAGTCATTTTTGCACAAGAAAAGACCAGATAGAATTGGAAAAAGTTCAATCCCTGGAGGATAGACTTTTAAAAAAATTTCATCTTCATTGAATATACTTTTAACAAATAACTGGTTCAAAATGTATACTGTTTACATGAATATATTTATGAATATATATAATATATGTTAAAATGCTACACAGCTTCAACCACTAGAGGAATAAGAAATAGGACATGGAAATCACTTCAGATTGTTCCAGTCCCTTCTTTGAAACAAACAGAGAAGTGGACAAATGCACTTAAGAGTTTCCAAGGGAGTTGGATTTCAAATAAATAAACCAAAAATTTTAACCAAAAACCAAACTTTCAAAGGATTTCTCAACCTTGTCTGCAAGCTGAAAAACAGATCTAGCTGGAAAGTGAAGTTTTCACTCAGGGCAAAAAGAATGAAAACCATTGCTGTGATGAGAAGAGGAGTTTGGGCTGTGGGTTTGATTCTTAAATGCCACGTGCAGGTATTCGAGAAGATATAAAGCTGGGGGGCGGGGATAAAAAGAAACCACTCCGACAGGGCGACGGGATTTAACTTTTTTTTTGTAGTAAGTAAATCTTGTTTCCAATGAATTTATGTACAGTGCAGTGGCCGGAAGAAAGTACCACCAGTAAGACAGCATGGTTTGCTAAAGCAGCAAGGGAAACTGGAAAACTACAGTAGTTATAACTTTTAAAATACCCTGCCAACATGTCCAAAATCAAAAAGACCTGAAGATGCTAGAATGCCACAGGAAGTAGCTTCTTGCAACCAAATATCTCATTGTCTCCATCTCTTTGCTTTCTGCTCCCTTTTCTCCTTCCCCAGAGTCATAGATGATGGCTGGCCAGCACCAGCAGTAGCTTTGTAGTGAGGACAGTTCTTCAGGATTATTGACTCTTCTTTAGGAGCAATGGCTACTCTGGAAGTCCTAAGGACATGGTAGTTCTGCAGTGCTTCTTTCACCGTCAAACTGTGTTGTTTAATCATTTGATTGTGTTAGCAATATCTTTATTAACCATTGTTCAGCAATTTCTAGAGACCTTTTATTCCATGATTCCCAGTGTAGTTATGGTAGGCAGTGGTTTGATTTTAACATATTGTTCATCTGAGCATTTCAGCTATATACATTGTACATGGGTATCCTGAGGAAGGAGTCCTCTGGGTCATCACTGAAAGAGGTCTGCAGGTGAAGTTCTTCTAATCGATGGATTTCCGTGAGCATGAGCAGGAACACAGAACAGTGAGGGTGGCCAGGTCCCAGGCTCACACAGACACACCAAGGAGTGGGTGCAGCATCCACAAGGAAGGATGCTATCTTTGGTCACAGATTAGTTTATCATTAGAGAGAATGCGGAAAAACTAAAACAGAATGATGTATATTTGCTAACAGTGGAAATGTCAGGGGATCCCATTAAGTGGGCCAGTGAAATCACTCCTCTAAGGAACTGGGAAGTTGCATATTGTGTGAATGCATGGTTTCTGGTGTGAGAATTGGGAAGCCCCTCATGTAGCCTTTTGCTTCAAGTCCTCCTGGTGGAAATGCCGAAGGAGTTGCTCGAGGTCATGCTGGAGGTCGTCCTGGCCTAATGCTTCTGGTACATCTTCCAGGTGCTCCAGATCAACACGTTTCCCATGCCAGTCCTTCACCACAGCCCTCTTCTGTGTCTTGGCTTTACTGATTGTTGTCCTGAAGAAGAGTGGACAGGAGAGAATTATGCTTTTTTTTTTTTTTTTTTGATACCGGGGATCGAACTCGGGTCCTTGCGCTTGTGCAGCAGGTGGCAAAACCACTGAGCTAAATCCCCGGCCCACATATTATGCTTCCTTGACTGCTAAAAGGCAGCCTCTAGAAGTGAGGTTAACTGTGACCTTAAAATCCTCCCTGTCTTACTTCTAAATAGTTCTACACCAAGCTAACAGTATAACAGCTACAGGGATCTGTTCATCTCTTTCTTATGACCACCATAACTGAAATGATTTATGAAACTTTGAGAGTATATTTTGGAGGTGGGTATGGTGGCATATGCTTGTACTGCAAGCACTCTGGGAGGCTGAGGCAGGAGGACTGCAAGTTTGAGCCCAGCCTGGGCAACTTAGAGAATTAGCAAGACTGTCTCAAAATAAAAAAAGGGCCTGAGCATGTAGCTCAGTGTGAAAGCCCTGGGTTCAATCTCCAGTACACCCCCCCAAAAAAGTGTATGTTGGAACAAGGAGTAATTTTTAAAAACCTTTAAGAAATGTTTCAAATAAATGAAGCCATGTTTCAATATGATTCTCTCAAAAAGAACACATATAATCATTCATTTTTAAATTAAGTTTTATTGATCTCAAAGACCCCGATTCATCAAAAGCAAAGATGAATAGTATATAATTGAATTTACTCTACACCACCTTAGTTGCCCACTTCATCCTTAGAGTCATCTCCTGACCCAAGCTTCCCAGAGTGACATTCTGGGAGAACTTCTCCAGGAGGCACTTTCTTTACAAAGTGACATATTATTCTACCATACACAGGAAAGTGACGATGACCAAGAGGCTCCTCAAGATTCATCTGGGTGGGGAGGAGGAAGAAGAAATAGAAGAAAACCCCTGAGAGACAAAGGCATTCTCTGTACTCCACACTTTGCTCATTCTGGGCATCATGCTGCCTTTTAACAGCCTTTTGTTTGCTTGCCTCCCTCATCAGACTGGTGGTTCCTTGAGAAAAGATGCTATAACTTTATTCATTGATTGATTTCTTTTTGAGACAGAGTTCAGGCTGGACTTGAACTCACTACACAGTCCATGCTGCCCCGAACTCTTGGTGATCCTCCTGCCTCAGCCTCTGAAGTGCTGAGATTACGGGTGTGTATCACCATGCCTGGCAAGATGCTCTCACTTAGAACTATATTTCATACTATTGATTTCCTGTATCCCTACTTGAAAATAATCATATCCTAGTTTGTTCACTCTTCGTTCTTCTTACAGTCTGCCTTGTAAATATAATTACTCATTCCACAAACATTTGATAAATGTGTTTTATGTGCCAGGCACAATTATTATAACAAATAAGGAAACTCAATTTTACAAGAATTTAAGCAATACCCAAATTAAAAAAAAATAAGTGTTAGCATGCAGTGGTGCCAAGAATCCATAAGCACAGGGCCCTGCATCATCCCTGAAACTGATGTAGGACATGACCAGTGTCTGGAGACTGGCTCAGTATTTTCCTTATGGATTCCTAATGTCCAGAAGCTAGAAGTTCTGCCCACCTCCTGACACCTCTAAGTATTCATTAAGATCAACCTGAGTTTTAAAAAAAATGACTCACTTCAGCCTGAATGCTCCCAGTTTTGTTCCCTTCTCCCTCCTCTCCTGTTCTCTCACTCTTCTTTGATATAACATGAATTACTTTGGCAAGTTAAATTGGTTCCTTTCGATGAAATGGTTAAATATGATTCCAGTGGTGAAAATCAGGTTACATTTTTCTACATATGCAACACCCATTATCTTTTCTCCTAAAAAGGCAGATATCTGACTATTTCTTCCAAGAGCTAGGAGAAGCCTTATAGCAGTGGAGTCAGGGGATGGGCCTCCATTGTAGGGCATTTCCTGTCTTTTCTGTAGGTTATGAGGATAGTTGAAAAATACGGTGCATACTTAAATTTTAAAAATGTACTACAATGGAACACATGCTGCCATGAGTCTTCCTCAAAAACTCCCCTCACTTCAAGCACAGCCCCTCATTCTTGCCACTTTCTGAAGCAATTCTGGAAGTCCTCTTCCGTGAGTGCCTTTAGTTGCACTGCCAGGGCTGCCTTGATATCCTGACTTGATTCTGAACAGTTCCCTTTGATGGTCATTTTGACTTCGAAGAAGACCCAGAAGTTATACAATGTTAGATCCAATAAATAAGGTGAACGAGCACATACCATCATGTTTTTATGACCCTGTGTTTCTGTTGGATGGTGCTTGGCAGTAGCATTCGCAGTATTTTTTATCACACCTCATAAAGACACTCATGAAAGAAAACTTCCAGAACAGCTTCAGAAAATGGCATGCATTATGGAATAAGTATGTTTGAAGCGAGGGTGGGTATTTAGAGAGGAAATATGGTGATGTGTCTTTTTCTGCAATAACTTAAAAAATTTAAATATTCACCATACGTTTTGATCACCCCTTGTACGCAGATGCATGCTTATGAATGTGAACATGTATATGATAAAATGCCTTTGGCAATGTATAAGTTTCAGTGTGGCACATCACCGAGTTCCATGACAGACTAACTGTGGGAATGCAATCAAACTGTCTTCAAATTCAACAGCTATAACAAAGAACCTTGCATTAACTGATCTCCAAATCTATTCTACTCCAAATTGGTCCTGTGATGTTAGAACACACAGGGATTGTGTAGTTTCACCTGACTAACTAGAAACAAGACTTAAAAGTCCAGAATATAAAAAGCATTTTATACTAAATTCATGTCTCATTTTTTAAAGTTCTGAAATAGCAATTGTACTCTTTTAAATTCATAGCTGCTGCTGTTTTTCACATTTGATTGGAGGCCGAAATGTGACAGAACCTTTAATTTTGCTGTTCTAATTATTATGTTTTAGAGGCTTAACATAGCCTGGAGAGTCGATCCCCGGTTCCAAAAAACCCTCAAAACAAACAAAATAGCCTGGAGAGTATTATAAATGACAATATTTCTCTTCTTTTCAATGAGATGAAAAGCACAATAGTGACGGATTACCATTATGCCTTTCACTGAGAAGCTGAGCATTTTATTAGTGCCAATTCTGACAGTATTGCTAGAGGACCAGGGGGAAGCAGACCTTGTGAATGGTCCCATATTGGTACCTCAAACCCATGATGGAGGCAGGGGCAACTCAAAGCACATCTCTGCCTCCCCGCTTCTGTATGGAGAAAGAGAGCTGGCAGCTGCTTTAAATGGTTTCTTATTTTACCAAAGCCCCTGGCTTCATACTCTCTATGTATATTCAGGTCCTGGGCATCAAAACCATGCTCATGCTACTTGCCACTCACATGCAGAGCCACGAAACAGCTTGTGAAAAACAAAAAGCATGTACCATGCAAAGGAATGATTTGCTAAAAGGGAGCTGACTGTAGCTGCTCACAAAGTTAATTCATGAGCAATGGATTAGACTCCTCCTTCTCTGCTCTTTCAGTCTGCCAACACAATGGGTTCCCAGCTGGTGGGCTTCTACATTGGTGGCATACAAAGACCCAGGGAGTCCGATTGTGTTAGCTGTCATCTCACTGCCACTGTGCCCGAGCATTTCTTTTACACCCCCATCCATCAGGACACTGCAAGTATGACATGCCAACAAAGCTACCATTGGATCAAAGCCTTATGATACAGGGGTCAGCAGTTTCTGAAGAGTTTTACATGTGTCAGGGCTGTCTTTCTTTTCCTAGAATGGGAATTTTTTTTATGGTGTTAGTTGGCAATGCATCATCCCATGCTAACCCAAACCTTTTAATTATTGATCCATCCTCTTTCAGGATTTCCTTCTCTACTAAACTGGGGAGGTGGACTTTCATGTGGCTACCTGTGTAACTCAAAGCCTGAGGTTAAAAAAAAAAAGAAAAAAGAAAAGAAAAGACAATACTCATCACAATCCAGTCTTCAAACCAATCTACCACTTTGCTAATTCAGAGCCAATTTGAAAAGATATCTGTGAAAGGATAAATAAAAAGTACTCCCAGTAGCATACGTAGGTATTCTGATTAAACAAGTTTCTTAAAATTTCCCATTTGCAAGGGAGATTTGTTATATTACTTTACAAAGCTGCTAAATGACATCCATACCAACTGACTTTTAATTTCCTCCATTGCAGTGTACTCCTTCCTACCCTGGACTCTCTAATGGTAAATATATTGACTGGGAACAAAAACAACCCAGGTCCAGTGTACAACTCCAGGAATTCATCTTCTAAATATCCAAGGTTGCTGGCTGTCAAGTCTGAAGGACTAAAAGTATTTAAATAAGATTTGGTTTTAATATCCAAGTACATTCATATACTCAATATGTGTTCTCAATAGACTCATATACTCAATATATGATCATGATCAATATATGATTCATATACTCAACATATGATCTCAATATATGTTGTGAGTCTAGTAGGGGATACACCTATAGCATTTAATTCTGAAATGTTTCAATGGCAAAAACTATTTTGCAAGTGTTTACACATGCCCATTCCCCCTTCATCAAAACTCTTGGGACCAGATGTGGTTCAGAATTGAGATTTTAGAAATAGCCTGGATACCCTAATATCCCAGAGAAGGTAGAGACCACATCCTTTAACCAAACTCAATTCCTATCAGAAAGCAAAACATATGTAATTTCACTCTAAGACAACAAGACTTCACGCCAGTTCATATAAAATGTTATGTCAAGTTCCATGCCAGTTTATGCTAAGCCAAATTAGCTTGCTACTAACTTAGAAAATTTGTTTTGGTTTTTAGAATTTTTGGATTTTGGAATTATAGTAAGGGTCTGCAAATCTGCTATGTGAACCCATTTCTTAATTGGTGGGAACTGGAACTCAATAACTACACATCACTTTAAAATATACAAATATAGAAAACATGTAAATTTTTAAACTATCACAGCAATATTGAGAGAATCAGCTAGGAAGGATAATTTGCACCATCTTTATTTTTTTCCATATTATTTGGGAGTGCAAAACACTTTTGGGACTTTTAGATAAGATACAGGATCATGCCCTGACTCCAAAGATTCTGATCTTAATTTACCAGAAGTAAATCTTGATCATGTGGATATTTAAGAGCATGAATGAACATGAATGAACACCATAGATTGAAGAAACATTACTTCACTGTATAAATTAAACAGGAAATCTGCTCTCTTTAATTATTATGCACAATTCTATACATTTGTGTATGAAATGACATAATGACAAACAATTTTCAAACTCAAAAGCAAATATAAAATACAAGTCAAAAGGCAAAAAAGACAAAATGATGCTTCTATACCTCGTCAAAGTCATCTTTGGCTGAAGGAAGGTCAGTGGCTAAACTAGAATCCCCCAGATGTTTCTCCATCCTCTCTCCACAGACCACAGTGGTTTTAACAACTTTGCTGACTCTACGGCCTTCTACTGGTTCAGCCTGAAATTGTGAGGTACTGGACAGAATGCTGGGTTCAGACAAAGTCACCTAATGGATGAAGGACACACAATGCAGTTTCTGACTGCCAAAATGTAACAAATGATGAACTTTTCTATGCTAAAAAATAAAACAATTATAATATTGCCTAGTGAACTAAAAAAAAAGCATTTTGGAGAAGTGAAGCAGTTACAACAAAATAAATATAATCAATTAGTGGTGTCTATGTAATGCATGTATCTCTACAGCACCTATATCAACCAGTTGGTCACTTGAATAAAAATCTGTCAGTCTGTTTTGAAAGAACTGACAGCTCAGTGCAATGCAGATAGGGTAATCCATGCCTGAACTCTCTTTTCCCAGGCATAAATGGTTTCATTTGCAGTATGAGGGTATAGTTAACCCCAAAGGAGGAACTCAAAAGGTATGAGAAATTGGAAAGTAGATTTCTCGAGGCTCTCCTGTCTTTAAAAATAAGATTTTGAGGATATAAATGAAGGCAAAATGGTGAGAATTTCACAAATTATATATCAAAAAAGTAAGCATGTCCCTGAAACTGGGAAATAAAACAGAAAGAAATAAACTGTGAATCAAAGAGTTTCTGGGTCCTGACTTTAGTGACCCCCAAAGGCAGAAGTCTGACTTCAGAAGGCCGATGTGCCAACCAAGGACAAGCTCCAAAATCTCTTCATAACATATGCCCACCGAGCAACTGGGATTTTATTCTTTAAGAATTTGACTTTTGGATATTTGCTGTGGTCAACCATGAATTAAACAGAAAATAGAAATGAGACTGAACAAGCGGTGAGAATAATGGCTAAAAGCTTCCTGATGGCTACTTTCAAATTACACAAAATTATGAAAAAAACAAATGAGTGGGTAGCTATGAGCAGACTGCAAGGTTCACGTGAACAGGCAGGCTCTTCCAACTTGCTAAGTTCTCTTTTGCTCTCTGAAATAATACTTGGAGATCAGGCAGTCTCACCTCTGACTGCTCGGCGTCACTCTTCAGTACAACACGCTTTATCACTTTGGAATAACCGTCTCCACCTTCGATGTTCACAGGCTGCTGTGGTGTCCCTTGCATCGTGATCTCTTCTTTCTCTGTGCCATCAGAGGACACGTACCGCCTGATGATTTTTCTGGTAACCTAAAACATATTTATATATCTGATTGTTGAGTCTCAATACTATCATACTGATCCATTTTAAACAGGAACTCTGAAAGCAGCTGTGAAAGGAGACACTAGACAGTACCTTCTTCACCACGGTGTGCCCATGCTCATCAATGTATTCTTCTTCGGTGACACTTTCTGGCGGTATCTCAGGCATGTCCTCTCCCTAAACAGTTGTGACAAAAGGGTCACATCAGTACTTGGCACCAATTCTAGGAACTACTTCCAAGTGCTTATCATGTGAGGAACGTTAGAAAACCCAAAGGTGATGTGGAGAAGCACTGTTGAGATGCAAAATCCTGTTAAATAGTTTAATAAAAAGCATCAGGTGGGTGGTAACATGCTTAGGAGAAGGTGATCAAAGTTAGGTAAAACTTAGACCAACAAACAAGGAAAACAGATAAGCAAAGGTGAAGAAGGTGGAACTGATGAAGCCAATCTTGTTCTCCCTTGTTGGTACTGTCTTGGTTGTAGGCTGCAACCACCATTACCACTGCATTTCTTTACGAACAAAAGAGGAATGTTAAGGGGTCTGCTTTCCAGTGGCCATGCACTGCCTCAGGAACATGCCAAGCCCTTACTGCCCCAGGTCAATCACTCTCTAAAGGCACAAGGGCAGAGCTGTCCCTGGCGTGCAGTCATTCAGCAGCTGGTACCTGGATGATCACTCGTCGGCGGACAACCCTGGTAGTTACCATCGCCTCCTCATCGGAGCTGGCCTCCAGCTCCCCTAATTCCTCTGTTAGCTCCTGGGGAAGGATAGAAGTATTGCTCTGTTTAACATGCTAAGGAAGAACTTTACTACTGCTTCTAGCTTTAGTGCACACTGTGTTCTCAAAGTTCTATTCATGGAGGCTTTGAGGGAAAAAGAAGTGGGGGTTAAAATAAGAGTGATCCGAAACTTCAAAAATAATTCAGTTGTTTGGCTCAATGAATGAAAAAAATTCCAAGAGATGTCAGAGAACATCTCTGTCAAAATCTGTCCAAAGAAGTGTCTTGTCTACACAATTCCTCGTACTCAAACTCCTAATAAAAAACTAAATGTAAATAGAGCATAATGTGCAGCTGTGAGCTGTTAACAGTATTGTTTAGGCTTGGAATTTTAATTTACCTGTGTAGGAATATCTCATGCCTATCGCAGAACTTTCTAAAGGAAATCAAAATTTCCTGTAACAATTGCATAGTCAGTAGTACATCTCCCTAGCATCCAAAAAGGTAGGCTATGAATAATATTAGCCTCATTTTGCAGAGAAGTTGAGATGTGAGAACAATCAGATTTAATAGGTTTGGCCCAAATCCAGAGATGAGGATGAGAACATAATTTTATATTAGAACATGTCTAGGAGTGATATATATAGAATCACTTTCTCCTCATGGAATGATATTTTTTAAAAAGAGAAAAGACAAGTCATTTTGCTTAACATAATTTAAAATACCCAAGTTAGACGTAGACATTCTTCTCTGTTAAAGAAAAATATCCAAATCTAAACTAAATTACACATTAAATCAGGAAACTACTGCCTAAAGATAGGGTCAGCAAGAAGAGTAATTGAAATTGGATGTCTAAGTTAAGGTCACGAGAAGTTAAGGGTCAAAATGTGGAGCTTATGAGAGATAACTGGAAGTTCATCAAGAATAAGTAGAACAAGCCTATATTAAATATGTAGTATGTAGAATAACTTATCAAAACTTATTTATATGCACAGAACAGATTAAATATATGAATTATCCAGGTAATTATTTTAAGACTATATTTTACTTAGCCTATGGATTCTTGGGCTAAATTTGGCAACTTTTAAGTCCAGATAGCAAATATGAATCATTTTTACTCATATTCATTTAAGCTAAGAACTTGAGATGAATAATTCTGTGGAAAGACAAACTTGGAATAAAAATTCATTTGTGGGATGAATTCATTCTTTAAGGTAACTGCCAAAATCAGGAGACAGTTCTCATCTGCCTGAATCTTTCTTAATTTAGTTGTGATTTTAGATAAATCCTGGTAGTAGATGTTACGCTTATAGTAAATAAAAACAAATGTAGATCTTAACCATAAGGATACATTGTATTACTTTTGTCCCCAAAAAGATTTCATTTCTTTCATATAACAAATCTATATTCTAAGCCTTGTATTAATATTTTTATAAACACCTTTAAATATAAAATGCCTTTAAACCCTATGACTTTTTAAAAAGGGAAATAATGCCTACTGTAATTTACAGCAAGTCTAATTCTAACAGATTTTCATCAATCTTTGTATATGAGAGTTATTTAAAGTGCTGAGTCTTGTGCCCTCCCTACTCTTTGGAGCTCTCTCTGATTTTTGAGTTTTGAAGAAAGATCAAGCTCCCCAATTAATCATGAGGTATGTGAACTACATGGATCAAGTGCTGGTTCAAATACCTTTCTTAAGATGGTCCAACCTCTCTTCACACCTTTAAAATTCTCTTAGTGACAGGCTATAATGCAATCTCATGTCACTGTTGGGTATTTGGTCATTTCAAAATAGCAATAAGATTCAGCTTAATGTTCCTTTTACAACTTATTGGTAAAATAAATCTAAGGAAATCTAATTTGGAAATTATCCCCCTCAAGGGAGGAAAGTTCGTTGGGGAGTGAACTCCAACAGATAGCCATAGTTTGTGAGGTCCTCAGGAGACAGCTCAGAGATCTATCAGGTGGGATTGAAAAATACAGTGAATGTTTAAATTTAAAAATATTTATTATAGAAAAAGTCACATTGTCATTACTCCCCCTCAAAATCCTACCCCTCACTTTGAACACAATTATCCCATCGTTTTTGCCATTTTCTGAAGCAGTTCTGGAAGTCTTCTTTCATGAATGTCTTTAGTTGCACTGCCCTGGCTGCCTCGATGTCCTGAGTTGATTCAGAATGTTGACCTTTCATGGTAATTTTAACTTTGGGGAAGAGTCATAGTCACATAGTGCCAGATCCAATGAATAAGGTGGATGAGGACACATGGTAATTTTTTTTTCAAGGCTGCCTTTCCTTTGAATGGTGCTCAGCAATGGCGTTCACTATAGTTTTGATCATACCTTGTAAAGACACTGCTTCAGATAGGAAGAAAAGGGGCAAAGGGGAAGGAAGTGGGAGGGCTAGGGGAAAGGATAGAAGGGAATGGGATTAATATGAGAAAATGGAAAAATAGGAACAAAATCTTTGTAAATAGGGAGGAATAGAGGGGTTGAAGGGGGCGCTGGGCAAGGGTGAAAAATAAGAACTAAGAGAGACTACGTAAAGGTGCAAATTTCCAATGATGAATGTCATTATATTGTATACCTAAAATGTACCATTGATTAAAATGAATAATCGATAATGCAAAATAGGAAGAAAAGGTCCAAAGGGGTAGGGGTAGTGGGAGGGGCAGGGGAAAGGAAAGAAGGGAAAGGAAAAATGCTGAGAAATGGAAAAAATGGAAATAAAGTCTTTGTAAATAGCTAAGGGTGGAGGGCGTGAAGGGAGGGCTAGGAATGGGGAAAAAATAAGAACCAAGATGCATTATGTTAAGGTACAATTCCCAATGAGAAATGTAATTGTGTTGTATACCTACAATGTACCAATAAAAGAATTTAATTAAAAAAAAAAAAAAGACACTGCTTCAGAAAGTGACAAAAACAATGGGTTAAGTGTTAAAGTCAGGAGGAATATTTTTGAGGGGGGTTAATACAATGTGTCCTTTATTGTAATAAACTTTATAAAATTCAAAAATTAACTGTATATTTTTTATCACACCATATATTAAGACTCTGGCTCGGATATCCCATGGCAGCAGACCTACCTGAGCCAGCTCATCTCTATCATTAGCCTTCATGTTTCAATTTACCAATTTACAAAGATTATTGTTTTACCACCACATTTTCATTTTTCTTAGCAGAAAGATGCCCAGTGATAAAAGTAGGGCTCATGGTTCAATAGCTGGAATCAGGACTGTGTGCCATTCCTTTTTTAGATTCACTAGCTCTCTTATTTTGAAAGGATTATAGTCCAGGCTCACTAATCTGGGAAGATTTTATTTTAAAGGAAAAAAAAATCGGAGAAATGGAAACTAAAGGAGGGTTTATAGCTTTGTTACATGGAGGCAGGAAAATCTCACCTTTTCAAAAGCTGCCTCTCCGTCGAGTCTCTCAAAGGTGTGTGGCTGGTCCTCCAGGATCACAAGGCTGGTTTTCCCTGGGGAGCCTTCCCCCCTAGGTTCAGGGGGCTCTTTGGGTTCCTGCACAATGGGGGAGCCTCCCCACTCACTGGACACTGGAGACTGGAGGTCCAGCCTCTCCTCCCCAGGAAGGGTCCTGACCTCCTTGGGGGTCTTGCTGGGAGAGTCTGGCACTGCTGCGGCCTTCTGTACTTCTGTCTTTTCTGTACCTGGGGTTGTCACTCTGGAACAAAAAAGCCAAATTATATTTCATGGCCATTTGCATTTCTCCTGCTCTAGCAGGGAACCGAAAGGAAAGATGAAGTTCATCTTCATAGTTTATGATAGTCATAGTTCAAATTTAGCCAAGGGAGAGATTGGAAAAAACAACACTGTGATATATGGTATAGAGTTACAGCTCACTGGTGTGCACTGTATTAACAGTAACATCTTCTTGGGCTGGGGATTTAGCTCAGTGGTTCTGCTGCCTGCCTCGCAAGCGCAAGGACCCGAGTTCGATCCCCAGTACCAAAAGAAACAAACAAAAAAACAGTAACATCTTCTAAAGACGGAAATTATCCTAAGATGGATTAGTTTCCAAACCTCTACAAATCATGTAAGCTATTTCATGTTTTCTTTAATAACTCTAACAATATATTGAGGATTTGTGGAGTTTTGCATAACAAAGATTTATAGATAATGCTTTTGAAGAAAGAATTAAAATTTGGCAGAATTAAATAAATCCCCACAGGAATGTAGTTTCCATACTTATAAATATAAAGAGATTTTTTACAGTACCTTTGGAAAACCATTACTTAACAGAAGGATCTGTTACACTGAAATTTTTTACTGATGGAGTTTGGAGTTGTTCCAATGCAACTTTCATAATCTCAATTTCTAAGTAAGGAAATTCTTTGCCTTTTTTGCTCTTTTTTTTGGTATTTATTGCAATTTTCTGTCATACCATTGATATTAAACACCTAAAGGGCCTTTCTGATAGTTTCCTTTTCTTCTCATCTTTCCCCTTTTCTTCTCTTTCCCTCATTCTTTATGGTCTTCCTAAGACCTACAGGGAGATATGGAGAGGATGGCTCAGGAGAAGAGATCCTCCCAGTGCCCATTTAAGCCCCTTCTCGGGTTCCCGTGACCACAGAACAAAGCTCACTTGATGACAAAGGAGACTCTGAGATGCAGTATTATGACGCTATTCTCAGATTTCAGTTAGGGACACTTTTGCCTTTCTCTTGATCTGTTTTTCTTCAGGATGACCAGTGTAATTGAAGCAACTCTTTCTCCTTTGCTTTCACAAAGCCCAAAGCTTAGATTCTGAGCTTAACTGTGCTCTACAGCTTCTGTCAGCTAGAAGCTATTTGGAAAATGTCTCTTTACACCCAGTCTAACCCCATCCCACTCCATTTTAGTGCCCTTTTATTCTGCAAGGATAATTTTGTTGCGTTTATATTTTTATAGCAGGCAACGTGGTAGCTCTGTTGGAATATACTGGCTCACCACACCTATACCATTGCTATTCCTAATCCAAACCAGGCACAGCACAATGAGTATTTGAAGCTTTCCCACTGAAATGAGTATTTGAAGATATACGGAGGAAAGGAGGTACAGCAATCCTGTAACTGTCTTGTCTGTAGGAAATTTTACAGTTCAAACAATGCATGTGCAGGTATATTTTTGACCTTTACCCTATGTAGTGAGTAAAGTCTGTATAATTATCATAACTGTAGATACGGAATTGGAAACTCCAAGAATTTAAGGGCTGTCCAAGGTCACAGAACTGATGATCACTGGCCCACATGACACTGTCACTATTACATCTCTCAAGTGTATTAAGTGTATCAGGGCTCTTTTCCCTGTAGCTCTGTCATTCGCTATAGGTGGGGTCATTTTTAGGTTCTTTAAAACTGGCCCTGGGCCGGGGATTTAGCTCAGTGGTTCTGCCACCTGCCTCACAAGCGCAAGGTCCAGAGTTAGATTCCCGGTACCAAAACAAAACAAAACAAAACTGGCCCTGCTGGTATATGCCTGACCCTCTGGGAACATGGGCTGTTTCCTGGGAACCACATTTGGAACTCACAAGTATTCCTGCTGAACATCAGGCAGGTCCTGTATTTTCCCTGAGAAATCTTGTTGAACTTGCTCCCGGTGCATCTGGGGAGAAAGTGCCACTGCTGAGCTGTTCCCCTCAGTTTGGGGGACATAATCCTGGGAAGTGGGGTAACCCACAGAAATATCTTCCTCGGAGACGATGGGAGGGTGATCGCCAGCCCCATCCTCTTGGGAAACAGCTTGCTCCTCTCTCTGCTTGTGCTGCGTGGTACAGAGCTCCTCCTGAAGTACTGAGAACCCTGTGGGATAACAATTTCAATTGGGTTTTGTTTTGTTTTGTTTTTTTGTTTTTTACCGGGGATCGAACTCAGGACCTTGTACTTGCAAGACAGGCGCGGTGCCACTGAGCTAAATCCCTGGCCCTCAATTGAGTTTTTAATTGAAGCTCACCTATGTTAAATGCGTGTTTAGTAAGTAGCTGTCCTGTGCCATGTCCTGAGATGGGCCCATAGGTTAGAAAGATGAAAACACTGTGCCTGCCTTCAACATGCTGGTCATCCGGAGAGGAGGGGTCAGTTCAAATGCAGGGTGAGGGGCCACAGATGTCTGGGAGTGGACATGGGACACCATCCTCAGTGTTAAAGAATTTGGAAAGGAACTGCAGAGGGCACAATGTCTGAGGAGACCTAAAGATAAATACTGTGATGGCCATGGTATCACATTCAAGGGAGAGTCCATAAGAATCAATAATAAATACCTAACAAATTCTGAAGAGTCACTCTGTGCCTTGTGAGTACTAATTTGTTCAATCCTTACCACAAAACCTTTCAAGTCAGTGATTTTTTTTTTTTTTCATGCTGGGGATTGAACTCAGGATCTTGTGCTTGAGAAGCAGGCGTGGTTCCACTGAGCTAAATCCCCAGCCCAGTGATCTTTTTATGTAGAGTCTCTTATGCCAGGCTAAAGAATCTCACTATATCCAGGACAATGAGGAATCACTGAAGGATTTTTAGCAGAAGAGTGAATGACATTCATCTATTTATTTATTTACTCAACAGATATATATTAAGCACCAACTATGTGGTAGGTGCTGTTTAGATGCTGGGTACATAGCAATGAACAAGGCAGAAAAATTTTTCTCTTTACTGAATTTCTACTTCTAAAGATATATGTTTATTATTGTTGGGAGAAAAGGCAACCAGCCTAGTATTTCAGATAGACTAGCTGGGAAGGCTTCCCTTAAGAAGTGTTACCTGAGTGGTGACCTAAAGAAATCGGGAGAAAAATGTTTGATGGATCTAAGAGAAGAAAACTCCATGGCAGCAGGGACAGAAGGCACCAGGACCTCGAAGCAGCAGAGTGCTTGAGGTGTGCAGGGAATGGTAAGGCGAATCAGTTTCTGGGCCTAGAGAGAGTGAGGGATTAGCACTTATGCTGCACACTAATGTACATCGTCACTTAGATCTGTGAGAAGTAAGAGGCCACTGAAAAGAGACTGAGGAGTACAGCCAGTAAAGTAGAAAGGAAAGGAAGTGAGAGGGTGTCTGGAGAGCAAAGAAAGAAAATGTTTAAGAAGAAAAGATGATTTCTTTGTTACTGAGGGGTGAGGTCATTTGAACACTGAAAGGTGCCCTTTGGATTTGGTAAGAAGGAAGCAGTTGCTGAATTGTATAACATGGGCTGGAATGGATTAAAGAGCCATATCTTAAGTGAATAGGAAGACAGCAAGTGCAGACAGGAAACCCAGACTACTCTTCTGAAGACGCTTCCTATAAAATGGATGGAGAAGCAGAGTAGAAATTTGGGGGCATAGAGAATGAAAGCAGTTATTTTACCATATTTTGTTTGAAAAGCGGGACCTATTAAAGTACGTTTTAGTGCTACTGGGCCTGGTCAAGTTGTAGGATACTTGAGTGGATATTTGCAGGAGTGAGGTCCTTGATTGGGTAAAAGGGGATGAAATCTAGGACAAAAGAAATGGTGGCTTTAGCAAAGCAAGGACATTTAAAATAACAGGAGGGAAAGTAGAGTTTAGGCCCTGAGATGCACTTGTTAGATTTTGTGGTAGAAGGACATGGGCATTTGCTTGAAATTATAAGAAATATGAAGTATGGCTTTAAGCTGGGAATGAATATGAAGAAGAGAGTACTGGAGTTTGAAGGAAGAAGAGAAGGTGTAACATACAGATGAGAGAGAGAGAGTGAGCACGCAATGAGAATATATGAAAAAGAAACTTTAATACTGAAAAGGTGGTGGGGTCAGTGGCTAGAAAGCATAGAAAACATCTGAAGAATTATTAGTGGAAAAATAAGAAAAAGTATAATGCTTCAATTAGTGTACTGCTTGGAAGTAGTGTAGTGATTGGTAGTGATATAGTCTTGGTTATGAGCGCAGAAGTCAGTGACCAAGGTAGAATAAACATTACAAGCATCATAAGGAAGACACACATTCAGCAGACTCTGACCTTCACTATGGTCCAGCGTAATGGTCTGCTCAATCTCTGCGTAGCTGTGGCTGAGGCGCTCCTGGAGCGGCTCTGTGCTGGTCTCCATGAGGTGGACGATGTCCATTCGGTTGATCTTGGTGAGACATTCGATGAGGCTGGTATCTAAGGTATTAGAGGTGGAGCACTGGTTACAGCTGAGAAATGCTCTTTTGCAAAATCTTTCATTCAGCTACCAAACTAAATTTGTGAGCGCTGTTTAGGAAGCAGCCAAAGCCTTACTAAGGGCCTTTATAAAAAGAAGGCAAAATACAGACAGACATGCATAAAAAGATGGTACTTAGTGAATACAAACCCTAAAAGTAGAGGTGTCAGATAAAGTATAGGGGATCCAGTCAAATCTGAATTTCAGACAAAAAAAAATACTCTTTTCATGTAAATATGTATATCCTAAATATTGCATGCTAAATATTTATGCTAAAATAGTTTATGTTGATTATCTGAAATTTAAATTTTGCGCCCTTCTGCTTATATTTGCTAAATCAGACACTGCTACTAAATAAAATATATAGAGAAAAAAATGATAAGTATATATATCTCAAGGTAGCTCTTCAGTGTGACACTAAAGGAGGTGGGAAATTTAGACCAGCTGAGGGACAAGAAGCAGCTGTGGTCATCCTATTATAGTCCATGTGGTAAGAATATCACATACATCGAAAATCTACTTGATATTTTCCCACCACTTAAGTTATTTAGGAGTAAAGAAAATGGGAACTTAAGGTAAGGCTCTACCAATAAAACAATGACAAAGCTGGGCACGGTGGTGCATGCTTGTAATCTCAGAACTCTGGAAGGCTGAGGCAGGAGGATCACAAATTTCAGCCCAGCCTGGGGAACTTAACAATTTAGCAAGACCCTGTCTCAAAATAAAAAATACAAAATAAAAAGAGCTAGGATATACCTCTATGTTCAATTCCTACTAATGCAAAAGGAAAAAAAAAGATATAGCACTTGTGTCCATTAATCAATATGTAGAAAAATTTAAGATTCAGTAACATTCGTGTTAGCAACTAGCGCTGGCATCATTTCCCAGTGGTTAACACTGCTCACAGGCATACAGTGTGAGACTTCATGCTCGTGTTTGTTTTAGAAATGACAGCAGCTTGTTCTCATTCAATGATGGGAGTATTTCCAATTGATGGGTAGCATTTCTTCAGTTTATTGTCTTACAAATTTGGGTTGTTGAACAAGACAACAATTTCTCCCTTTAGCTTAATACCTTCTGCTCAGAGTACCACACTCACCTGTAGCATGTTTCCCATCCCTTTCCAGCCAGTACTTCAATAGTGCGTGGCTCTGGTCTTGAAGGGAGTTGGGGTTCTCGATTCGAATTTGATGAATTTGCTCCTCAGTGAAGTCCAGTTCTCTTGCTAACTCTAGAAAATACTACTTTGTAAACACATGGCCTTCAAAGGTTTGAGTCTTTACACCTTGTTTGTGATTTCATAAGTGAAGTGTTCTTGTATTGCTGTTTGAGTTCTTTTATTTCTACACATCAGAAGTGGCTCACACACGCCTTTATTCTTCTAGTACTAATTATGGATCTTTCACTTAATATAATATTAGGTATAGGATTACTGAACCTTTCTCTTAAAATTGGGCACAGAATTGATTACTTCCATAGTAGAAATAGCAAATGCGAAACTGTGATGATAAAATATGCATAATTTGGGTCCACTTGATTCCAAAATACAGACAAGACCATAAATACTTGCTTAAATTCTTGCCAAGATACTAGAAAATAGATGACTGAAAACAGAAGAAATAGACTATTTCCCACTTTGGGTCACCATGGGTGATATTTTAAATACTACAAAATCCTGTTTCTGGGTAATTGGAGAAGTATCTGGGTATATTTTGGTGTCAGGATAAATGTCACAGGAATAAAAGGTCTGGGAAGCATTAATTGACCTAGGGAAAAAGCAATGTTTTCTTTTAGGTTCTACCATTGACATTCTATGTAGATGCTTATACATTGTAGTGTGTGTGTGTGTGTGTGTGTGTGTGTAAAAGAAGTAACTTCTGCTGTCAATTTGACAATATCTTCATTTTTATTTTTTTGAGACAGGGTTTCCCTCTGTAATTCAAGCTGGCTTTGAATTCACTATGGCCTCAAGCTTGTAGTGATCCTCCTCCCTCAGCCTCCTGAGTGCTGGGATTACAGGAATGTGCCACTATGTCTCGCTTGACAGTATCTTTTTTTTTTTTTTTGGTACCAGAGATCGAACTCGGGACCTTGTGCTTGTGAGGCAGGCAGTAGAACCTAAATCCCCGGCCCAACAATATCTTTTAAAATTAAAAATATTTGTGCCTTGGGCCGGGGATTTAGCTCAGTGATACTGCTGCCTACCTTGCAAGCATAGGGTCCAGAGTTCGATTCCCAGTACCAAAAAAAAAATTTTGTGGCTCAACAGTTTTATTTCTAAGAATATACCCTATAGATGTATTCACAAATATATAACAATGCACAAAGATATTTCATTGGCATTAACAAGAATAGTCTAAAATCTATTTATAAAGACTATTGATACTTTATCAATGACCTTCAAAATAGAATTAAATAGCTATTTAAAAGAATGCAATAGATATATCTGTGCTTAAGTTTTTGCTTATTTTTATATTCTAGGCATATATATAGGCATTATATATTTTTTCCGAACACCTGAGAAAAATGTTAGCTTTGAAGTATGGGCCTAGAAGACCAGAAGCAGGTGAGAGATATTATTTCATTTTATATCATTCTGTACTGTTGTAGAGTTTGAATTTGCACCTAATATATCCAGTGATATTTTAATAGCCTATCTTCCTATAAATCCTCCAAATAAATAAGTCTGACCACTATTTTAAAATTATTAAAAGTGAGAAAAATGACTCTGCCTTTTGTTTCCAGTCATTTATTTTAAATTATCAATTATCTTTAAAAGTAATATGTATTCCTGTTCAAATCTTTAATAAATTGAAGAATTTTAACTTTATATTGTTTGTCTCAATAAAGTAGTCACAAGTATATGAAAAGAAACCAGGTCTCAGACTTAGAAAGAATGAGGAACAGAAAGAAACAAAAAGAAAGAAAAAATAAAGCTAGACTACAATCTTGCTGTAATATGGTAAATTACAAGTAGATAAAATCTACCAGTCATAATTTGTAAATAAACCATATTGATTTTATAATTTACTTTCTTTTTATAAATTATTTAATATATACTTTCTATCCTTAAACATTCCCAATTTTCAAAAAGTTAATGAAACATCTTTGACATTCAACATTCACCCAAAACAAATTTTCTGAAGAAATCTGATTTAAAGAATTTAAAAGCAGCAGCCCTGGTTAAATCTCAATTTACATGTTATGAAAATTATGTCTAACAATGGCTTGTAATACACTAACCTCTCCCAAATTTAGGTATTTACAACTACCAAAGGGGGATGATGAAGATTGGTGTATTCTTAAAATCTTCAAATCTAAGGCTGCTCTAAATTTCAGAGACGATGATTATTTCTCACTCTCCCACTCTGAGCTTGCTCTGGGCTCCACCAGTCGCTAATGCAGAGGTTGGATTTTCTAGTTTATAGTTTATCATTCTTTTCATGATTCCATGTAGTCTTCCTCAAACAAAATGAAGGGAAAAATCTTTTTTCATTCCTAAAGACCCTTGGCTGATGCATCTCCATCATTTAAACCAAGCAGGTTTTGCTGGAAAACTGGTTCACACTTTTCTTACCTGTCCAGCTGAAGCCCAGGTGATCAGCAACATAAGCCAGCCTCTCCTCGATCTGCTCTTGCTCATCCTGTGGATCTACAGAAGGTCAAAAACAGAATGGCCAAAGGTTGTCTAAACAGGAGAGGAACCACAGTTTTGACCATTCAAAGAATGGAGTCAGCTGTCCAAATATTTGATAGTAGCACATATTAGCTATTACAGTTTAGATAATATTAGATTGTGTGTTTGCCTGATTTCTGGGGTGGAATGAGGAATAAATCTAATATGACCCATGAAAACCATCTGCTTCCATATCTCTTTAATCAAGACTAGTTACTGGATACAATTATATGAATTTCGGACTTCTAGTCATCTTAGGATTTCTAAATTATCTGAGAGGATTCTGCCCTCCAGAAGACACTCATCTTGCTCATGAAACACTAGAGTAACCCTAAATGGGACAAAGGAGTGGAATCATTGGTTAGGATCTCCTATTACTGTCTGTGGAGGTAGAGATCATTTCCGGGTCATGTCAGAAAGAAATCGCATTGGAAATTCACAAGAGATCTTGATTGTGGGTGGGAGACCATCCTGGGTTTATTCTAGTGTGTCCAGAAATAGCATGTACCTTGTTCTTGATTACCTTGGAAGAAGAGAAAATAAGAGCACACACGTTTGTATATGTGTGTTACATGAGTATGCACATAATGTATGATTCTGCCTGTTTACTACTAAATGGTATAATCCTCTCACAAACTACTAATTTTTCCCATTCACTCTTAACTCTTATGGATTGATAGGAAGCAGTTTAGAGCATGGAATCATGAAGTTTTTTATAACCCAAATTTAAGACTAATAGTCTTCATTGTAGAGATACTGGAAGTCCAGAGGCTACTTCTCAAAGCCATCTATGGTTTTCTTCTTTACAATTCGAAGAGCCATCATTCCCTCACAGTCAACTTAAACTGTGCAAAGTTTGAGTTTTTGTTGTCTGCTGCATCTAACTGGAGTACAGTCTCAATTCATCTATCATGTAAACAAAAAGCATATTTTTACCTTATATTTGTTTGCTTAAAGTGTTTACCAATGGAATCTGAAATCCAATCTTTCTGAATCAAAAACAGATCCACAACAATTGGAATTTCAGGATATGAGAAATCTTCTTGAGCAAATGGCTTCCTAATAATTACAAAATTGTAAGTACAAATTATTTTCAAGTGCGAAACGATAAGCAGAGAAAGCAACAAGTCCTCATAATATAAAACAAAACCTCATATAGTCATGTGCAAAAGAGCAAAAGTGCTTAATTTGAGGCTGAGCCTGGGACTTCAGAACAACAAAACTCAAAGCTTGCATGGCCTTACGTGCAGCAGCTAAAGAAAGGCAAGGTCATCACTGCCTGGCTATGTTTATGTTTTCCATAAGCATTCTCATTACTCAATCTTGAGATTGTTTTCACAGACAAGAGTATACAGAGAAAGCACAAAACACAAAGGGCTTACACAAACACATTAACCACTACAGAAAGCTTAAAGAAAATGAGGCACAAATCACCAAATAAAACAGACATACAACAAAATCTATATCAAATTTATGACATGCGGAGCACAGGGAATCCCAGAGGCTGGCAAATACCTTCAGCATGGTCATGGCCATTTTCATCAGGGATGCGTTCAATCAGAGTCTCAATGGACTCATCCCAAATGGGCCTTGTGTCAAAGATGTCCTCAGGAACTGAGTGCTCGGTCTCAACAGATGGCAGATTTTCAATAACTGAAACTTCCAGGGCACTACTACTTTCATCATCTGAAGCTAATTCCTGTTCTCTTTCCGACAGTGTAAGTCTATCCACTAGCTTGGAAGCCTCATCACTAATTTCCTCAAAGAATTCTATGGAGTTTCTGTAAAGGTCAAAGAAATGCTCCTTACTTTCTTTTGTGGGGCTCACAGCCCCCTTGGAGGAAGATGTAGTGCTTCTGCTCTTAACTGGCAATCGGGATACAAATATCTTTGGTCTTGTGTCTCCTTCCTCTGATTCTGACTCAAGTTCCTCTGCCCTCTCTCTGCTCTCTGCCTCTGTCTCAATGTAACTTCTGGCTTTCCCTGGCCATTTGGTCTTGGAGTCCAAAGGACTAGCATCAGATTCGGATTTGCTTCTATTGTCTGGAGCTCTGCTCGTCACATCCCGTCCCTGAGGTGCCCCTATCTTATGGAGAGATGAGTCTAGAAGTGGGAGCTGCTCTTCTACTCTTTGGATGGGTGCTTTGATGGGGATTTTGAACTTCGGTTTTGCATCATCCTCCTTACTTTCCTCATCCAGACTGGATGGAAAATCTTCAGAAAATGCACACTCATCCTCTACAGATGGATGTGTCACAGATGAAGTGGGGATAGTCCTTCCGAGGATTCTGGATTTGCTTTCAGTAGAAGACACATTCTCCATGGGTGCAGTGGGGATTTCAATCACGGACTTCACTTCCTCCGGGGAAGAATCAGGAGACTGCTCATCCCGATCTGAATATACAGACCTGGTGACTGTGGAAAAGTCTAACTGAACTTGGACAACTGGTTCTGGGGAGTCAAGGCAAGGTACCTGCTTCCTACTGGATGGAGAAGGTGTGTCAGGCATTTGCATGGGGAGGTCCTCAGCCCCTGTAGCAGTAGCCTCTAGTGTAGATGTTTCACAGGAAGCTGAAATCCCCACTTGAGCATCAAGGTGAGTATCTGAAGTGGGTATTTCCTCTATATCCTCACTTAGGTCATCTGGAAGTAATTCTGCTTCATCATCCGCCATTTCTTTTGATTCTGAAGGTGCTAGTGACTCAGCTGTTGTCTCCAGTTGTGGCTCAGCTCCTGTCGTCCCTGCCTTCATGTCTTCAGAGAAAGTCTCTTCCCTGGATTCTTGATCAATTTGAAAAAAGTGAAAGCTTTCATCTGCATAGGATCTTTTGGTCATATCAATGGCACCACTGCGGGTCATCTCAAACAGTTTTCCTTCCTGAAAGAGAAATGGATTTTGCTCACTTGTTGGGGTCCCCTCTTCCGTTGGAGTCCTAGCAGGTGTGGTATCAGGGGTGGTACCCTGTGACTGTCTGTCTACCATCAAGCCAAATATCTTCTGCTCTTCTTCTTTCACCCGAGCCTCAAAGGCTTCATCATCTTCACGAATTTCACTCCAGGAATCTGAATCCACATCTGTTTTTGTGATGATAACTTTGCTTATTTGTTCCCCAATGATTGTTGGTGTATTTGCTATAGTAGGCTGGGGAGAGGAGAAGGAGCTGTCTGACTGCATTCCCCACACTGTACTTTCTGGTTTGGATTCTGCTTGAAGGTTCTCACTCTCAAAATTAGATTCTTTGCTTGAAACAGTTCTACTAGAGGAGCTTGTTACTACTACCTCTGCTACAGAGGATGTGATGGTAACAGAATGCACTTCAGAAGAGTGAAAACTCATGGTGTGACTGGCATCTATTTGGGTTTTGCCTTCTTCACTAGAGAAAAAAGGTTGAGAAGGAACATTTTCATAAGGGCTTGTGATATGAGGATCATAGATTTCATTAGTCTCCACTAGGTGTGACTCTGGAATGTCCATGGACAACCTATTTGTTTGAGTTATAATACATGAGTCTTGTATGAAACAGTCCTTTGGTGAGCTCTCCAAAGTTGGGTCACTGTTGGTTTCCTCTATTTTTGTAGTAGAAGATATATCACCATCTAATTCCTTTTCTTCAGATACTGGACAATGAGTGAAAGAGGACAAAGAAGAAGGACTTTCACTGGGGCAACTTACTTGTGGAGATTCCACTCCAGAAATATCGAGCTCTTCTCCTTCTGTGTCATTTTCATGAGTGTCCTGGGAAGCTAATGATTCCTTATGGTTGACGAGCTGCTCATTGACATCATCAGCTGACTTCTGGAAACCTGAAGAGACAGGAGAGGCTGAGCTGCTAGGACTCATGGCCTCACACCCATGGCCATCACAGATTTTTAGTTGATTGGTGTCTTTGTTTAGATCATTGTAGGACTTATCTGCTTCATCAGTGGAAAAAGGATGACTGTCTTCAGCTGAATGGGATTCACTGGCTTTTCCTTCTTCTGAATTACCTAGCTCTTCCTGAGTATCTTCACTCATCTTGAAAGTATATTGTTTGGAAACTATAGGCTGAAAGTGTGCTTCTTCTGGGCTAGAATTAGAGTCTATGCTGGATGGAAGTGGGGAAGGAGGTTGCACTTGAATAACTGGTTCGGGTAAGAGGCCTGAGTCAGCACCTTTCTTCAGCTGAGTCAATTCAGGTTCACTTTCTGAGGAGGAAGAAGCCTTTCTGCTCTCGGAAGTTACCAACATGGGAACATCACTTTTACCCTCCACACTCTTCATCTGTTTCAGTTCATCTACATCTGCTGAGCAGTCAGCCTCTGGGTCAGAGGATGATGAAGACTCCTCTTGCTTGGGTTCTTTTCTGTAGTCCCTTTTCTGCTTTGCTTCTTGTTCAAGTTCATCAAACATTTTAATTTTGGTTACCATTTTGAACATTTCCTCTTCAGGTGTGAACCTCTTTTTCTCCCCATTTTCGGAGTCATCCTCCTCTGTACATTCCTGAATCACAGCTGGTTTGGGGGTACATGCCTCTGAAGCTTTGGGTGTGACCTCATAGCTGACTTCTTCAGAGCTGGGAGTGTCAGGGGAAAGGGGGCTCTTCCCTGAGCTCTCCATCAGTGACGTCTGCTCAAGACTATCGTCCTCAGCACTGCCATCAGGATCTCGGAGTAGCCGGGACCGCATGGAGGCCACTTCTGTAATGAGTTCTGTTTTGGCTACAGTGGCAGGAAGAGCAAAGTGATTTGAGAGAATTCCTGCCTTCATCTTTGGTTCAACAGGGCTGCTTTCAAGAGAGTCCCGGCAAGGAGATTCTTTCAGGGGACTTGGTTCCAGAGAGTCAGGAGTTTTGTGTGAGGAATCGTCTTCTAGCACGGGGCTGGCTTCCAGAGAGTCTCTGTGGCTCACTGCCAATGACTCGTCAGCCGCGGGGCTGAGGGCCTCACTGTCTCGGCTGGGGAGTGCAAGCTCTAATGCTTGGGGGCTCCTAATGGCTGCATGGGGCTTGGGCTTGGTTTCTGGGTCTGTCTTCACAGAAGCATCAGGCAGGGTTGAAGGCTTTGCCACATCTGGGGTGGCTGTGCTTTCCTGAGTTTCACTATCAGTTTGTGTCCTAAAAGCTGAACTAGCAAGTGTAAGCTGACCTCCGTCAGAGCACACTTTCTCAGCCAGTGTCCTAGAGGTTTCTTCTGCTAATGGCACGATAGGGCTGCCAGAGCAATCATCTTTTTGTTTGGGGCATATGTCTCTGGGAGAGTCTGGGGAGGCATCCTTCTGAAAAGCCTCAGCAGAGGGCTCTGGGCCCTCAGGGACTGCAACACCTTGATCTTCAGAACCATCAATGATGTCTTTGGTTGTAGGAGGTTCTTTTTCTGAATGAATTTCTGGGGGTGTTTCTAATTTGGTGGTTTCCTTTATTTCCCCAATTTGCTCCTCACTTTTCTTTGGTGAGAAAGAAAGGCTTTCTGGGCTGGTCTCGGGAGTCTCGGCAAGGCCCTCATGCTTGTAGCTTTCTTCTGAACTAATCTGTGGGGTTCCCTCCATCAGGCTGCCACATGGTGAGCCTGCTATCCCTTCCTGCTTTAGGCTTTCAGAACTGTCAGCCAGAGCACTGCTCTGGAGGGACAAAACGGGGAGGAACTCATCCTTCATATAATCTAGTGGGAAGGCTGTACTGAAAGGGCTGGTGAGGACTTGGTCTAGGTGAACCTGTGCCTTCTCTGTCTCTTCACTCAGGCAAAATTGTTGGTATTTGTCATTGTCTTCTAACTCTTGTTTAATGACGTCAGAAAAGTCTGTGGAGGTTTTCCTGTCTGGGCTGATCTGCAGATCCATGTCTTCCTGTTCGTCAGCCACCTTTTCCTTGGGGATTTCTCTCTCTCCATGGCTTTCTTCTTCATACACTGACTGAGCAGGCTCTGGGGTTTTGTGGCTGGGAGTTTTCTCCTTCTCTCCAACTGCCTCTTCTTTCCTAAACCCTATGGAGGGGGCACGGACACCTCTTCTGGATTCTGCAAGCCCTGTCACTATGAATCTCTGGCCTCGTCTGATGGTCTGACTCTCTGTTCTCTGCATTTCTCTCTGGCTGGCTATCTGCCCCTTTTCTTTTTCTACCCGAGTTTTACCTTTTTCTTGTGTCTGCTTTTGTTTTGCTGATTTGTGCTCAAAGAGCCCAGTTTTATGTTTTGATGGGTCCTGACCTGATTGGAAAGCTTTCATCAACTCCCGGACAGACATGGTTTCCTCAATTCTCTCTGTTTTAGAAGTGGGGGACACAGGCGGTTGCTTCTCTGTTTTCCCAGTTGGTGACACAGGCAGGTATTTGTCGTTTTTCCCGGTAAGTGGATGCTTCTCTGCTCTTCCAGAGGGTGAAACAGGCAAACGCTTTTCTGTCCTCCCAGGTGACAGTGGAGGATGTTTCTCGGTTCTCCCAGAAGGTGAAATGGGTGGGCGTTTGTCGGTTTTGACCGAAGACGAAACAGGTAGGTGTCGTTCTGATTTTGTAGATGACACAGGGGAGTGTCTTTCAGTTTTGGTCGAAGGTGACACAGGTGAGTGCTTCTCTGGTTTACTTGCTATCAATACAGGTGAGTGTCTTCCAGTTTTCGAAGAGGGCGACACAGGTGAGTGTTTCTCAGTTTTACCTGATGGTGACACTGGAGGGTGCCTTTCTGTTTTTGCAGTGGAGGAAAGGGAAGAGTGTCTTTCTGTTTTAGAGGATGGCGATGCTGGAGCATGCCTGTCTGACCTCAGCAAGGGCGACACTACTGGATGCGTCCTGGGAGTGGCCTTTTTGGGCATGTCTTCTTTGCCTTTGACTCTGATGGGCAACTTGCTTCGCCCTTTCTGCTCATCTTCCACTCGCTTCTGGAGGGCCTTCACTTTGTCCTTTATGGAGCCAATGGGAGTCTCTTCTATGAGAGGAGAGGTGGCCTTTGCAGTGGGAAGAGGAGCAGGGGCCAGACCTGGGTCTTCATTTAATGACTCTTCAGAACTACCTTTTTTGAGTTCTGTTTTTTCTTCACTCCCTGTTAAAACTTCCTCTTTTTGTTTCTGCTTTTCTTTTAATTTCTTCCTCACTGGCTTCTTTATCCCCAGGCTTGGTCTGTGCTGCTTCTGAGTGCTGAGTTTCTCCTCTTGGGGTGCAATCTTCCCCGCCTTCCCAGAGCTCCTACTAGCAGCTGGTGCCTCACCGGCCTCCCCAGCCTTCTCTTCCTGAGGAGCCACATAAGCATTGAGGTCCTCAGCCAGGAAGTTCACGAGTCCAGCTGAGTCTTTCTCTGCTTTGACTTTGGTCTCTTTCTCTAGTCTAACTTCTACACATGGAAATTCTAAGATTTCTAAAGGTGCTTCCTCCTTAGCCTCCGCTACGTCCTCCTCACTAACAAGAACCCACTCCTCTTCCTCTACTTCTCTCTCGGCCTGAGAGCGCTGCTGGCTGCCTTTGTCCCTTGTGCATGTTCCACTTCTCAGGATCTCATTCACCTTCTCTAAGTCCTCTTTAACTCTTTCAACGATCTCAAAGGGCTCTCCTGGCTCTTCCTCAGCGACCTTCACCAGCTCCTTCACTTTCAGGGAACCTGCCTTATCAGACACATCTGTGGTCAAGATGGCGGTCATTTTGATCAAGTCTTGTTTCATCTCAGAAACTTCAGAGAGCAAGTCCGGACTTGCTAGGACAGGAACTTCATTAACCAGGTGACTTTTCAGGACAGATGTTTCTGTAGATTCTGTCTCATCATCTTTGATATGAATGAAAAACATTGAAAGTAAAATGGAAATCAAAAAAGATATTGGCAAATGTAATCAGGACTGAAAGGACACAGCGTCTTTTCCTGTCGTGGTAGGAGGGGCAACAGAATGGGCTGGGAATGGTGGATCCACAAGGCCTCAGGGCACAAGAGCAAAGCAAGGCTAACAGAAAAAAACTGAAAAGGAAAAATGAGCAGGAAATAACTTGCTTAATTTTCTCACTTGTAGCACATCCACACATATGACAAAGCTATCACAGATAATCAAGACACACACACAAAAACCACCACAAACCACAACAAAGGAAAAACGCAGTGATATTACACACAGGTATCTCAAGATTGTTCAGATGTTACAGATCAATGTTGGAAAAAAAAAAAACCAAACAACTATGGGGAAAACAAATAAGGAAAAGGCACTAGAAATCGCAGAAAGTTGATTTCCTCTGGGAGAAAGCCAGTAATAGCAAACTCAGAATAATGTCCAATGATGTACATACATTTTTAAACACATACATCTAAGAATTCAGCATGTTTTGTTCTGCCGATATGCAATGATGCCAGAAAACATATCTGAATCAGCTGCAAACTGGCATTTCATCCGAGGGAAAGTCACACCTAACAATGGAACACACAGTATTGTGCTGTGGACTGGCATGGTCCTTTCCTTGGAGCAACCTCCTTGTTTAGACATGGAACAGACAGACCAAGGAGGGAAAGAGAGGAAAGGAAAGGAAAACAACAGAAACAACAACACTTGTGATCAAACACATATGTGAGTCCAGAGTTAAAATATGAGGCATGGCAATCCAAGTCAAGACAGTCACACAGGACACACGCACAGTTTATGTAAGCCAAGTTATTTCCATGCAAAGCAAAGGTGGAGTAAAACTGTGGGGAGAGGTGGCCTTGTGGAAAAGCATGGGCATGAGGGTGATGAGAAATTAGAACGAATATGTAAAACATTACTGTGGTGAAGCATATTTACTTCCCTACGCATCAGCACAGAAGATGCGACGTGCAGTGCATTTGAGGAAACTGCAATCATTAATGGCCAAAGGAAATCTCAGCTAGATCTTTAAGATTTACTCAAAAAATTTTAGGAAAGAGTGCCTTCAAAGGAGCCTTTCTTTGAAGATTATTTTTTACATACATAAACATTATCTCATGATCCTCTTGAAAATAAAACCAGACAAGTCTGGATTTGAAATGTGTGAAACATTCATAACATCTAGGAGTGATTCAAGAAAGCTCATGGCAGTATAGCAACATGGCAACTTTTTTTTCTTCTTTTTTTTTTTAACAACTGAGTCAGACATACAGATCATACTAGCACATGTGCCAGGAACAAAGCAAAGGGCCATTTAAGAAGACAGTTCTAAAGATGAAAGAGAGAAAAAAAAATCACTTTTAAACAGGGTAACCAAGGAAGGCAATGATAATGTCATTAAAACAAAAGGCCCTTCTCTCAAGAAAATTTGTATTTGTTGAGTGACTATGTATATATAAAATAGTTTATAATTAATATCAATACAGATTTGTTCAGTTATATAAACCAGTGAAAATCTGTCCAGCCTCTCATATATCTTAGTCTTGAATAATGATTTCACATGAGGCTAAGCTTCAGTGAAAGCCATTCCAATAATGTAGCAGGAGATCACACTGTATTAGGACTGAAAAGAAAAAGCCTACAGATCATTATGTAGGGACAAACAGCCATATTAAACATGGCTCTGAATTTTCTTCTTTTGGGAAGAATACAGTACATCCCATAACATTAAAAAATTAGAATTTCTTTTTCTAAACCATTTGGGGCATAAGAGGCAGAAAACTTTAAAGCTCAACCTGAGTTTCCATACAAGAAGTCAGAGTCACTGGAAATAGGGCAATTAATTAAATGTTAATTGAATATTACAAACCTGAAAAGAATTCTTGGATAGTTCTTTCAAATCTATAAGAACCAATTCTCTCTGTATTTGACCAGGTTTAGGATTTTTGCCTCATTATTTAAAATTAGCCTGATATTAACACATTATTGTGATTAGTAATTTCATCCTGGAAGATTTAAATTTCGCATTTTTGAGTCCTAGGTTTTTTCTCTTTTCAGAAAGTTTTCACAGAAAGTTATTAGATCTCAGCCTACAGACTTTGGTTATACTCCACCGCAGTAAGAAAGAAGTGCAAGGGAGGGATGAGGGAGTTAGCTTCAGCTAAGAACTATTAGACAGTATCACTTTTGCAGGTGAACCTTTACAAAAAGAAAAAGAAAACAGGAGATCTCTATAGAACTCATTGTTGCTTTATATAAAAAGTGATACTGTCAAGTGAGTGCTTAAAAAATAATGAGATGACAATGTTATGCTAACAACTGGACAAAACGGTAGGGCGTCTTTCTAAACAAGCGCAACAGCAATACCAAGGTTAACAGGGATGTCAAAAGAAAGTGAATGCTTAGATAATAATCATTGCGTTTTTACAGCTAATTAGCTCAAAAATTAGGTATACTTGTAATTTAACTGGCCAAGCTGCTTTTATAAATATATATGAATGATTAATAAAGATAATATAAAAATATTATAGTGGTTAATAATGGCAACTAGCTTGCATCTTAAGTCATGCTTCCTTTTATTGTAGCCAGCGTTCAAACAAACTCAATTTCATTTAAAATCTTACTTTTTTCTGATGTCATATCGATCTGAAAGAAAACATACATAAATTGAATGGTTACAAATAGTGTCTAGGCTCATGGACCCAGCTGTGCACAACAAGCTCCTATTCATAATTACACACATGGGGTGACATCACTCCCTAGAGGAAGGTCAAAATAATTGGCTAAAGAGTTTTTCCCCACCCTGGGAATCTCAGTGATTCTTATCCTAACTTTGGGGAAAAAAATCTCTTTTCTAGAAACCACAAGTGGAAAATTCTTTTTAACATGTTATTCCTGGGGGGATAGGACCCAGGCTGTATTTGACATGAGAAATACATAATTCTTAGGTAAAAGGTCAGGAAAAGGGAGAAGTCAGTATTAATGAGTGTCAACTTAGCAGAGCAAAAGAAAAGAATAACAAACAACGTGCGGGGGGTGGGGTGGGGATTAATTCTACAAAAGTAGTTTCATTACCATTAATAACAAGCCAGCATTCCAAATCCTAAAAAGAATACAGACTGGGATCTATTGCCCTGAACAGCTCTGGAAGTATTCAATATTCAGTAGTCATACATTGAATGGAAAAATTTGTGAACATATAGCAAGACTGGTGTCACCGTTTCTTGATCTTTCAAGAAGGTATGGAGGCCTCACTTTTTAACAGCTATGCTGAGGGGTCGCAGAGCATAGGAAGGAAACTGAGCACATGACACTGTGCAGCACAGGGAGAGGGTGATATCAGTCTTGTCATCAGTAATGGTGTGCATGACTATATATGACAGAACAGGGAGCCTCTAACCACCCCTCTCCTTCTGCTCCATGACCAAACTCAGGCCTTTTAATTGTGGGTACAAGGTACTTACTATCATTTTGTTTGTATTTTTGTATTTCAAATGTATCAAAATAACATTATAGAAGCCTATATATTCAAAATATTTACATGTTCTTCAAAATCCCAGTTGTTTGAGAAATAGGAACTGATAGATGCATAAGCAAACACAACAAGTTTCCTGATGATTCATTTCATTTCGGTTATAATATTTAAGCATTTGTAGAACTTTATAAGGAAGACGATCAAGTTTTTGTTTTATTTTATTTTATTTTTTTGGTACCAGGGATCAAACTCGGGTCCGTGCGCTTGCGCAGCAGGCGGCGAAACCACTGGGCTAGATCCCGGGCCCTCACATTTTTGTTTTAAATATTGAAACATATAATTCAAATGGCTACTGATTCAAGGTAACCTAAGATCTGTGTTCTCATCTGTGGGACAGCAGCACACACCTCTAGCGTAAGCAAGAGATCTGTGTTTATATGGCCTGTGGGCCTCTTCATAAGGACCACAATTTATGAGAAATGTTCATGACTACCATAGCTCCCCACTGTAATGTTATTCTAATCTAGAGGATGGACTGTATGCTTCTGAAAATCTTTTGCCTCAGTGATTCTCAAACTTTTTGATCTTAGCACCAGTTTATATGCCTAAAACCTTACTGAAAAGCCCAAACATTTGTTTATGTGTGATATGGGTAAAATGAGAATGTGTATTACAAATTAAAGCTGAGAAATGCTAGAATCAAGATCACACAAGCACACATTCCACTGATGGTCAGAGTGCCAATGTGATCACAGATATTACAGAACCTCTAGAAAAGTCATCTGGAGCTTGTCAGGATATGAAAACTAAAAGGGCAGATAATATCTTAGTATTATTGTAAGATATTCAGATGTCTTCAATCTAACTTTTGAAAACTGCTGGTTTACCCTTTGAGAGTTGGCAGAGAAATATGTATTACTGCATAAAGAGCTAAAATTTATAGAGAAACTTTCCTATTCTCTGAGATGATTCTAGAGGACAAGAAAACAGGCTCAGAGCATTAAGTACAATTCTGCACCCTGAGGTACTAAGAACAGCTGTCTACCCCTCTATGAACAGATTAAGTATGTTCTCTTATTAGCGGTTATGAGGACACAGCCATGAACAGGTGACACTATCACAGAATTACCTCTTCTTCCTGCTCTTGATCTGACTCTGATTCCTGGATGCCCAAAGATGCCATGCAAGATGGGAAAAAAGAGAGAAGGAGGAATAGAGTATTTAGAAGAAAAGAGCAAAAATACCCTGTGACATACATTAGCAGGCAGCATACATTCAGCATATTCTTTTTTCCCTTACTAACAGTTTATAGAAGGCAGGAAGAAAAATTAAAGAGCACTGACAGAAGTCAATAGATTCAAGGGACAGAAATAAGCAACATTATAGATATACTAATTTCAGATGCTATATCACCAGCAGCTTCAAAGTATTGACATTTAATGAGTCAAGTCATATTAGTCTACAGAAACAGTGACATGATACCCCAGTCCTTATGTAGTTGAAAAGGTTAAAAGGTACAAGAAAGCATATGGAGAACACATTTTAAATACACTGGGAATATGTAAAAGTTTTATTATAATAAAGAGCTACTAAATTCTAAAATATCTTAAGTGTAGATGTTTGACATTTTCTTCTTTTTGTTTTAGTTACTAAATAGAAAACTGTCCTTGACCAACATAGACTGTCTGATATGTCTGGATTCAGAAAGAAAATGTAAAATAAAGTAAATGCTTTCTTTTATAGCAAACTGAAAACTCACTGCAGCCAGTCAAAGTGCATTCATCTTTGTATATGACACAGGTGGCATGCAGATGTTGTTTTTCTAGCTACCATTCTGGACCAGGTGCCTCACTAGTAATCAGCATGAAACCTCAGAGTGCTTTCACAACCACTGGAGTCCAGTTAGGCTATGCTCATTTGGGTTGAAATAGTTATTGCTATATTGAATTTTTGAAATAACATATATTTAAAAATATAGATATTTCATTTCCTTTTTAACCATTTAATAGGTACTGGCAGTGTCTTACATGATGCTACGAGCTTTACTCTATGTAGGTGATTTTTGTTTACAAGAATAATTAACTAAGCACAACTCTAAGCTCCAATCTTTGACAACCAAATTTCAAAGGTTATAGCACCACTTTATATGCCTAAAAACTTACTAAAAAGCCTGAAGAACATTTATTTATGTGTGATATGGGTAAAATGAGTATCTGTGTTATAAATTAAAGCTGAGGAATGCTAGAACTCAAGACTACACAAGCACAGATTCCACGGATGGTCAGAATGGCAACGTCAAGGTCAGAGTGAAAATCTGACAACCATAGTGGGGTACAAGTAGTCTACAAAACTCTGCTTTGTGGAATGATTTGTCTCTCTATTTCCTATTATCTCTCTTTCACTTCACCTTCCTTTATATTTTGGGTTTCTCATATAATCTACTTCTCCAGATGTTTGGGACCTCACTCATCTCCCTCCCCAACGTGTAGGATACACACTCCTGCTAGTGACCTCTGACAGCCACCAATCCAGTGCTGTCCGTGGCTTCTAGAGAAGTTACTTGCACTCCTGAATAATTCAGTGGTCTTCTTTGATGTATTCAGTATACGTGAGGAATTATGTTAACAGGGGAAGGTTTGAAAAGAAAGTAAAGCCTATAGATAAACTAGGTCAAGAATTAATACATTTTTTCTTTCAATAATATTTCAAATCTGTTCTTTGTAAAAATGAGGATTTAAAAAATACTGATTATATTCTTATAAAATTGAAAACTTAATACTCCTAAAACAGGACAGGTTATAAGATAAATAAAAATTGGTATAGCAAAAAAATAAAACATCATAGGAGTTTGCTCTGTATTTAATAGGATATGATCCACCAGTGCATTGGTGATGACCTGAAGCTAATGGACTCTAACATTTCGGAAGGGACAAATACATGAGAATGGTCTTAGGAAAACATGTAAAAATAATGAAAAAGCCAACTATTTTGTTTTTAGGGTTAGTTCAAAGTGATAAAATCTAAACTCATTTTTCTCTCTTCAGTGTCCCACATATATTTACAAAGTTTTCCACTAAGTAAGTGCAGTTAATACATGACAAGGTGGAACTATTTTTTTCTTGGCTTGAGTGGAAAATTGTAAACGTAACAAAGTACCAAAAATGGTTGTTATTATGTGCCTGCATTCAGTGAGTCTAAATGCTTTAAACTGGTCTCTATATTGCCTGCTTTTATAAATCCACAGGAGACTCTACAGTACCTTTGTATAAATTGGCAGGGTAATGTTTAAGTTGCAAATAGCTTGATGCACCAGGCCCCTTGTGGATTTTGGCTCCTTCATAAATGATAGTCGACCGCAAGGTTCCTGAGTTGTATCACGGACCTTGAACAAGAAAGATTCACATGGGGGGATTTAGCTCAGTGGTGCCACCACCTGCCTTGCAAGCACAAGGTCCGGAGTTCGATCCCCGGTATCCCCTCCCCCCCAAAGAAATGAAAGACATTCACGCTTCACCCATGTTTGACATTCACTATTTAGTTGATTACATCATCTTTAACAGGGGAAAATGAAACTCATTGGTTAATACTTAGTACAGATTCAAAGGCCTTTCCTTTTGTCTTTTCCTATTATAATTTAGGATGACTTAAAAAAAATCATTTGCTATTGAATTTTGACTGACAGAATGGCACAGATTTAAGGTATATGATGTGGTTCGATGCATGCACACTGTGAAAGGGTCACTACAGCCAAGCTAGTTAATACACCCACCACCCCCGATAACTGCACTCGCGTCTCTCACTTAAGACTTCTCTCGGTGAATTTTGAATATACATTATGTTTTAAATATAGTTGCCACCTTGTACATTAGATTTCTAGATCTTATTCAGCTTTTTAAAAACTATAAAATGCATATAGAACATAGACTCTATCATTTTAATATTGTAAGTGTATAATTTAGTAGCATGAAGCACATTCATAAAGTTGTGTCATCGTCACCATTATCCAGAACTTTTGATCATCCGAAGCTGAAACTGTACCCATTAAACAGCAACTCCCGATTCCTCAGCCCCTGATAACCCCTATTCTACTTTCTTTCCTCTGCATACACCTAGGTAGAAATACTTACCTCACATATATGGAGTCATATATTTACTATTTATTTTATTTAGTATAATGTTTTCAGGTTTCATCATATTACACTATCAGAATTTCATTTCATTTTCTTATCTGGTAAAATATTCATAACAAAATTTCACTTTAACCATTTTTTAGGTATACAATTCAGTGGCCATTAAGTACATTCATCATAAACCATCTTTACTCAAAAATTGTTCATCTTCCCAAACTGAAACTCTGTGTGCAGTAAATAATAGCTTCCTAACCCCTCCACCCATTCTTCTGTCCCTTGTAGCCACTCTTCTCTTTTCTGTCTTTTATACCCTAGGTATAGCATATAAGTGAACCACACAATATTGCCCTTTTATATGTGGCTTATTTCATTTAGTATACATTTGGGTTTATATCCAGATAACCCCCCAAAGCCTCCTATACTCATAGTTGGAGCTTTTGGGAGGTGTTTGGTTTATGAGGTTGTTGATACTCATCAGTGTATTAGTCCCCTCATGAGTTTATAGCTAAATATGATATTGGGAGGTAAAGCCTGGTTGGAGGAGGTGGGTTCCTGGGGCATGGCCTGGAAGGCTCTATTGCCTTCCTTCTTTCCTTTTTTTTTTCTCTCTCTGTCTCATTTTGCTTCCAGCTGCCATGTCATGAGCAATTCTCTACCTTGCTGCTCTTCCACAATACTCTGCTTTGGAGCCAGCTGACTATGGACTGAACCCTCTATAAACTGTGAGCCAAAGTAAATCTCTCCTTCCTTTTTTGTGGGTATCAAGTATTGTGTCTCAATGATGAGAAAGTAACTAAGTGTATGTCTGTAAGAGTAATCCATATTGTAGCACTTGTGACAATTTCATTCTTTTTTTAAGGCTGGATAATATTCCATTGTTTATTTATATCACATTTTGTTTATCCATTTATCTGCCAATAGACATTTGGATTGCTTCCACATTTTGGGTGTTGTGAATAAAGCTGGTAAGGACATGAGTGTATAAGTAATTGTTTGGGTCTGCTTTCAGTTATTTGGGGTGTATACCTAGAAGTAAACTGCTGGATTATATGCTAAATTTACATTTAATGTTTTGAGGAAATACCATACTGTTTTCCACAGTGACTGAATTCCTTTAAAATTTTATCAGCCTTGCAAAGGGGTTCAGAATTGTCTCAAATTTATTTATTTATTTTAATAATAGTTATTCAATAGGTATGAAGTAGTTTGTCAGTGTGATCTTTATTCGTATTTTCTTAAGCAAGTACTGACATTGGGCATTTGTATATCTTCTTTGGAGAAATGTCTGTTTAGGTCCTTTGCCCACTTTTGTATTGGGTTGTTTGAATGATGACTTTTGCATATCAATAATGTCAAATATGAGCTTAATTTTGCAGCTGTCTGTGTTAAACGGATCCAGGAGCCCTCAGCAGTTACTGTTTAATGTAGTGATCTACAGGAGCTTTTATCAATAATCAGGCAAAAAATGAGACAAGCAGCACAATCAAATATTCTTTAGAGATCTCAGGAAAACAAGAAGGGGTTTGCAGATACATGCTTGGAAAAATCATGAGGGTTAAAATAATAAAGGAATCATTGCTGATGAACAGTTGGGAATTTGTAGCGTGAAGTCGGTCCAGGAAAAAATGATGGAGACTGGCCTCTACCTTGTGAGGATTGAACATTAAGACCTCTGTGTTAGTGAAATAAACCGTGAAACACAGGGAAGAAAACAAGCAGCTAGAAAACAGAGCTACTCATTTGCACTCTTGTGGACCTCTTTTGAATTTGAATCTTAAATAAAACTTATATACGTAACTGCTAAGTCCATAGCTTAGGTTAATATTCCCAAACAGAGGCTCCAAATTCATAGTGCACTAACATGTATGTCTCCATAATGTTCAGTGAACTTATGAAAGTATATAAAGTCTACAGATTTAACTGGGGGAAATTCTTAGTAAAAGTGATATACTGGTTTTTTGGAGAGATTTTATTACAAACAGTTGTCAGAAGTCTTTTGGGCCCCATGCTTGTGAGATTCACATGTACTTGAAAAATCTAAACATAAATATTTAAAAGAAGTATTAGAAAAATGCATTTTCATTCACATTGAATGTTCAGAGTTTCTAATGAATGAATTGGGCATAACCTGACCTTGTTTCCTCCTTATTCATAGTCTATAACTAAAAATTAAGATGGACTCTAAACTTCAAAAAAAAATTTGGATTTCTAGGAATATACAATTTTATAGATGTGGTTTAAAATATCCTTGGAAATAACTGAAAAGCAAATATTCTCTACTACAAGAGGAGGTCAAATTCTTTCTGGCTCTTGAATAAAAGCAGATAAAGTTCCATGCATACATTACCTTAACAAAGAGAGGAAGTCTGTTTTCTTTAAAGGCAAAAAAACTGAAGATATGATGTTGGCCACTCTTAGTTAAGGGCACAAGGTTACCAAAACAATCAACATAGATGGGTTTTCCTTCTAATACCTGAATGAAACCAGAGAAAAATAACCGAATAAAATAGCTTCAATTATAACTTATTATTTATTTATACAAACAAGAACTAGTAATACTAGTTGGTACTTTAAATACTTAAAAACATATGCATAATAATCACTGTCAACTGACATTCTGTTTTATCTGTGGCAAACCATGTACCAGCCCATATCTTCAAATACATGGTGGCATTTAATGTTATTTCTAACCCTGGATCAGGTTACCCACAACAACCAATATATATTTAATTCCTAAATGTAAAATTCTACTTGGGTAGCTTTTGACATCACAATGGGTCAGATTATTGGATTTCAATATCCAAAAACCTACACAGTTTGGAAATTCTAAAATAAGAAAGAGTAAAATAATAAAAATTAAAATAAGAAAAAATAATGTAGAAAAATACTGGCTATCCTACTTCAACATTTCTTTAGAAGGAAGTACTTCCTGGAATGTTTTCTTTCTAATCAAAAAATAATAAGAACAACTAGAAAAGCTAAAGAACGTTTAAGCTGCTGTAGTCATATATTTCGAGCTTATCATTAACTCACAGTTTTTTGCCCAAATAATCTCTCAAGGAATTCTTTTACCTCTTCACATATACTGAGATCATCCCTACAGGACAGGTCCAAATTGGTGAAAAAAGGCTAATTTTGGATCTTGATCTTCAAACTGATCAAGCTGTGGGTGGGTCTTTCTTTTTACGTCTCTGTTTATGAAATTCTATTTGATATACAATCTAATAACAAAAGCTTCATGACACAGCACACCCAAACTCCTCTCACAGTACCTCTACATCCCTGCTTCTGGCCACCTCAGCAAAGTTTTCTTGTTGCTCCAGGGTCTTATCCACTTTGTCATCAGTCATGCAGAAACATCTCAGCCTGGCTTCGATGGGGTCATGGGATTTGGCAAACACTACAAATTTGGCCATGTAAGGTACACAAATAATTTCTCTATATACTTGTGATGCAAAGGCAACAGATTCCTGAATCTGTCGACAATCTATCAGCCAGAACCTTTAAAAAAAATAAAGTCAGTTAACTAAAGTTTAAAGTATGCCACTTGAAAAAAATCAGTTCGTTCATTTTTAAGTAAAAATCAACATAGTCACCAAGTTCTTCTTGGAAAAGAAAGGGGAGAGACAGTAAAAGGAAAACAGAGGGAGGGGAAGAAAAGATGGATGGGAGGAGAAGGGAGGGAGGAGAGAGGGGGCAACATTTTTAAGATTAACTATTAAATATTTCCCTGTGCTTTCTTCCTTAGAAACTCTCACGTGTATTCAGTCTAAATTTATCTTCAGTGTTGGAACCCTTCAGCAGTTTTAGCCTTCAGTACCAGACCTCAGGACAGGGACCTCACAGAAGGATGCCTATTTTCCTTGATTCCTCTCCTTTGTTTCATTTCCTGAAGCTTTTTAACAAAATATACCCAGCTTTTCTTCATTTCATCATTCTTTTCCAAGGAACTCTCCAGTCAACAAGATTGGCTCCATCACTGCAACCATTTAAAAAACATGCATGGTTTCTGCCTATAATCCCAGCACATTGGGAGGCTGAGGCAGGAGAATCACAAGTTTGAGCCTACCCTGGGCAAAAATAAAAAATAAGAAGGACTGGGGATGTAGCTGAGTGTGAAGGTCCCTAGTTCTTCAATATCTGCTTGCTGGGAAACCTTCCTCCAATGATTACTTTCCTTCCCCAAACTCATTTCCCACAGACTTTAAACAGTCCTGAGATTTCCTTACCCTTTTAGTCTCTCAATATCTTGATCCATCTGCTTCCTCAGTTGTGAAAAATAACAAAAGGTTGCCATTTAACCATTTTAAGCGTACAATTCAGGGGCATTAAGCACATTCACAGTGTTACGGAATCATCACACTCCCTTTCTGGAACTCGCTCACCATCTTGGACAGAGGCTCTGTCCACTAACCAAGAACCCCTGGTGTCCCTCACCACGGCTGTGGGGAGCTTCATTCTCCTCTGTCTCTGTGGATTTTCAATTAGCATAGTGCTTGTAAGATTTAGTGTGGTTCCTGGCTCCTGACAGACACTCCAAATTAGCATATTTAATTACTGTTTCTTACTTTCTGGGAATTAAATTATTAATGTAATAATAAATTTTGTGGCATTTTTATTGGTTTTATTTAAACATTTTATATATTGAATATCTACTTATATATATTTATGTTTATATGTATCATCTCACAACATATTTTTACTATAACCTTTTTAATACTTTTTTTGTAGTATTTTAATGTGCTTGAAGTTCTCTTTGTTTTTTGTAGTTTTAGTTGACAGATACTCTTTGTATATATTCGTGGTGACGCCTCACTTCTTTTCCCCACAAAGCCATGTATAGCGTTGTCATCCAACAGCCCAGCATTATTTCTGAACTATAGGCAACACGGATGGTTGTTGGTGTCCCTCAACACCCCGGCATTCTGCCTTTGCATCCCTGCTCACATTCATCTGTTCCCGTTCTATCTGCCTATTTATTTGGTTCCCACATACATCTCAAGAGTGCCCTCTTCCCAGATGCCTTCTCTAACTATAGGACACCATCTCTAGTGCCTCTAGTCTGTCTTCTCCTGCAGGACGCATCACCTTCTGGCATCAGACACAGATGCATGGTTGGCAGGACACACTGAAGCAAAGAACTGTAGCTGCCTGCTGAGCCCTCCGAGTGAGGAACTATAAACATGGGGCATTGCTGGGAGCTGTTAACTTACTGTTCATGCATTTTTACCTTTCCTCCTACCTCCATAGGAATTTAGGGTTTAACTACTCTTGCCATCAGTTTTGTCATCTGTAAAATGGACACAATGTCTCTTGCTATACTTGTCATTAAATTATTGTAATATCCAATTAAAGATGATGTGAGTGCTTAGATGAAGATGAAGTCTTACCTAATGAAAGACCATACAAAGGGGAACTAATATTAAAAAACTGAGTTAATGTGTGCAAAAAAAGTAGATATTATCAGTTTTTTAAAGATGTGTAATAACTGAATGGGTAATATGCAAATGTGTTAGGATGTATAAGAGCCCCTGAAATCTCTAGACCATTTAGGCAAGCCACGGTGGGCTTTGTGCTTTTGTTATTCTGTTGAAAAAGTAATTCAGCCTATGTTATTGGCAACAGGAAATTTCTCATCCCTAAGGGCTTTACGACTGGAAACATCAGCATTAGCTGCTAAACCCAGAGTCAAAATCATACAACCAAAGGAGTCACTTGTTTTCCTTAGATTTTCATGACCTGTAGGATTTAGTTACTGTATTGTTACTACTGCATTTGCTGGCAGGTCCAGACCGTATTTAAAATGGAACCAAAAAAGATCACTTTTAAAGAATTAAGAGACAAAGTAACAGAAGAACAAAATGACAGTTGTGGCAGGGAAGCACGGTGGGCTTCTTCCTGCTCCTCAGCATACCTGGCAGACACGTTGGTTGTAAAGGAAACACATTCATTGACAAAGGTGAGTGGTGTGGTTCCTGTGATGTCTTCCCACTGCGCAGGGGTGGTGCCGCCTGAAGTAACAGGGTAGTGGAAGAAAGTTGGGCAGAGATTCAGACTCTGGGCTGTGGTTCTGGCTGGGTTCCCAAAGGTAATCCCACCCCACCCCTCAAAATGACACTGAGAACAAAGTGGAAAAACTACCTGCTAAAAATGACAAACACCACTTCTCAAGAAACTCAATTTAAGGGAAATTATTTAAATAACTCTACTAAGCATTAGTTCTCTGCCTGAAGCATTTATTTCAATTGTAGCATTTAAAGTTAATTTTGAATTGTATCTAATTGGTTATTTTAGAAGATTCCCTGACCAACTAAGAAGCTGAATACTTCATGAAAATCATGACCCATCTAAATACTCTCTTGTTCTTGGACTTCCTATTTTACACAACTATTTTCAAAACATGAAATTTCTTCTCAATTTACAATGAAGGTTGGCAAATAAATATTGGAAAAATACGAAAAGTTCATGGAGGAATGAATCCCTTTGTAAATAGAAAATTACCAGAAAGGCTAATGGTGACCTGCCTTATAAGAGGGAGAGACAGAATAGCCAAAGTGTTGCAGGACAAACACACACTGAGATGAAGGGAAGTCTTGACTCTCAAGTTTCTTAAAGAAGGGAATGGTTAGCAAAGAAAGCTTATAGAAGGTTACTCAAGTTGACCTTTAAAATATGCACTCTTGGGCCAGGGATGTAGCTCAGTGGTACCACGCCTGCCTTACAAGCACAAGGTCCCGAGTTCGATCTCCAGCACCACAAAAAAAAAAAGTATTCTTGGTAGAACTCTAAACAGCAAAAGACAAAAATCTAAACCCCTAGCTATTAAAATTAACGCTTAAATTTATTGTTTTAAAAAATAATTTTAATTTTTAAATAATGAATTGTGTAGTGAGAGACCATGTGAGACAAGGCCCTGGAAGAAACAGGTCCAAAGGTGGCCAGGCCCACACGGTGTCTTCATTTCAGCACCATGAGTGCAGGGTGTGGCACAGACGTCTGTAGGCTCACAGGGTTCACATCCAGGTCATCCTGCAGTGCGTCACAGAAGGGCTGATCACATAGCCCTGGAGCCAAGCCATGGGGAAGACGAGCAAGTGCGACAGGAATGAAGAGTGAAGCAATGATCCCTACACTCACCACAGTCTGGACAGCTTAACATTCTGCCATGTTATTAAACTTACGGAATAATTTCAATGGTTCTCTATCATAAGCATGAAAAATGCTTTAATAAGAAGAAAAATTAGAGTCATAAGATGGAAGAATTAGAGAGGGAGAACAAAATAAGGGTGAACACTTCTGCCAATCTGAATGAAAACTGAAAAAAAATTCAAATAACATTAAAATTAACCAAGAATGGTTATTGTTCCTATCAGTGATAGTGTCAATATTTACTGCATACCAGCACCACATAATCATGATTAAAATGGGTAAGTTATTGGAGCCGGGGATTTAGCTCAGCAGCGCCGTACCTGCCTCGCAAGCGCAAGGTCCTGAGTTCAATCCCTGGGTCCCCAGCCCCCCCAAAACGGGGAAATTACCAAAGCAGGTAGTCCTAAAACAGGTTATTGGTATGAATTTCTTTTCCTCTCACCGTTTGTAGGGTTATTGTTACGAAGAGACAACCAATGTTTTGGGAATGTCTTTTGAGAGCTTGGTAGTTGTCTGTAAGCTACTACAAAGATCAATTGAAAAGGCCAAAAATCAGTTAATCATTAAAAAGTCTTATTTTGTGTTTCCATAGCTAGTTCAAAACATCAGTGATCCTAGGTAAAACAGTATGGCTGAACTATTGAGTATAATAATTCAAGGTGGTATTTCCCCACCTTGAGTTTTCCAATGAAAATTTGAAGCCTGGACTTTGACAGTGTATGGGAGTGGGTTTGAATATCAAGTCAGCCAAATATTCTAGTATAACTCAGGCAAGTTACAGAACTTCTCTCAACCTTGATTTCTTTTTTATTCAGAGTGTTGAAGTTTCCTCGTAGGGTTACTGTGAAGAATTAAATGACAATGCATATAAAATATCTAATACTTTGATATATATAGTTTATTTCAGAAATAATATTCCTTTTCAGCTTTCACTTCCCTAATGAATTAAAAATACTTTTCCTGAATTAATGCATATAACTCAGCAGGCATCTTATGACCAAGATAATTTAATTTTTGCGATTATCTACATTTCTTCTTGCAGAAGTCTCTGCTAACACAGTCATACACGACTCACCTGTTATGCTGCATAGTAATCTTAAGGTTGGTGCATCTCCCCCAAAGCCATTTAACATGACATCACTTGAAGCTTTGGGGACAGGAATGGTCATGGTAATTGGCTTGTGGAATTTTCTTCTTCTAGGTTCCAAAGTGACTATAGGGCTAAAGGTAGCTTTGTTGCCTAGGATCTTCTTAACCAGCTCACTGGGCATAGGTTGGGCCTTGACAAAGCAAAGAAAAATGTTAAACTCTATTCTTATATTTAATGTCAAATATCTTACCCAGAGATTTACATTTTATCTCACAAATCATTCTGGTGGAAGTCAAATATGACAATCACAAGTTTAGTACTATTATACCTGTGGTCTCCAATGCGATGGTAGCTTTTGCTCACTCAGGAATCATTTGACACTTTAACCTTTTCGTTTTCATTTGCAAAACTGATTTTTAATCACAAGAATACAACTCATGTGAGAGTCACAGGCAGTAACATGGACATACCTGCAGGCCTACACGGATCCGCTTGGTCAGTGCACCCTCTGGGAACACAGCCTGCACCTGGGGGACCACGGTGCTGCTCAGCACGCCGCCCTCTGGGCCAATCAGGTTGCTGTCCTGTTTGATGCGAGACACCACTGCAAAGTACTGTGGGAAGTCACGGGTGATGATGCGGCAGATTCGTTTCTTTTCCAGGTCTTCTGGGCTGTCCAACACTGAGGAAAAAAATGAGCCATCTTTATAGAGCAAGAACTTCCTTCGGGAGGGAGTCTAGCCAACTCTTGCATGGTCAATGGTGGACAGATGTGGCAGCAAAGCTCTTTTATTTTTTTAAATAATAAGAAAATATAAAAGGTAAGGCTATCCTAATAGCCTCTCAAGACCCATCAATATCCAGCTTATACATTTTCTTTCTTTGTGAAAACTGGGACCTCCTGGGGCACTGAGAAAGAAAGGCATCTCTAGCCAGATGTGGTACCTCAGGGCTGTGGTGGTGAATCAGGGCATATGAGGGCAAATGTGGGAGGAAAATGGATCTGTTATATTATGGCTCATGGAGGAAGTTGCGCATGAACTACTTTTCTTTGCAAATTTCAAAGTTAGCCCAAGACCAGTGATTGTGGTTTTAAGAACTAATATGGCCTTTTGAGTACTCAGAGGAGTAGTGGAAGAATAAAATCTGTCTTGAAAGGGTAGTTAAGGTTTGTGTTTATTCCAATGAGATGGTTGTCTCTGTGATAGTAACTGGGGATATAAAAAAAGACTGGTGACTATGCTTTCCAGGTTCCAATATTCCTTTGATGCCAGTGACTTACCAAGTATGTCATCTAACACCAAGAGGACAGGCTCATGGGCACTGTATAAATTGCACTGGTGTAGCTATTTAGTACAATACAAAAAAATCGCAATGGTTTAAAATATGGAAAATGTAAACTGCACTTCAAGGGATTATGGAAAGTTTTTCATTTTTAGAAATCATTTACAATTCATCACAGAGGGAGAAATGCTAATTCTGTGCTTACTGACTACTGAGTATAACAATACAGTAAAAGACAGAAGCCCCAGGATCTGAATATACATAATTAAAACTGATGAGGGCCAGGGATTTAGCTCAGTGGTTCCGCTGCCTGCCTCGAAAGTGCAAAGTCCCAAGTTTGATCCCTGGTACAAAAGAAAAAAAGACTATTAAGATAATGAATGAAGCCAGGAATTTAGCTCAGTGGTTTCACTGCCTGCTGTGCAAGCGCGAGGACCCAAGTTCGATCCCTGGTACCAAAAAAAAAAAAAAAGAATATAAAGATAATGAATGAAGAGCTTGAAATAGTGCCTGGTGCCTTGTAAAGTTATATAAATTAATGACAAATAAACAAAAATGTATTAAAAAACACAAAAAACTGTACTGACAAATACTAGCATATACCCTCTTTCCCCCAAAATTAGACCTAACTAGAAATTAATCAGCTTTGAAAACTAGAAAAAAAAAGCCAGCCCCAATCAGCCTATCCTGGCCATCCCTGCCATCACCGTTCTCTTGCTCAGTGGCTGCCCTGTAAGGCAGGTAAGGCAAGGATAGGCTGACTGGGGCTGCCACTTTTGATATCTAGTTTTCAGGGCTAATTATTTTCCAGCTAGGTTTTGTTTTCAAGGAAACGGTGCTTAGAAAAGAATACATTTCCAAATGCACAAATATAAAGAAATCTGACTTTTTTGGTTTTAAAGTGAACTTTTTACATATGGAAAACTTAAAAGAATTTGTCCTCATCCACAGGCAAGATGCAGTACTCATGTCAGCGTCAAAGGCAGGTACCCATCTGAGGGGAAAATATCCTGGAACTAAATGCTGCAAAGAAGATAGTTCTAGGAGAAGTAGCTACATGTTGCAGGGAATAAGCTTTATCACTGATGTAAGAATTCTGATCTTTCTATCTTGGAAAGATACTTGGAAGATACTGACTTTCACACTTAGAGGGCATAATTTTTCCTCTTCCACCTTGGGAATAAGGTAAGCCTGTCCCTCTCTATTCTTAGGATGTAATAACAAATATTAAAGGAGTTGTGAGCAGTTTACTCTCTACTATCCCTGGGCCATCCCTGAAATTACAGCCATCTCGACTACAGGCAGACTGATAAACTCGCTGAAAAGCTGTACTTATCCCAAGGTGTCCGGCTCATCACAAAACTTGGTATGATTCTGGCACTTAGCCAAAGAACTTGCACTAGTTTTTGCAGTTTCTTAAACTGGAATGTGTCTTGGAGTGGGACTAGGACTTCACTCTGCGTCCCCTCTGGAGGCTTAAGAATGAGCCACTTCCCTCTAGTCTGAGATCTTTCAATCCGTGGTTTACTGGCCCAAGATACACTTGGGATTTATAGAAATTAAAGTTCTAATAAAAAAAACTTAACTTGATATGTGTATATATGCAACTCAACCCTGGTTAACTCCCTGTCTGAATTATAGATAGAAGATTGAATGAAATTAATATTTTTACCTCCTTAGAAAGATAAAGTGTATTATCTCATAACTATTTATGAGACATAACAGAATAGATTAGAACTTTTTATCAGTATCTTAAATATCTAATTTTTTGGGTCAGGGATTTGGCTCAGTGGTTCTGCCGCTTGCCTCGCAAGCACAAGGACCCAAGTTTGATCCCCGATACCAAAAAAAGAAAATCTAATTTTTTAAGTAGACATTTTTAAAAAATCACAGTTTATTCCCCAGTATCAGTTCATCCTGTCACACAGCAACAGTATCTGTTCTACTGCTAGTTTTAGGTTTTAAGAGGTTTGCACTGAAGACGGAAGCATGTTGTACCCTCTTACTAAAATGATATGGTTGCCATCTTAAAGGATTTTCTTTTTGTGAATGCAACAGAAGCAAGAACAGGTAAATGTACTATGCATTCCAACTCATCACCACTGGAACACAGCAGGTGACCTGGTGTGGTTAAATACCACAAGGGACACACACACATTGTCTCTCTCTCTCTCTCTCTCTCAGAAAGAAACACTCTATTATTATTTTCATGCTTTTAAAATCTTTCATTGGAAGGTACCTTCGTCCATGCCATTCAGGATTTCATTCAGCTCGTCTTCAGTGTATTCGCAGAAATGCTCCTTCCAGCTGTCGCCGTTCTCGCTGCGCAGGACCACCAGCTCCCTTTCCTTTCCTCGGAGGGCGGCAAAGTGGGGGATCTCCACGATCACAGGCCTGACACAGCAACGCAGACAGTTAGTATCCACAGGCGCCAACCAACAGTTGGACAAGCACCTCTACTCTGTCTGTTGCAAAGTGACCTGGAATTCTACTCTTTTTGGGGACGGGGACATAGTGGGCCATCCTCCAGGGCCCTTGGGCTAGCAGATGGTCACATAGTAGCACTCCACCTCAGGGGCACCGGTCCTCAGATACATGCTGCTACCTTAAGCCAAATGATGTTTCCCTGTGAGTGCATGTGGCATTCTGGAACTTCTCCTTTGATAAATGCAAGGTTAACACATTTAACCAAATGAAATGTGCATGCATATCTGTGATGTATGTCAATCTCCTAAACACATCTTCTACAAGGTGCAGAATGACAAAATGGCTTACGAGGGAGAATGGCTCAGAGGCTGCATGTTTCAATGTGTCGTAAATGAGGAGATGGGAGGAAGGGAGACCATTTGTGCTAATGAGCCATGCACTCATGGATTTTGCTTGTATTTTCTCCATCCAAGGAAACAATAGGCATGTGGATACAGTATGGGCGCTTCAGCACACAGACCAGTTGTGTCCAATGCCTATTATACTCAGGACCCAGAACATGCACCCTCCTACAATTCATTCTCAGAATATAGAGATTTTTGAGTCCAGGTTGCTTTGATACAGACTCCAAACTCATCATAACAACACCGTAACTAGCACATAGTACAACTAGGCAGATCTCATGCTTTAAACAAAAAAAATGAAGGTCACAGCACTTGAAGGGAAAAAGATATAAAAACATCACTCCAAAATAAAAGTCACATACCACAAGGGTCAGAAATGGTCCACTAAAGATAGGTCATACAGAGTTTAAATCATAGAGAGGGACATGTCATGGGCACAATGACAAAAAAGAGAAATCATATTGCAGAAGAAGGAGAAGAATGGGGGGCCAGCAGCCATCAATTTGTTTTAAGTCACTCCTACCCAAGGAATTTGGTTCCAGGAGGCCCCAGCTGAAGGATGCGGCTGACCAAACTTTCTCCCTCATTAAGTGGGGGAGGAGCCGTTGGCAGGTGAAGTTTACTGAGTATATCCAAAGCAGCAGTGAAAGAAAGAACATAGGTAAGCTTCAGGTGTTGTTTACCACAGAACCCCAGCATCACCAGCTGATCCTCAGGGTGAACTGTGGGTTCACACTGCGTTTGGTTCTGTCCCCTCCATTGGTCACAAAGAGCATGGTGCCAGCACCTAGAGTGGACAATGGAGGCAAGTCTGTGCAGGGAGGGCACAGGGCTGTCAGGGCTGTCCCTAGTTAGGTTCACCGCCAGGGCACTAGCCAAAAAAGACAAAAAAAAAAAAAATGCTCCACAGGAAAGACAAAGCTGTTTGGAACATAACAAAAACTCTGCTCTGTCCAGAGGCCAGATGTTTTCATGGATATTCCCAATGGAATGGAAGGGCACTAGCCAAAAAAAACAAAAAAAAAAAAAATGCTCCACAGGAAAGACAAAGCTGTTTGGAACATAACAAAAACTCTGCTCTGTCCAGAGGCCAGATGTTTTCATGGATATTCCCAATGGAATGGAAGATCATTAAAATGCCTAGAACTACCTGGGCAGGAGGGCAAAGGGTCTGGTATGGAACATGACAAGAATGCTTGGGGATTCCTCCAACCATAAAGGCATTTTCTGATTAACCCAGAACTTCACGGGCTTCTTCTAAAGCTCTGATCTGCCTGAGACTAGGACATGAGAGGTGGTTTCTATAATCAAGAAATGCCAACACACTCCTTTTTTGGGTGTGAGAGTAATTTGGAGCAATCCGTGAACTGTTTGCTCTAAATTACAGGCTTTAGAACATTCCCTGAGTTCTAAAGTGAGAAGCCCTCTCCCCAGTATGACATTAACAATGCAAAAGAGTTCATGATTAATAAGATTTTCTCCCAGATTTTCAAGCATTCAGACTTCTTATGACAAGACTTAAATACAATTGATTTGTTTCAAAATGATTTGAAACTTGTACCCCTCCAAAGCTTCAACCTTTTGTCAGTTTTGGTGGCAAGCTATTCAATTCTTGACACATGGAGATGCTACTTCACAGAACAGCAGCCATACAAACAAACAAAAGAAAGAAGTGGTGATTTCTGCTCAAAATTGCCAAAATGAGCCTGGCAGAAGTTAGTCTTGATGTTTTCGTCTTAAACAAACTGTGACTACACAGACAGCCAGTATAATTTTAAAGCTCAAGGTAGCAATTTTGATAACAGAAAAACAAATTACATAGACTAAGTTTTAAAATATCCTATAAAGGTAACACTGCCCTCCAAAATGAAGAACATGATTCTGTTTCCTAATTACATGAGACTTGAAACTTATGTTTGGAATAGAGCAGTGATTTTTTTTCTTTATATTTTGCTACTTAAGTTTCAGAAGAGAAAAAAAAAAACCTACCATGGGCTACAATTTGGTAATTCACACTGGGAGTCTTGTAGCTACTATCACATTCAAGGGAAAGACTAATAACCTGAATGTTTAACTCATTCATGCCTTAATATAAGAGGTATGAAAGTGGGCCAAGTACTGAGGTGCTACTTATAAAATTTTAAAGTTTCATAGGCACCAAACTTCTTTCAAAAGTGTTTCACTTACCTTTTTCTATTCCACGCTAGAGATTTCATGTAGAGGACACAAGCTCATCGGTGACTAAGTGTGAGGCTTATCAGAAACTCTTACCCAAGGAACTGAGCACCAGAAGGTCCGACTTCGATCAGGCGACTGGCCAGGCCTTCTCCTTCCACCATTGGGGGCATTGTCGCCAGTCGATGGCGCTTGACCAGTCGGCAGGTGACTCGCGTGGGCGCTGTGCATTTCCGAGGTGGAATAATGATTCGAAGCCCGTTGTGTCTGCACCCTCGCATAGCACCACCTCGGGCATCCACCATAAAACTAACCAGGAAACTAAAAATTAAAATAGAAGATTAGACACATTTTGAAATATTCGAGCACATAAACACCTTGGAGAAGTTAATGTCTTTCCTAAGTGTCGTGTTCTCAAAATATCTCCTTTTTATTTAAGCACATGGTGGTAAAACACTTGTTTTCAAAAGTTATTTTATTCCAGTGTCATTATTTGTTAGTTATGTTGTTTACATTTTTGCACAATTTTCATGTGTTACTAAAGAAGGATTCTAATTTTTGTTCAAAATGTTGACTTTAAATCTGAAATGCAAACTAATATATCGAACTGATTTTTAAAGAAACTGGAAAATTACATAAAAATATTGATGCCTCCTTTTGTTATAAATACTAAAACTTCTGCTTTCTTGTATGTATGTCCTGAGTAATTCACATGTTGAAAGAATGCAAGGGTATATTAGAAAGACTAAATTAGTTTTAATAAATTAATTCAACTTGATGTTTCAAAGTTATTCCTTGTTCAGTTCATTTTAATGTAATCTATGACTTAATAAAAAATTCACAGGCCCGCTCCCAAGGTCAAATCCATGCCAATGTATCATCATCTTATCCAGGATGCAAATTTATTAACGGATTACATTCTAAAAGAAAAACAAAACAACTCAATGTTTTTAGGTAGCATGAATTTGATGGTTAAAAATGCATGTTTTCACTTTTTTAATAGAAATCTCTCTGCCATATTCTCACTGATTCAAAGAGGGGAGGGGTATTAGAAACAACCAGAGCACACTCAACCCTGTTTCTGAAGGGTCATTTCTAGAGTTAGGAACCCTGAGCTCATGTTGGAGGCAGATTTCTTCCCAGCATGAGTTTTCCCCAAATTATTATACACTGAATATAGCAAATCATAATTTAGAAATACAAAGGCATCTCTATTATTTTTGCTTTGTCTGCTAAGCTAATTGTTCTTGACAGAGAGAACTATAATATAAAGTGACTCAGTTTGCCTCAGTGTGGCAAGAGAAAAAGGTTGTTTGAACTTTGAAGCTAGTCCCTTTAGGATGGTCACATGTCAACTTAGTGTGAATTATTGTCACTGTGTTAGTTATAATACTCATGAGAATCTCTTAGACACTTTCTCAAGGAGCAAAAATTAAACAAGACAATCTGCTTGTTGCACACACACACAAAGATACATACAGTGTGCAGACTCTTACACAATTACACCACCTTCCCCATTTTCATTGCATTTGCAAGGTTGTTACATGAAAAGGACAGCAACATATAGATGTTTCCTGGGTTCACTTAGAACTTCAAAACACCTAGATATTGCCTTCAAAACAACAGAAAAAACATTTGAAACATGTTTCATCACAGTTAGTTGCAGGATAGAAGCACAATACATTTATGTTATTTTTAGACAAGTGAAGAAAAATATCTTAGCATTCTCTCCACAGCAGAACACAGATCTCATTAAGCATGCTGTCAAACAGAAACCCTGTTGCTAGTTATGAAACGCGGGTGCGAAGGAGCCCAGGATGCCTGTCTGAAGCATGTCATGCAGTATGAGACCATGGAAGAGCACCCCAGCACCCACATGCAGGAGCCAGGCCAGGCCTGCCATTCAGCCCCTGTTCAGGGGGTCTGAGTGTTCAGGGAGGGCTGAGTACGATCAATAATTCAGGACCTAAGTGTTGATGTTTCTGATCTTATCAAAACACAATGAGGAAATGCTGGCTCTTTTCTTATTACTGATCTTTGATTTCTTTAAAAAATTTCTTTTTTATTTGACTTTTAAATGTATGGCTGCTCAAAAGAATAAAAGAACTGGCAAAAATTCCAGATGAATATAAAGGTTTCCTTTTTATTATTCTTGAGTATGGTATTTACATTGATTTTCACTAAAAAGTAGAAAAAAAGCTTAAGTTTCAACTGTTTTCAAATTCATTACAATATCTGACACATTGATAATTAAAGTTAATACTTCCTCTCTTTCTAGAAATCTTTTGATTACTATCACCATGGGTAAACAGAAAAGGGACTAAAATAAGTAAGGAATTATTACAATGTATCTGCTTAATCTTGAATAGTATCTATACATTTTGGAGGCATTTAAGAAATTTCCACACTTATGTGCTACCATATTTTCACTGTATTTAGTTCAGTGACAGCTCATAGCCTGCACAGTACCAATTCTCCATCTAGAAGAAGGTAAGTTCTTGTGGTCCAGTCTCTAAAGAATGAGCTGAAGTGGCTATATTCTTAACAGTAGCAATGTTTAAGTAAGTCCACATTAGATTCCTCTGATTTTGTGTCACTGGAACCTTCTTTCTATTCTATTTGATTTATGATTTCCATTTCCATATCCCTTTTCATGTAACCATTGCTACTGACCTACTCTGAGCCAATGCCCCATTAGAAACTGAAGGTACAGAAAGAAATACAGAAAGAACAGTAGCTGCTGCCAGGAAGCTCATCATCTAAGCCCATGTGTAATGTGTTTCATCATTTTCTGGTCAATGAGATATAACCTATAAGAGGATATGACCTATAAGGGCCACCTAAGAGCCAAATGGCAAGTTTTCCTCATTTCCTCCTGTGTCCCCTAGTGCCTAGCACAGAGTGCAAGGAAGACATAGAAGGTAGTCAACAAATAATTTCTGAGTAAATGAGTGAATGCAAGAGCGAAAAGGCAAGTTATGAGAAGTTGTATATATTTATGTCTAACAGAGAAGGCCAATGTAAGAGGCAATTTAAATCCTGGGTCTCTGGGCAATTACACTCAGAATGCTTTCAAATCACTACACTGAGAAGCAGCCACGCTGGTGGAAACCACTATTGTTAACTTTAAATCACCTGCCACAGGGTTATTTCTGCTCCAAAATGAGAGACTTGGTATATTTATTTCCCTTGATAGAGGATTAGTAGAAAATGGGAGTAAGTAAACACCAAGAGCTTGAATCTAACAAAATAAGTAATTTAATTAGGAGTAAAAATTGTATGGAGAAGGACCAAAATAGAGAAATCAAACTAAAAGAACTCACAGATGGAAGCTGCTAGTAGATAAATTTACCTGTAAGTATCTCCTTGTCACTATGGACCAGGAAAGTAATATTTCAGTATTGTGCCAGATGTAACCCATATTGGAAAAATCAAGTGGCAATATGCACAATTCAGGGGAAAATTAAATTTCTAAAAAAATAAGCCTTCATGTTATTATTGAGTAACTAATGTGACACAGACCAACAGAAAACAATTTCTTGTGAGGAAATTTTCTTTAGAAGAAGAGAGAAGAGAAAAGAAAGTGAAATAGAAAGAAGTCAAGAAAAATGATAGGATCAGAAGCCATGAAAGAACTAAGTATTAATAGTGAAAGTAAATGAAAATGTTATAAGTCAACCAGGAAAATATTCTAAACAAGTCAGACTCAAATAATGTAACTGCCAAGCAAACTAAAAAAAAAAAAAAAAAAGCTAAGCTCATGAAATTGCAGGCTAAAAGAAGCTTTTTTCTTTAACTAAGACTAAATAGGAAAAATAACGACTCAAATTTATTTCTAGGTGCTGATGAAAAGTCTATTGGTAAAGGTCAATATGCTAATCAATTAATCCCAAAAGTGTATAACATAAAACTGGATATTGAACATTTTCATAAAATACAGCCACTCTCTTTGGGTAGGTAGGAGAATTAGGTGATAGTGATTCTGGAATGTATAAAACAACTAGGAAAAGCAAATTGAGAGAGGTGATTTACTTGTACATACCACAGGAAAAGGAGGAAGATTGGAAGGTATGAACCATGAAACAAGTCAGTTCACATATTAGAGCTGACCAAACAAAACTGATATTCTCATGTTTTGGAGAGATTAAAAATGGGACATGATAATGCCTGCAAACATTTGGAGAACAGAAGAATGAAAATAAAAGCATGTGATGAAATATGTATTAGAAGATGTTATATGCATTGAAGTTCAGATCTGCAGGCTGTGAGGTTTAGGATGGAAATGAGGGACAGTCCCATGACTGGCTGGGTTGTGGTGAGAATAAAATGTGTGAGTAAAGCACATAGAATTCAATAACTGCTTGTTTCCATCATCTATTTTCCTATAGCCAGAGGGTTTTGTGTATTTTGAAGGTCTTAAAAATTGTAACCACTTAAAACTAGGAAAACTAACATTTAATTAGGAACCTACAATGAACCTGGATCTGGGCTAGGCAGTCTAATGGGTATGATAGTTTTTAATAGTTTATGAAATATGCTACTAAGTAAGGTATGAAAATACTGTTATCACAGAGCACAGGATAAGGTACCATATTCTTTCCTGGGCATAGGTTTATCTCTGTCATAAATTATTTCTGTAACCACAGGCAAGTCACTTAACATTTTTAAGTTTTAGTTTTCTCATCTTTAAAATGAGAGACTTCAGTGAAAGACGCCTTCCACAGTTAAAATGCTATGTTCAGTTTACGGTTAGCTAGGTTAGAAAGCCTACTGAAATGGTCCATTTCAAACGTTCTGGAAGAATTCCTGATCTGAGATAAACTATTGTTACTCCAAGAAACCTGTAGTATTTTTGCTCTAGGGTTACAACGTGTTTTGCTGAAAATGTGTAACACACCTCACTAGACACTGATGATAGTATCAGGTCACTTTCAGCTTTATTGAATTATCTAACTCTCTAAATGAAATTCAGCAGTCATGCAAAGTAGAAATTCTTATTGAAGGTGTCTAAATTGTGAGATATAATGTTATCACAATTTAAAAAGAATTAAAGCAAAAGCAACCCTCTATTATTATGCAGATGACTTGCCTACAAATAACAATTTGATTAGCTGAATAGATACATGCCTCAGAAAAGCAACAGAAAACAAAGGTTTGGTCTTTTGAGGACTATGTCCTCCACCCCAAATTTACTGCTACTTAATTTTACTTTTAATTCACCCAGGACCGTGGGATGAGGACAGGGAAGAGAATGCAGCATTCAGTTAGTTACTGGGTGAAAGAACTGGGGATAAAATCTTCAGGGTGCTTCAGTGATCCACATGTACATAGCAAGAGGGCCTCCGATTAAATTTCATTGCTAAGGAAAAGTGAGAAAATTATACCAGGAGCTCTCTCTTCTCCAGAATCCCCTCGGTCTCTCCCTAATTCTCCAATTTCCATAAATTGAAAAGTTGATGAAAATGGTCTTGAAAAAGGTGGTTCAAATTTGTAAAAAATCACACTCCAAATTATTTATTAGTCCCTATATTCCTCTATAAAAAGATAACATTTAGTGGGTATTTGAGAAAAGGCAAAAGGATGGATATAATACTTTTCAAAAATGGAAATACAAAAGTTTTTTTTGTAGCTTGATATATCATTGACTATAGAATAAAAGCACCATAGTCAGCAGTCTGAAAGGAGCCTCTAAAAATAACTTTACTTAAGTAACATAGAATAACCACTATTTTTAGAATGCTGATTAGAGTCATTCTATAGCACAATTACTAAAATATCAAAAGGTTGCCCTTAAAGCAGTACTAGCAAGGAAACAGATTATTAACAAATCTTCAGCCTTTCATTCACCTAGAATATGGTCAGATAAGACAAAGGAAAGGAAAAAATACTAAATGCCATTTAAAATCATAACCTTTAATAAAACTTTAAAATAGCGCAACCAATTTGCCTAATTGAGGTGAGCATTTTTTAGTTCTATGTAGCACTTTTGCTCACAAAAGAAGCTGTGATGTGAAGACCTGTGACCGAGACAGGTAGTTCATATTCATCTGGCACAGCCCCATCTTATTTCCACCAACATTAAATATAGCCCCCTTTCACTTCCCAGAGAGGAAAAGTGAGCAATGCCCACAATCTGGAGACCAGAACCTTGGTATCTCTTTGGCTAGGTATCTTCCACACTAAAGCATCCTGAGGTGGGTGTATCCAGAAGGAGGTGGTGACGGGGTAGGGAAGGAATAGGCAACATGTTCAGAGAAGGAATTATGTAGAAGTTCACCTGCTGTTGTCACGATCAAGATATGGAGAGGTGCGGCTGCAACAGAATAGATACTTTAGCACAGAGAAGGAATGGATAAAGTGAAATATAAAGAATGAAATCAGAAGTGACTTTCAACTGAAATATATATAATTCATACACCAATATAATATTCATTGGAGAAGAGGTTGGAGATTCAAATGGAGCATAGCTCTTTGCAAATGCTGAGAGAAGAACAAAATATGGGGGCTTTGTAGGTATTCCTGGCTAGAAAACTGGGTATGTCATCAAATCCCTGGATTTGTAGCCTGATTCAACACTGGCTTGTGGAGACATTTGAAAAAGTCTAAGTAACCAAGAACCTGCAAAATATGAAGGGGTATTATAATGAAAAACAAGAAGTCTTTGAATTGCTGGACACAGTTTTGACTCGAAAGCTTTTCATTCATATTTCTAATAATTTTTAAATGATGAAAAGGGGTCATTTAAAGTGTACTTCAATGACAGAGAGCAGCATAAACTGTAAGGCAGAGTAAGTAGTATTAATTACTAGTAGGTAACAAAAAGCTATGAAAACACAGTCCTAGCACTTCTTTCAAGACCTCATTTCTTGCTTTGGGGATTGTGATCTTCCTCACTGGATCTAATGTCCAATCCCATTCTGCAGTCGTACCCCTCACCTTTCTCTATCTATGGGTCTACTCTTCCTTCAAACCCTCATAAGCTTTCATATGTCTCCCTTGTGTTTTTAGCACCCGATGGCATATAAAAGCATGTTTAATAGGTCAGAAATCCAATCTTGTAAAAACAGTTGCTTTGCTACTTATAAAACAGTTTTCTTTATCGAAACAAACTGCTTTTAGGTACCTAAAAGAACCTTAGAGTGTTAGGAAATATATGAACAACAAAAATTAAGTGCTAGGACTTAAACATTATTGTTAACAAGTGAGCAACAGATGACTTCTTTGCCAAAGAGTCCATTGTTTGAACAAATATCTTCAATATATCTTGAATGGAATTTATTTTTACTGTAGTGTAGGGCTCACAGCAAAACTGTCTTCAACATTTTTGTTTGTTTGTTTGTTTTGTTTGTTTTTTGGTACGAGGATCGAATTCAGGTCCTTGCGTTTGCCAGGCAGATGTGGTGCCACTGAGCTACATCCCTGGCCCTCAACATGTTTTTTTGTTTGTTTGTTTGTTTTTGGTACAGGGGGTTGAACTCGGAACCTTGCACTTGTGAAGCAGGTGGCTGAACAATTGAGCTAAATCCCAGGCCCCTCAATATGATCTTTCTGAGACATACATTCTTAAAATATTACCTTCTTAGGGATTTGAGTTCTGAGGAATTTTGAGTTTTTTAGGGATTTGATTATCTTGTAGTGCAATATCATGATAGAACTTGGCTGTCAAAATTACAAAATTATAAAAGTAAAGACTTTTGGAACAGCAATACTGAAAGTCAGTTATAAAATTAGCTTTTGGTAGGAATTTGTCTTACATCTGCTAATTCATCACAAAATGAAGGAGAATCATAAAATTAAAACTCCTGCTCTAGCTTATGTTGGTTTGTTCATGACTGGAGGTGCTGGAAATAAGCGTTGGTTAGATTCATTGTGAATCAGTAAGGGAACTCTTTAAAGAGCAATAAAAATATTACCGTCAGTCTTTCCTTTGTCAAATATTGGCTGGATCTATTGGCCACTGGAGAGTTTTCAATAGTTAGACCCATTCTCCTTTCTCCCATTCTCCCACTGTCATGGCCATTAGTGTTTAAGAACATGGAGTAGCACTGAAAGAAACCTGTGAACACTAATTACTGGTAAAGACTACATTTTTTGTTAATCTAAAATAACTTTACTAAATTTAATACAACATAATGCACACAAACCGGAGCCATATGCATAAAAAGATAAGTATTATTCTCTATCAAAAAATAATTTTTCCTCACATTTTGGGCCAATTATTAAGTTACTTAAGAATTCATCCAGGGCCAGGGATTTAGCTCAGTGGCACCGAGCCTGCCTGGCAAGTGCAAGGTCCTGAGTTCAATTCCCAGTACCAGAAAAAAAAAAAGAATTCATTCAATTAATTAAAAACAAAAATCAGTTCCTTGAGAAAGCTACTACTCAGGAGCCTGGTATATAGTGAATAAATTTACATGAAATCGTCATTACCTGATATGATATTATAAAAGTTATTCATATACCTTAATATCATGGAACCCTTCAAATATCACAACACAGAATCAATGAGTTTTCATGGATAATTAACCATCTCTTTAGAACCAACTGCAGCACTGCATTTATTCAAATATTATAGAGACATTAATAGATGGTAAATTACCTAATAAAAATAATAAGTCAACTGTTAGTATTATAGGTCATGTTAGTATTACCATTCAGAGGGTTCAGAATACATTATGCTTAACTCATCTCCAATTTGTAAAAAAACTGGAATATGTGTATTAAATATGAAAGGCTATGATCGAATGACTCGTTATTTTTTTTAGGCCAGTGCTAATTATTTTAAAGGCATCAAATCTTTAGAACTCTCCTGTGGAATCAATAGCACAACTCTCATCGCACCGAAACTCTATAGAGATTTTATGTCACTTTGCTGCACTATCACATACTGAGAGTCAGAGTCAGGATCTGGATTCTGATTCTCCTGATACCAAAGCATACTTTTTCTTTTTTGGTACTGGGGATCGAACTCGGGGCCTTGTGCTTTCGAGGAAGTCGGGCAGAATCACTGAGCCAAATCCCCGGCCCTCAAAGCATACTCTTAACCACATGCTTCTGTCTATTTCACAGATCAACTTCCAACTTCAAACAACGAGATAATAAGTGCATTTCTTACAGGTAGGAGCTATATCTGGGCTATTTTCCTCGGCAGCCGGCTTAATGTCTGGAACTATACACAAATATGTCCACAAATGTATAAGGAGTAACTACATAAGGGAAAGGAGAGACAAAGAACATTTGAGGGAACTCAGTATACATTGATTATTGTCTCTCCACTAATCAAGACTTTATTGGGCAAAGTTTTTCCATTCTAATAATTTATATAATCAGGATGCGGAAAATACTAATGTCAGGGGCTGGGGATTTAGCTCAGTGGTTCCACCACCTGCCTTGTAAACGTAAGATCCTGAGTTCAATCCCTGGCACCAAAAACAAAAAAAAAGAAAAGAAAATACTAATGTCAGGGCCCTGACAACTGAGATTCAGCTATAACTGGTCTGGGATAAAGCATGGGCATTAGAATATTTTATGGCTCCCAGCCAATCCTAATGTACAGGCAGCACTGAGAATTCCTCGGAGTCAGTGATAAGTGACTGAAACTGATAGAAAAAATTAGTTTATTGGAGACTATGGTTTTTAGAGATCTTTAAGTGGTTAATCTTTAACAATTGGATGCTCTTGGTTCATTATAAGAAAGCCACCACTGTTACATAATTACGTACAGATATTATGTAGTTTGGTAGAATTGTTACAGATATTGATGTACTTAAACTGAGTATTTACTGCCCTCAGTAATTTAAGACGTTCTTTAAGAATTCCTTTAAGGGTAGATATAAGTGATTTATTTGGAAAGTCAACAACATTGACTCTTTAAAATGTAGCTAATAATAGTCAATTATATTTACCCTAAATAATCTCTTTCATTTTAGAAGGTGGCTAGGGAATTAAAATACTTCCTTGAGTTCCAGATTCTCATCTATTTTCCTTCAATCTTCCAGGTCCAGGACTCTTTTCCTTCTTACTTATCACTGTTGAAAAACGTAGTAGCAGATTGCAACCTTATGGGTTTTAATAATACATAACTGTGAGATTTTAATTATCTCTTTTTTTTTTTGGTACGGGGGCTCGAACCCGGGTTCTTGCACTTGCGAGGCAGGCAGCAGAACCACTGAGCTAAATCTCCGGCCCCTAATTATCTCATTTTATACTTCAAATGTGTAAGTAAATTTGGATGAAGCTTATTTTTAAAATTTTCCCTGAACAACTCTTGAATCAAAAATTATCTTTCTTTAACAAGGAAAATAGTATGACTTTTCAATAACTACATAACTAAATTATATGTTCTATGGCAGTGGTAACGAACCTATGGCATATATGTTATTTGGTTTTCTTGTAAGACAAAAGATGTTACTATATGAGTTTTCTTTTTTAAACTAAAACCTTACTATTCAGGTTTAATTGCAGTGTTGGCACTTTGTAATAAATAAATGGGTTTTGGATTGCAGTTTGGGCGCTCATGTCTAGAAGGCACTGTTCTGTGGCATTTATTTAGTAGAAAATTAGATTAAGAAAAGTGTAACTAAATTATCTAGGAAACTCTCCTAAAAGGAGACTATTTTATCAAAACAAAAGGAAGAAAGAGTCAACTACTACTCAAAATATTTCCATAAGTTGGATAGAGTTTGGAATAATAATTAAAACCAAAGTATTCCATTTTGTTAGGTAAAATATGGGTAGGGCTTTAAAAGAAATAACTAAATAAAAAAATATAGTGATATATATATATTTAGGATGTCACTATATTATTGAAACTACTAAAATGTAAAGAAAAAAACAACTGGAATGATGCTACAATTTAAAACTCCTTAAGGAATTTATATTATACAGAACTGAATTCTCACACATTAAGATCAACCCTAAGTGTGTTTGAAAATATGGGTCCCAGTCTCACAGCTTCATGAATTAATAAATAGGCAGAGCTGCTTATGGTACATGCTCTCCGGATGACTTCAAGAAGACTCTAAGCAGACAACTGAGGAGCTCACTTCAAACCTCCCTTTTTATTTACTACTTCAAAAAGGATATGAACTCATTTACATATTTGTTTGATTCCAACTTTGGCAAATATTATTTTTCATGCATTAAAATGGGAAGAAACCAGTTAATCTTAGCAAATAGAAATTTTCTAGAAAGCATCTGATTCAGCCCCTCTTTTTAAGATGTCTTAAGGATGGCAAATGAACAGTTAAGGAGGCCATCAGTAGATTCTAGTTAGTTAGCAAGCTCTCTGATGCATTTCTACTAGTTATTTAAAAACAATAGTCAAGTTTCTGTGCTGAATTCAACCCTTTTTGCTATTTTATTTCAGTAGATAGAGTCCATGTTGGAAAAAACAATATTATTTACCAGTTTGATCAAAGGTCACCTCCACTAGCCATCAGCTAAAGCTACAGGACAAAGCTGTTATTTTCACTCCCATCTCCTTGTACCTCTTGATCTGGATACATAATATTGACTTACTCACCCTGAATGAATAGGGCTGGAAGAAAGAGCCACGTTGTCCAAGTTCTCAGTGCCCCAGCTGAGACGATAAGAATTTCTTTCTGCCTCCTTGGCTAGAGTTGATACCTAAACACAAAGAACATTGGATTTAAGTTTAAAAAAAACCCAAAACACAACTTTGGTTCAAGTAAACTATAATACAATCTAAAAAATACCATCACAAGAAGGTGGTATTTCCCAGAAATTTTTTCACTTAAAAAGTATAAGACTAAAGCATTTCAAACTAATGTTTTATAATTCATTCCTTTCATAATTCCTATATACCAGGGATTGAACCTTATTCATTTTCACACAAAGCTACATGCCCAGCCCTCTTTTTACTTTTTATTTTGATACAGGGTTTCACTAATTTACTAAATTGCCCATGCTGTGCTCAAGCTTGCCAGGACTCCCAGAGTGCTGGGATTACAGACATGCATCACCATGACCAGCCTGCATTCCTTTTTAAATTATATCATTAATATAAGATCATTCTAGTATAATTGTCTTTGAAGAGAGTAGGTGTCCATCTATTTCCTTATATCCAATCTATCAAAAGTAATTTTTAAAATCATACCTAAAATAAAAACATTCCAGAGTATCTTTTAAGCCTTTTTAATAACTAACAATTTTAAATACTGAAAGATAATTTTAACCTGTTCCATTATCTTATACCATAAATACATCTTCTTTTTCCTTTAATAGAAATTCACTTTAAAAATACAAAATCCTTATATAAAATCTCTACAGAATTTAGTACACCTGGAAAAAAAGAAGCACCATATTATTTTAGAAAAAGTTCTCACTGAAAAACCTAGTGAACATTTTTCATGTTTTAGGAAACCTTCAAATCTCTTATCCTAACTTGTCCACTGAATTAAGGATTTCTTTATTAGATTAAAAGTTTTCTCAGGACATTTTCCACATCAGAAAATGTATAAGAAGCTGAAAGGGAAGAAGTTACATACCTGGTGACTGGGGATGACAATGGCATCGTCCACCATGGCGCTGTCTCTCAGGTAGGATGTATGGCTCAGGGTGTGAGACCTGTCAGAACTGAAGGACCGGAGGCTGGTAGGGTGGCAGGAGGCCATGGCCATATACCAACAGTGGAGGAGGGTTGGAAGGGTGAATGATGAGCAGAGCGGGGAATGAGAAAAGCGAGCTATTAGCGACTGTGCAACTTCCAGGGGACACAGAGCTCCTGCTGCCCTACATCCCGGTCCAGCAGCTAAGCTCACACCTCTTTTGAATGGTTCCTGACACTCAATGGCCAGGGCACAAGGGAATCCAGGAGTTAAAATGTAATACTCCTAATCTGATTCATTTTCTTCCCAGAAATGTGTGCAAGCAGCAAGTGCCATTTACTTACTGCTAAAATAAGAAATTCACACAGGAAATAATTCCAGGATCGATGGCTTAAGTCTGGGTTCAGTGTTAATCTCTATGCAACTGAGGAAAATATCAGTGGGGAAGAAGACAGCACTCAGAGAGAAGCACAAAATGAAAGTGCAGGTTTCCTTTTCACTCATTATTTTCCATTGTCCCTCCTGCCTCTTTCTCTTCCTCTCTGGATGGTGGTGGATGACTCAGTGCTGGGGCGCTCCCCTGGAAGGTACAGCTTGGGACAGATGGGGGCCAGAGGCATGCTTCCTGAGGAAGGGAAGTTCCTCTTGTTTGTTTCTGGTTTGACTCTGACGATACTATTTCAAAGGAGGACACTGTCCCCTTTGCATGTCCTGTGTGTGCTCAGTGAAGCACCAGAGTGCTGGTTGCTGTGGGGATGAGATGCGACAGCACAAGAAGTGGTTTCTAAGCACCAGCCTGCACACAGCCACACTCGCCAGCACAAAGACAAACTGCCAGTGGACACTGACCAACACAGAGGCTTGCCTTCAAAGTGGGATTTTGGCCTTCCTAATAAATGTTTAACATTTTTCATAAATCTGAATTTCAAAGTTCTGAATTGCATACTCTTATGTAATGGATAAAACTTGATCTTTGCATAATGCAATTTCATTCCTTCTCAATCATTTCATACAAATGAGAGACAGATTGATAGGGTATATTTTATATATATTTATCCAAGATTGAAAGATCTGCATTCAAAATACTAGCCTACAGTCCTGGAGGCAGGGGGGATACACAATCTTTCATAATATTGATAGAAGCACTTTCATTTGCTTTTAGCTGGTAGGTATTTGGCCAGTGAAGTCCTATAGAATTCTGGACTAAATAGCAAGTTTATTAGTAAGTACTATTTTAATTTTGCAAACACAGCTAATTTTACTATCAACATTATGAGGCATCATAGCCAATTTCAATTGTTCTTGAGGAAATCATCACTTCAGAGATTATTCCTAGTAACTCAGGGCCTTTTCTGTCTTATTTTTCATGTAGGTCTACAAACCTTAATCTTAGAGAATAAATGACATGAATTGAGGGAGCTGATTATGTGACCCTAGGCACTTATATCTCCATAAGTCTGTGTGCTTGTGATAAAAGGAAATCTAAATGTAATTTGGTAATTCAGTCCTGCCACAGCCTGGGCAGAGGAGCCTGGATGCTTTAGTGCAGTGGTGAACCTATGGCATGCATGTTATTGTGCTTTTCTTTTAAGATAAAAATGTTAATTTATGAGTTGTTTTTTCTAAACCAAAACCTCAGTATTCAGTGTTAATTGCAGCATTGGCAGTTTATAATAAATGAGTGGGTTTTGGGTTGCAGTTTGGCACTCAGTCTCTAAGAGGTACGCCATCATTGCCTTAGTGACTTCCTCAACACAGGTAGGAGCCCTAGCAATTGCAGGCAACTTATGTTATAGCTGTTTTTCTAGTTGTGCAGCTGCCTTTTATACTGTCCTTCTTCAAAAGGCTGCAGCCCATGGGCCAGGGATTTAGCTCAGTGGTTCCAGTGCCTGCCTCTCAAGTGCAAGGTCTCAAGTTCGATCCCCAGTACCAAAAAAAAAAAAGCCTGCAGCCCATAGTGATCAATCTTGCTTCATATTGAATGTGAGGCAGGGGACAGAGGTTAAATTATTAGGTCTTTAATCTCATCAAAAACTTAATTGGCGGAATGCATCTTTTTTTTTCTTTACATAGAAAGGATTCACTTGGATATGTTTGTACCAGGAAGCACAAGATCAAAAGCTCTAATGTTCTTTATTCCTTTATTTTGTTTTGAATTTGGCCAAGGAAAGGAAGATAGTAGAGGGGCCAACCCCTTGAGGTGGTATGGCTTGTCTATAAGGTCAATCATGTCCTCCAATCTCATAGTTTCTGTTGAGCTTGGGTTTTTAATTATATAATCTCTATCCACAACTTTAGAATTCAAAGATTGAGATTATGGCTTTACACATTTAAAGGTGCTTGATATATATGAATTAGCAATATAAAAAAAGCAAAAAGCATTCTGGTGTATGACCAGAAATGCCTCCTTATAAGAAGTGGTGGGGCTGGGGATTTAGTTCAGTGGTTCTGCTGCCTGCTTTGCAAGCAAAAGGTCCCAAGTTCGATCCCTGGTACCAAAAACAAAACAAACAAACAAAAAAACACAAATACTTATTAAGAAGTGGAGGCTCTGTCATAAGGTAGAATTGACTGTTACATGAAGCACTAGATTAGTAGAAACACTGGTCTCAAAGAGTAAATGAAAATTTGTCTTGAATGGGAACAAACTGAACAGTAAATGAAGATATCCCAATAAACCTAGTGATGTGGTTGCTAGCACTGTAAATGTCTAAACTTTGAAAGAAGGCACTAGGTCATATTTGCCACTCTCAAGGAACAATAATGACTAGGTGGACACGTCTGTCTGTTCCAGGAATGTGGCACGAAAGAGCCCATTGGGCTATGAATGTACAGCAGCATTCTACAATTAGTGTCAGTGGCAAAGCAGGGTTTTTGAGATCTATCTACCTGATACTGTACCTGTTTTTGGTTTTGAACTGGGAGGGGTAGAGAGATACTGGTGTTATATTTTTGTCTTTCCTAAAACCCCAACAGGAAGAAATATAGAGGGAGGATAAAGTCAAGAAAGAAACAAAATAATATACAACCACAGAAAGGTGACTGGGGCAGAGAAGGAAAGATAGTAGGATATGCAGACATAGTTATAAAAATTGGACAGAGAGAGTGGGAAAATGAGTAAGTCAGAAATATATGTTTAGGTGTCTTTCTCTGTAGATTGTACTTTGGGTGACTGTTTACTGCCTTCTGAAATGCTATCTGGTTCTTTAATAAATGTTCATATTTTCTAATTTATTTTAAATCAGAGAGGCTCATTAAGGGACTTGAATTATTCCAGGCCTTTCTGCTGGTTATTATTTTCTCAGGAAGAATAATGTCTCCTCTGTCGGAATATTTTAACCATTTTATTTCATTCAAGTAGATTCCATAGCATCACAGGAAAAAGAGCAACTAGAAACCCGAAACATTTTGGGACAGGACTGCTGTTTCTTCATCAAGTCCGAGGGCACTTGTCCTTTCAGTACTTTTAGAACAACAGCTCCACAGAAGTGTCGATTTTCACTTGGTAAGCTAGGGGATTCTCAGCTCTAGGTGCCAACTGCTGTTCTGGATTCAATTTATACTTGTTACATTATGGAAAAATTGCTTTATGAACTATACTAGATAGTATGAAAGTATAAGTTCACTGAAAATTATGATAATTACTATTCTAGTAAACTGCAGCATTTATATATGGAGTTGCAAACTCTCGTGACCAAAAGAATATCCAAAAATTGTGTTAGTATTAATATATGTAGAAGCTTCTCTGGTTCATCGTTATTTGATATTTTATATTGAATTCTGACAGCATTTTAAATCAGTAAGCAATAATAAAATGGACACAAAATCCAACTGACCAGAAGTTGGTTTTGTTTTTGCTAAACGGACGTTAAATTGTATTTTTATTCTTCTGCACCTACATACATTTTAGGCATCAGAACCTTTCTCCTATCTTTTCCAACTATCCATAGAGTGGTCAGGGTGAGGGAAGCCAGGCTCCTATTTTGTCAACCACAAGGTGAACTGTCACAGTTAAAGTTGGGCCTGCTCATGTAGCCGATTTTCATTCTAGTAACAGATTCATCTCTTTTCTCTCAAATGGTTATTCAATTTAGTGAAAAAAATTCTAATTTGAGAATAAATCCATAATTCTAGAATATAAGCCTGCCAACAGACACACACAGACAAATACACACACACACAGCAATGAGCAGGAAAATGTGGGTGTATCCAGGAAGGCCATGTCTTCATGCTGTGTAATACCTACCTGGGCATGGTACTATTGAGAGCATACCAAATAAAGAAATAATGAAAAGAAAAATAGTTACCAAAAGAGGGCCTTATATTGAATTGCTTATGCAAAATTAAAAAACAAAGAAAATCACGAAAAGGAGATGCAGTCTGTAGTTGTATTTTGGAGGTCGTGTATAAATCTGGTACTCTAGAAATATACACATGGAGCAGAGAACCTGCCATGCCTCATTTGTTTCTTGTTCCCTTTATAAGTAGAAGTACATCAAGCATCTACCCTTGTTTTATATAAGGCATACTCTAAGTCCTTCAACTGAGTACTTTGAAAAAATGCAAAAGGGCTGAATCAGGAAATTTTTTCTTAATAAAAGTGACCACAATGAAAATAAAGGGTTTTTGAGTGACAGTAATATGCCTATTTGCAGATTATTATGAACACATGGAAAGCTATAAACCTTTCCTTCTATTGAAACTTGAGGTCCTTTAAGTATTTCAGGTTTTAAGGTCAAAATTTACGAATGAGTCAAAACTCAACACATGGAACACTGGTCCTCCCTTCTCCAGAGGGGCTCCGCCTTCTGTATCCTGGTTCCAAGAGCCACCCTTTAGCCATTGAGACCAGTGAGTCAGCTTAACCTCCTTCATTTTCAACCAACCTATAAAACCTATCTCCAAATCATTTCATCTCCTACATATGTCTTAAATTTTCCATTGCTGAATTTCTCTCCATGACTGCCACCAAGGTTCCAGCCCTCTGATAACAACTGCCTCTCAGGTAGTCAATGCTACGAGCTCTAGCCCTTTACCAGCTCTCCGCTAAAGCTCATCCTTTGGCTCGCTGACAGTGGGAGTCCTCCGCCATGCAAATATGATTTGTCCCCCTTTGCAGGTTCACTCCAGCAACTCTGGCCTCCTCTGCTTCTCATACGTACTGCGGGCCTCTGCTCATGCCCTCCCCACCTTTCCTTGCCATCATTACCTATCACTCATTCTGGGTAGAGCCTTCTCTCCTCCTGGAAGCTCAAGCCTCAGGGTCCAGTGGCACCCTGTGGCCACTCTGTGACCACTCTCCTAGGATATAAAGTTAGCAGGCTAATTTGTGTCATGCTGGCATCCCCTGTACTTACCACAAAACTTGGCACAAGATGCACTTGCTATTTCCACACTGGATTGTTTTAAAAGGAGAGTGTAATTGGTGCTCAAAGAAAAAGCCTAAGAAAAGCTTGTTTCTAAAAAAATCCATTATCCATTTAAAATTGATGGCTCTTGAAAGCATTTACTTCTTAGATTATAAAAACACTGGACATTCATATAATAGTTTACAGTAGAGCCAATTTTAAAACTATACATATGAGAGTCCTGAATAGCAACAGACATTCCACTACCTGGATAGGCATATGCTTGACCTAAACGGATCCTTTAGAATAGTATATAAACCTCCCCAAATCTGCTAAAAACCGGGCTCATCCAGATTTTCCCCAGATTACTTCTTGTATCAAAGGTTTTTTATTCTTTTAATTTTTAATGAAATGCCAATTACAGGTAAAGTTTTCTTTTAAAGTTGTTTGATTTTAATTACTCTTCATAACATAGCTTTGTTTAAAGAAATCATGGTTCTAATAAAAAAAGGGAGGTTAAAAATGTCACAGATATCACTTAGTAAAAGCATGAATGGGCTGGGGACTTAGCTCAGTGGTTTCGCCGCCTGCTGCACAAGCGAGTTCGAACCCTAGTACCAGAAAAGAAAAAAAAAAGCATACATAAGGCAAAAGAGCCCTTTGAATCTGCCTAGAGAAAAAAAAGGCAGATAATCACACACATCATACAAGGTAGAGAGCTCTTATTTATCATACACTTATGTTTGAGTAGTTGTTTGATTTTACTAGGTTGTTTAATCTCTCCAGGCCTAAGTTTCCTGTTCTACAAAGTGGGCATTTCTGAAAGTTGTTAGACAGTTAAATAAGATAACATGCTAACTGCTGAGAGTGCTGAGGTGCTCATTAAGTGTTCAGTAATTGTGTCTACTCTTTTTTAACAATCATAAGAATGCATTGCATATATTTCTGGCAGACATGGAGTATAAGGTTTCCATGAATACCTGTCACTCCGTCCTCCCTCCAAGCTGTACCGCAGGTAATTCATGCCATCCAGGAACTGACTGCTGGGTAGTGAGTCATCGCCCAGTTCCTTGAGATCCTCAGGTCTAAGGTATTCTCCCCCATCACCGGTCATTGTGTCATCCCCTTGAAACAATCAGAAGATGAAAACGTTATTTGTAGAATGCAGCATCAGCTACAAAATATGCTTCAATTGTGAAATGCATCCGCAAGCAGCCTTGTTGTCAGTGAAACACAGCATACCAGGAGACACAGGACACACAGATGTCAGCAAAGTGCTAGAACTTAGACCAAACCAGGTCCATCTTCTATACACATCAAAAAGAAATAATCACCTGAATTGTTTTTCTTTTAACAGTTGTTAATTTGCTTTATTCGTTGTATTTTTATCCTGATAGTTGGTTGGCAGCTTATATTGTTTAACTTAATAATTAGTCCAATATGTAGGCTACTCGACTTCCATGGGTAGTTTCAACAGTTTTATACATTAACAATCTCTTCATGCAAAAGGCAACATGCTAAACAAGTCTAAGACAAATATGAGGTATTTTAAATGAAATTACAATATTTTATAAGATTAATCAAATGTACACGTTTAAGAAAGATCACTAGGATGAAGTGAAAAAAATTCTAAGATGAATTCCAAGAGTAGCTATACCAACACACAGGTGTAGTCTGGTTTAGGAATAAGCCTACATTATTTGCAGAGAGTTTTACCATCCGTTGGGAAGACTGAGTCATGCCTGCTTGTGAAAAAGTATTGGAAATGGTTGAATGCAGAATTTGTCACATAATACAGGCTGTATATTATGAATCTCTTGAGCAAGAAGCTAAAAAGATTATTTAAAAGCCAAATGTGCCCTTGTCTGCTCTCATTCTTCCATTCTCTTTATCCTTCCCTCAAGCTACTGCCCCACCCCATGAATCTGATATAGTTCAGCTTTGATTTCTGACACCAATTTCCAGTACTGCCCAAATTAGAGTCCAGTCCCTCCTCCGTGTCAAGTTGCTTTCAAATTTCAACTTGATTCACCTAATCTGCCGGTTCTTAATGCAATCTCTTAGTCGTCTGGATGGTCATAGGGAACAAAGGCAACTCAAATCAGCTTTTGTTTCTCAGTTCTTCAAAATTCCTCAAAACTCCTTAATACAATAGGGACTGCATTTCAAATTTTCTTATTCCACCCATTTTTCCCTCTTGTCATTTCTTCTTGGTAGGAAGCAGAAAGTTTATAATGGTTAAGGAAATAAAAGAGGGGAGAGGAAGAGAACAGAATGAAGAGCTCCAATCTGAAGCAACAAAGTACACCCTTGTAGTTGTATCTTGCAGAATATGCAAGCAAACCACATGATCCTGGCCTTCTGTCTTATGTGTATAAAATCTTGATAAAAGACAGAAAGGAAGTCATTTGCAAAGTACATTTTAAATCAACTATATCAATTTTGGCCACTCTGGTGAAAGTAAAGGCATAAATTTAAAACCCCTGATTATACTGAATTCACAAGACAGTGAATGACCTTTGCATTCTCTCTCATTCCTTGCATTTTGATGGTTTTGTTATGATGACTGCTACCTAACAGACCTATTATGTTCACTGTTATTAAAAGTGAGGCTTCAGAATTTTAAAGACAATTATGGTGGTCTTTAGGTATACATCATGATGGCTTGATTAAGTCTCAGAAATGTCCCAAAGAAGTAAAATTCCTAGTGCTGGTATTGATGTCCAAATACTAATTTAATATTGTCATTAGCTGGAGTGGCATCTGTCTGAGAACTGATGTTGCTGGTGTCCTACAAAATTTCTCTCCATACATTTACGTATAAGGCATATTATTCAGTATTAAAAATCAGCAATGAGAGATGGAGAGTAGAATCTACAGAAATGAGTACAAAGATTAAAAAAAAGTTTGGGAAGACATTTACCCAAGTTGGTTCACCTCTAGGAAATTCTTCATACAACTCAAAGCTTTACAAGTTTTTAATGTGACCCCCAAATAAGACATTATTGATCTTAACTCCTTTGAAAGGTGAGGAAATTTCTGCAATCCATCCCTGCCACTAGAGCCTCATCCTCCATCCTCTCTCAAATACCTGTATACCAGGTCTTGGTCTGCACCATTCCCTCCCCTCTCAAAGACTCTGAGGAGTCTTTCCCTTTCCGCAGATAAAAGATCACCCTTACTGCCATCTTTGAAAGACAGTAATTTCTTCCCCTAATAATTAGACCTTCTTTATTTCACATCCTGATGCCTCTTCCTTTCATAGTTGAGTCTATTAAAGATGTTTGCTAATTTTAATAATCAATCAGGGGCCAAAAGGTGACTTTTTCTTTGAAAAAACAAGTCTCTTTAATTCTTCTGACATACCTCTAACTCTTTGAGTGTTTCTTCTCAGCCTTCACATGTCTTGTATGTTGGTATTTCCATCTGACCCTTCTTCCAATGTCCCATAGTATCATGCATTATTAAGACTTTGGAACTCCTTAGATACTATCTATACACAAATCTGCATCCATTGCAGACCTTTCTCCAAACTCCACATCCATATTTTAATTGTCTTAGACTGCTGCATCTGAATTTCCCTTAGAAACGCGTTTCCTCATCTGAAAAAAATCCGGCAGTGGGTCCACAGTGGCTGTCACAGGGACACTTTGGGCATTAAGTGAGACAATGCACCTGACACAGCAGACATTCAGTAAATGCTTTCTCTTCCCTTAGATATGTTTCCCTCCACTTTCTTCCCCATACATTCTTTCTGTGCACCACTGCTGGATTACTCTTTGTAAAAGCAGGTTTAATTGTTTCAATCATTAATTGAAATCTTAAATTCCTCCAGACTATTCAGCTAAGAATTCAAACAGTTCACAGTTAAATGCCATGTTTTTTACACATCAAACCAAATGACTGGATTATTCTGCCACCCTGTGTCACTCTTGTATTTTCCTATCTTGGGATCTTCACACTGTCCCTTCTCCACTTCCTAAAACCTGGGTCACCCTCTTATTAATGTCTCATCTTTTGTGGGACTGCATAACTTTGTAATTATAAAACTCCCCTAGCCCCAATTGTGATTGAATGTGAGTTAATGGTTAAAGATGCTTGTTAGTTCTGGGACACAAGATAAAGTCTGTAACAAACATAAAGTTCCTAAGTGAATTACCCATCTCCTTGTTTGTCCGAAACCGATGTTCCAGACACAGCTATCTATAAGACAATCTGCAAACATCTTTTGACCATCAACATTTTTTCTCTTTTCTGTAAGTTCTGCTTGCTAACTTCCCCTGCAACCCCCTACAAAAACAGCCTCGGACTCTGAGCCAGTTGCCTCCCTAAGCACTTTGCTTTGGGAGTGCCGTCTGGCCAGACTAATAAAGGTCTGTTTTACTTTCCAACTGGTCCGGTGTGTTCCTTCCCGGGTGTTCTTCGCTGCAGTCAGCTCCTCGGAGCGTTTGGTAAGGCCCTCGGTCTTACACTTTCAGCAAGTCCATGAGACACTACCAGGTTCTTATCGCCTGATCTTACCAAGTAGATACAAAGAACTGATGTCACAGTGCCCAAGAATAAATATTTTATACGTTATCACCCCATCCATGTTTCTCAAAGGCATCCCCCATACATTTATAGAGCTTTGTACATAGTAATGTTATACTGATTAATTGTTGATTGGCTTCATGGCAGGATAATACTGATAGCTTTAATGTATACCCAGTCAGCCTGAGAAGACATCTATATTTTACTGGAATACTCTTGCATCTCAGCACATTGGTTAAAATAGTAGATGGTGTAGAGAAAGCAGGAATTGGCTAATCCCTTCCAAACGCAGTGGCTATACAGCGTTCACACAACAACGGCAGGTTCCATGAAAATATTTTAACTGAACCAAATATTACAGGGCTGGCAATGTACTAATTCTTTGCATAAAAAATTATTTGCACAACTCAAAATATCCTTTATATAAAAACTATTCAACTTGGTTACTAGAAATAAAATGTTATTAAGTTTGGGCTATTTCTAAAAATGTCAAATTTCTCTTACCAAAAAAGACATTCTTGATCACTAGTCAGTATTCCTTTCCAATCAACTGTTCTTATCACTAGTAATTTTTTTAACATGTAACAACTTTAATTTAAAAGGTTATATAATGCTATAACCAGATCTCATTTTATGCAATAAAATGTCTGAGAGGAAGTTCTGAGAGGCTGTTTCATATTAATGAAATTTCTATAAATCCAATAATAAATGCTTTAAATGCGTTAGCTAATTGAATTCCTTAACAGTTATTTTGTAAATAAAGAGCTATTTTAAAGTTACTTAATCCCTAATTTAGCTGATTTATAAATTTAGATATTAATGTAACACATTTGCCTTAAAGCGGTTCCACATGTATTCTGGAAACTTCTTCTTATATGGAGACCTTTATAATACTCATTTTTCCCCTATATGTCAAATTTACCCTAAATAGTTTTAAAGGTTAATTTACCTTTTCCTAACTATCTTTAAAAACCAATTATAACAAATATATATATATATATATATATTCATTCTACTTAGTGTGTGCGTGGGTGCGTGTGTGTATGTTTAAGAGACAAGGTCTCTTGAACTACAGACGTGTGTCATCATGCCCAATTCTAATTTAATACATTTTTTATGACATCTAAACTGTGTCTTCATCACAGAAAGACAATATGAACTGAGGCAGTGTTAGTTATTAGCTTAGTAACTTATTAACATGCCCATAGTAGTTCAGTGTCAATTTAGCAGAGAATTATTTTTTGTCTAACTTTATACTCTATAGAAAGATATTAGTTTGGGGAAAATTTTGATACTGTGTTCATCAGATAAATTAATTATGTTAATAAGTCTTAATTATAGTTGCAAAATCATTAACATAAAGAATTTATGGCTTTAAACTTCCAGATTAACACATTCACAAATCCAAATGTATACATATACAATCCCACTCATATTACACATTCTATTTCAGAAGACACATTAGTATCAGGCACATAGATTTAAATACTAAGCAAGCTGTCTCTATGCAGGTAAAAAACACATAAAAGCAAACAAAAGCTTCACTCCAACAAGTTCCTCTAATAGTACCTGAATCGCTAAGTACTTCCCCATCAATAAAGTGGTCACCAAACTGTTTAAAGGCTGTTCAAATTACATGTGAAGATAAAAAAGATGGTTCCACAAAATCAAATATGGTGTGCATCCACGAATGCTGAACATTAGCTGGCAAATATTAGGACAGAACTCAAAATTGTAACACATAGTTGGAACTGCTGACTTTGGAAATACTTTTTCATTTACTCAAAATAATACATTGTTCTAACATTCTTTACTCATATCATAAACTCTTATACAAGTTGAGACAACTCAATCCTATTACCAATAGGTGATATAACAAATTGGTTCTAAATAAGAACATCTCAATGTAAGGGTTTACCTTAGGATTTTATGTTAAAGAACCTAAAACAATTACCTTTACTATTTCTCCATAAAAGCAATTAGTATTAGGCCTAGTGACATCTTTTATGGCAACAATTTTTCAAACATACACATTTTTCATACATATATATGGCACTAATTTTAATTGTGTGCATTTGATTAATAGTTACACTATAAAACTTGGTCATTTAAACACTGCTTTCTCGTTTTCTTAGTAACAGATTTTTTTATCCAAGTGAAATATCACATGGAAATTCAAAATATAAATGAAATAAAAGTCAACTACTCTGGCTGAAGTAGAGGGCCTGATCTCTAGCTCTTGTGTGATGCTTCATACCTGGGCCCAGGTAGCTCAGTTAAAAAAGCAGCCTTCTTCACCTTCAAAATCACTGAATTAGACAATTCTTTTTTATCCACTCTTAAACTACAGGCTGCATTTTTCCAACATAAAGAATTGCTTACCTATAAGAGGTAATCAAAATACATGGTGAATATTTAAATTGTAAAAAAATGTTACAGTAAAAGACACATTGCCACTAATCATTCTCAATACTCCTCCTGGCCTCGAACACACTTATTCCATCATTCTCTCCACTCTCTGGAGCAGTTCTGGATTCCTCTTTCACGAGTGTCTTTTTGTAATGCTATCAAATATTCAGTCACTACTGCTGCCTCATGCCATCCAAGGAAAAGCTAGGTTCATAAAATATTACCATGTGTTCTCTTCCACCCTGTTTGCAGGGTTGGCATGCAACTTCTGGCTCTTTCCCAAAGTCAAAATGAGCATGAAAGTAAATGATTTGAATCGATTCAGGACACTGAGGCAGCCACAACAGTGCAACTAAAGGCAGTCACAAGAGGAGTCCAGAGCTGCTCCAGAAAGTGGCAACAATTATGGGATGAGTGTGTTCAAAGTGAGGGGAAACATTTTGAGGGGGATTCATGGTAAGATGTCTTTTGCTGTAATGAATTGTTTTAAAAAAAATTACAATATTCACTCTATTTTTCAATCATACCTCATCTGTTGAATCTGTACCATTTGTTACTATGGTATTTTTAAAGCTTTCTATAAGGCTCTTTTCCTCTGGATTTAATATACATTCTGTACATTAGAGCTAATCAGTAATCAGAGACTTCTTAAAATATCATTGATGAAGAAAATTTTAATGCCTTAAGGGCATTTGAATAAAAAATATTTTAAGAGTTAGAGATACAGCTCAGTTGTAGAACATTTTTCCCAGAGTGGTAGAGCATTTGCTCAGTGTGCTTGAAGCCTTGGATTTTATCCTAGCACCAAAAACAAACTTTGTTGGACATAATAAAAACATATATTAAAAAATAATCTTATTACCAAGTAAATCTTTTAGCATATGGCCAGTTCCTGGTTTCTTCCCCCTTTCCCAGTCCTGTTACTTAGGAAACATTAAAGATAACAGGAGAAAGAGGATCAGAGGTGACCCACAACAATGGCAAAAGTAAATATATTGAAATGAAAGTAACGAAGGGACTTAAATGTCGAGGTGCTGTCATGCACAGCAGCAGCTTGGTCCTGAGAACAGGATGGTTTGCTCTTGTGCAATGGCACTGCGGATGTCACAGAAGACTGAATCAAACCTTACCCTCTTCATCAGAAACATCAAGAACCTCAGTCATCGTCTCGGGAACATTTAGCTTGTGTTTCTCCGTGACAGTCTGGAAAGACAAAATCATTAACGCTCAATTAAAAACAAAATCAAGGGCCGGGGATTTAGCTCAGGGGTTCCACCGACTGCCTTGCAAGTGCAAAGACCTGAGTTTGATCCCCAGTACCAAAAAATAAATAAAAATTAAAAACAAAGTCAAACAAAAGATTGAAAGGGTCACATGGTGGCTGTATCAATAGAAGCAGCAAACTCCCAGGCCCAACCAGCCTGTCTTAGCCTCACGCACGTTCAGAAACTTTCCCTCTCATGAAAACTCATTTGTTTCTCCTGGAGATAAATGATCCTTGACTCAAATGAAGTTATACAAGAAGAGGACCATTACCTTGAGTTCCCATTCGAAAAATATATTCTTTAGCAATGGCATTGATAATAGTCACATTGAGAAAGCAGATTAATGTTTTCAAGCCTTCCCTAAGATGAACTAAGTGATTTTTCCAGAAAAGCTTTAAAAAGCAGCAATGAATATATACAATTTATTAAAAGCAAAGCCACTGAGGGGCCGGGGATTTAGCTCAGTGTTTTCGCCACCTGCCCTGCAAGCTCAAGGACCTGAGTTCGATCCCCGGTACTGAAAAAAAAAAAAAAAAAAGCAAAGCCATTGGAAAAGAAGCTGTAATCAATATGAGCCACATAAATCACATGGACAGAAAATGCAACATCTCTCTACTTGGGTTAGACAGCCAATGGGAGGAAATCGATTGCCTTTATCCATTGCCTTCATTCCTGATGTGCAGCATAAGGTTAGGAGACCAGGGTTTTGCAGTGTCTGGTCTGGTACCTGGTTCAAATTCTAGCTTCATTACACATCAGCTATGAGGACTTACCTAACTTACCAACTTAGCGAGAACTTATCTCAAAATTAAAAATTTTAAAAGTGGGATGGGATGTAGCTCAGTGTAGAGGCTAAAGTCTCGATCCCTAGTATCACAGAGAAAAAAAAAAGTAATACTTCATAAAATAGTTTTGAAGATTAATGAAATAGTATACTCCAATAACAGTATTGGCATATGCTAGCAATCCATAAGTATGACCTGGCATAGCTTATTTTATTGTAATTCCAAAGTCAAATTCATCTTAAACATGAGAGACCTCTGCACTTTTTATTCACTTGTCCACTCATGGAAACATGGTGAGGGCCCACTTCATGCCAGTCATGCTGATCTCCAGATACCGCTATGAGTTTTTAAAAAGAAGAAATAAGCCAGACACAGAAAGACAAACACTACATCACCTCATTAATATACAGAAGCCAAAAAAGTCCAATTCATAGATGAGAGAATGGTGGACACCAGGGGCTGAGTGGGCCGAGGAGGACTGAGGAGATGGTACTCAGAGGTTACAGAAGTTCACTGAGGCAGGAGGGTCAAGCTCAAGAGACCACTGTGCCACGTGGTTACTGTAACAGTAATAAACTGCTGAAAGCAGTCTCTCAGTGTTCTCACCACACACATGTACACACACACGGAGTGCGTGAGGGGTGGATGTATTACATTAATTAGTGTGATTTGGTCATTCCACAATGTACATGCATATCAAAACACTCACAATACCTAATGTGCAGGGGGCTGTAATATTGATTATGCCAAAGCAGGTGCAGAGTTAACCCCCAAATCAGCTTGTTTTGATAAGTGAGTCTGCCTGAAGCCTTGGTCAGAGTAACTCACACCCAAATCACATTCCCAGAATTAAATTCTTTAGACTAGAAGGACAATGTTCTAATTACAACCATATATTTTTGTCTATTCTGTTCCTAATGTGAGGAACAGCTTTGTCTTGTCCTTTATGAGCCTGGTTTACATCAGTTTCCATAGAAACTGTACATGGCTCACCTTTACCCCAGATGATGGTCAGTGCCTGGGACTGGCCAGCACCTTTGTGGGTTGCACGGGCACTGGTCGTCCTGAAACCCCATTTTCTCTCTTAGTTCTGTCTCTTAGTGAATTTTTTCTCAGGCCTGCTTTGTATACTGGGCAGGGGATTGGAACCTAACTGCAGGGGTCTTCAGTATAACACATATGGAGGATTTTTGCCAATTTCAATTAAAAAAAAACACATGTAAAAAATAAAAGGATAAACATCCAAATCTCAAGAGTTTAAATATATATCACTGAAAGACTACTGAGTCTCAAATTCATGTTTCTGTATTGAAAATATATTAAGTACATCATTTGGCAGTTATGGGGACTTTAAAATCTTCAACTAAAGAACTAAAGTACAATAAAGAAGCGGTTTAGATTTGTAAGCTTTGCTACATGGGCACTGAAGACTTGCTTGAAAGGCTATCGTGCCCCTTCCGCCAATTCTTTCCTTTCTAAAGCAGTACAGAACTTTGAGTATACTTACAAAAGGAAATTCAAGTCAGGATCAAATTAAACACCATAGTTATGAATATATACATGTATAATATGTGAGTGTTGAGATATCTAAATGATAATGGGATATTGCATTTGCCCTTTGGTTGCTTTGCATTTTCTTCAATACAAAGCTAAATAAAGGAGACCTCTGTGACACAGCAAAGAGAGACAGTAGGAGGTCCTATCTCTCACTCCATGCTACACCTACGTGGGATGGTTTGTATCCCCACAGACAGGTCACGCTCTAGAATGCCTCAGAGTTGTTCCACATATTCTTTCTCTAACCTCATTTTCTCTCTAGCCTCATGTTAGCAGCATCAGCCTTGGAGAAACATCACTTGACCACTCCCTCTGCCCCAGTGAGCTCATCTAACTCTGTTCATCTGCTGCTCTACACTCCTAGAGCTTCACACACAACACTGTGTGCCTCACCTATATGTCTGCCTGCTGCACAGGCGCAAGAGTCATTTCAGGCAATGAACCTGAAACTCAACACATGCTTCTCAAATATAGACTGGAAAGCTAGTGACACAAAATTAAGCAAAAAATACATTTAAAACCCATGAAATGACTAAATAGATTTTCTTGGGTGGCATCTTAATTAAAAGACAAGGAAAAGGGCCAGGGATTTAGCTCAGTGGCACCACGCCTGCCTTGCAAGCTCAAGGTCCTGAATTTGATCTCTGGCACTGAAAAAAAAAAAGACAAGGAAGAAGCTGAGGATGTGAAGAAAGTCTTACGGTATCCAGATGAAGTTAAGACAGAAGCCCAGGGTAACAAAATTCAGCTCGTCTGTGTATTTCTTGTGACAATAATTTCAGTGTTGTATTCATGGAAACCAAACTAAATGCTGCACAATCTAAAGATCTGGAGAAGACTAAGTGGTAGATAAATATTTGTTGAATGAATTAACTTAAAAAGACCACTATAAGCTGGGTGTGATAGCCCAAGTCTGTAATCCCAGCACTTTAGGAGGCTGAGGCAGGAGGATTGCCAGTTCAATCCAAGCTTGGGTAACTTAGTGACTTAGTGAGAACCTATCTCAGAATACAAAATAAAAAAGGAGTAAAAGGCTAGAAATGCAGCTCAGTGTAAAGGCCTAGGTTCAATTATCAGTACTGAAAAAGAAAAATTATTAAAATATACCATTTGATTATATTTGAATATTGTAAATTTAACTCTATATGTTTAACATAGACAAATTACAACTTATGTTCTACATCAATGATACTCAAATCTAGCTACATATTAATATTATTAGAGGAATTTAAAAAAAATACTGTTGTTCGGGTCCCATCACAGACCAATTGAATCATGAGCCCCAAGGACAGAGTCTGTCTATAGGTATTTTTGTTTAGTTTTGTTTTTTGTTTTTTCCAACAGGGTCTCACTATGTAGTACAGGCTCTCTTGGAAACTTTATAAATGAGTATCTAAAGGTACATAAAATGACTCAGAAATGTGAATACCTGTCTACTGTACTGGATTCCATGAGAAAGTCTACTTTCTTGCACAGATATTCCAGAGTGTTTGCCCCTAACACTTAATATTTAACCAAGAGGATGGTGCTGCATTTGAAAACCACTGATTAAGATAATTCTTAAACCACTGCCTGGCAGCCTCAGTGTCTATTTTCAGATGCTGATGATAAGAATATATAAATATATGGTCTTGAACTTACAAGAGTGGAAATAACTAATTTGCTTTAGTTTGGTCATTGAAGGCTATCAAATTATTATAAGCAGGATGGAAAGTGACACACAGTGGTCATCTTGGTCATGGATATTTTCCAGTCTCAATACTCAAATACCCTTGATATGCAATGCAGTAAATACAGCAGGCATTTGCACACAATATGGTACCTCTATAACCTTTAGAGGCCATCGGTAAATTATTTGTTTAATGGGTGACAAAAAAAATCTTCCCTCTCATGAGTAACGTAATAAGACAAATATATATATTTTCTTTTTAAACAAAGTATCCTTTGAAAGCTTGATTACTGAAACATAAATATGATTTTATGCATCTGCATCTGAACAACACATGGAAAACACACAGCTATAATTAAACAATTACGTGCATCTCCTTCTGCTACGGAATCTGAGATACTATGGTCAAAATTAGAAATGACCTTCAAAGTTTAAATGAATATTATACTATGCACAAGTTTAACAGGATTTGGTTAAATTTGACAATGAATGGGTTTTTATAATTTATCACAGTAGGGGGAAAAATGTAAAAAATAAATCATGAGTCCATAACATAATATTTTATAAATGGTGAGTAATATCTGGGATGAAAAAGTGTGCTTAACTGACCTGCACTTAACAAATCCCCCTCTAATGCACCACTTTCTTCATACCACATGTCCACCAAGCCACATGGCATGGTGAGTGGCCTTGGCCAGTGTGTCACTTGCTGATGCCCACACCATGGGCTCCCACCTCAGGAGTTACAATCTAAGCTGGTTTTTGTTTGCAAACATATGCATACCAATCATACATGTTAAAGTAACTTTCATAATTAAATCAAATACTATGTGAATATTTCTTCTATAAAAATGTAAGTATATACTCTAGAAAGTCTGTCTGAAGAAGAGTCACCAAAAATAGTTGCTACCCCAAATTAGGTGTGGATGAGACACTTATAACAGGTTGGACAAAAATATGTCAAAAGTTTAAAAAGGGGGCCGAGGATTTAGCTCATTGGTTTTGCCGCACAAGGACCCGAGTTCCATCCCAGGTACCAAAAAAAAAAAAACACAGCTTAAAAAGGTTCTGAACTCAGAATAATGTCTCTCTAAGAAAGCACATAGGATGTATAAATGTTATATAGATTAAATTATAGATTTCTATATACACTATATAAATATGATCTATATATATGTGCATTATAGTACTATATGTATTCTTGATGTGGTTTGTATAAGAATAACAATTTAGCTATCTAGTTTGGACCTATACTATATTACATTATATGGCTCAAAGTGTCAGATGACATTAATTTGTTGCATTGCCATTTTTATGATTCCCTCTGTAACAGACACATTATCAGATAAGATTTAGGACTTAGACTATTTATCCTTTCTTAATGGCTTGTAATAAATTTCCCAATGTTTAAATGACAATATCATTTATATCTAATATTTATATTTTAGTAATTTATTACATCATTTATACTGCACTTACTTTGGGGGGGGGGGTTGTTTTGTTTTTTGGCAGCAGGGATCGAACTCGGGACCTTGCGCTCGTGAGGCAGGCGCCGGAACCACTGAGCTAAATCCCCAGCCCTATACTGCACTTACTAATGACTATATGCAACATAAAACATGAAGACTGTATACAAGTAATGAAAATAGTTGATGACAGCTGATCAATAATAGAGGGTGTGTTGTCTCTAGTAGCTTTTCAAACTGCCTGAGTAGACTGGCCAGAAGTGTGTCCCTGCCATCTGACATCCATTCTGGCAAACATAGCACAACTGTTTCCTCAGCAGAATGCCAAACTATCTCATCCTCCCTGCTGCGCCTCTCAGAGTGAAGTTAGAAAAGTAAAGGTTAAAGAAACAAGCAAGGATTCAAAAATGTCTTAGAAATGTCTGCAGCGGTAATGATTCCTTTACAAACTGCTGCCTTCCACTGCTTACTGCACAAAGCCTTATTCATACTTTGGGGTAAAGAACTCTGGAAAGAAGAAAAGCAAAGGGAACTTTCTTTGATCGTCAGAACTCACATGGCTGCTCAAAGAGGACAGCATAGGAACGCAGCGGATGTAAAAACAGCACATCGTGTGTGTGGCTCTAACTCAACTATTACTCTTAACAGCAATAACATCAACTTTCATTTCACTAATATTACCTAATTATGAAGTTGCCTCATGCTACGCGCTGTCACAAGTCAATAGTTCCAAACTGTTTTTGGTGAATCTGTAGAATTTAGAAAATTGTATTGAATATGATACTCCTACAAAAGCCAATAAAAGGCAGTTTTACTGGGGATTTTTGTTGAAAATGAAGTAAAAATAGTTCTTTCACAGAACTTCTGTGAAGACACTTTTCAACACAACCATGATCAGTAGTTAGGACAATAGTAAGGAACACAGGCTTTGGAATCCAACAACCTAAATTTCAATTCAAGCTCAGCTCTCCACGGCTGGAATATTCTTAATACTAATTGTTAATTAGTATTTTAATATCATAACAATACGTTATGTGAGAAAGAAATTATGTGGGAAAAATTATTAAAAATTTCTTCCTAAAGAAAGGAAGTATGATGCAAGAAGAGTCCCATAATAGACAAAACCAAATTCCCACTTCCTGTCATTATCCTCAAATTTCATTTCAGAAGATAATCAACTCATAACTCTATCAGAAGCTGATTCAGAGAAGCTAAAGATACAGAAGAACAATATCAAACTATGGGACCATTAAATGTACCCACCTGGGTAAAGGGGGGACTTATTTAATTAATATGGACAATGATCCTTATTATCTTAGCTAAAAGCACAAATGCAGTTGTGTTTTGTTTTATTTTGTTTTGTTTTTGGTACCGGGGATGGAACTCGGATCCTGGTGCTTGTGCAGCAGGCAGCGAAACCACTGAGCTAAATGCCCGGCCCTATGCCATTGTGTTTTATGTTATATTTGTTTGCTCACCTTGTTTTTTGTTGTTGTCTTTTTAAAACAATGCTGTGCTACAGAGTATGGAGAATAACAGTTACCAGGAAATTAAAATGAAATAAAACTCAAAGAATGCAAAAAAGGAGCTATCACATCTCCCTAGAGCTAAAGGCAGAGAAGAAATGACCCCTCTATGCACATCCGAGAGTTTGCTTAGAGACAGTAATTAGAATATTTAGAGACAAACTCCAGAAAGCTAATTACTCTTCTTTTAAAATACAGATCTTTTATGTTTAAAGCTATTATCTCTAAGTAACAGTTATAAACCTGAGCACTCTCTGAAACTGAATACGTAAATTCTATAGTGTTGATGTAAAGAAAGAACTTATACTCTTGCAAAGTATAAATCTCATTCTCTCTGGCTACATTGTAAGTCATGTTTTAAACTCTGATGACCCTTCTGCACACAGCATAGAGCCCAGCACATATTTTACATCAATTAATAATGAAGAAATAAATTAATTAAAAAATAGAAAAGCAAGTTCAAGATAGGGAAAGAAATGCATGCTTGTCATCTAGTGGTACATTGTCAAAAATATACATACATGATTCCCAGAGTGTGGCAAAAGTAATAAAGATGACCCCCTCCAAAAAAAAAAAAGCAGAATTCTAACAACAGATATGTTTAGCCAATCTTGTCATTTATTTGTGATGCACACCTTGTTCTAAAGGTACTAAATGAAGTGGTATACACGTATAGGTCCTGAAAATGAAGATCTTCCTCCTATGATAAATCAAGGCCAGGGACATAGCTCAGCGGCACAGTGCCTGCCTAGCAAGCTCAAGGCCCTGAGTTTGATTCCCCGCACACACACAAACACACACACACACACACACACACACACACACAAAATCATATAGCAAGAAAAAGCAATGAAGATTCAGTCATATAGAAAGAATTTTGAATGTCTTCACCACAAAGAAATGCTAGATGTTTGAGAAGCTAGATATGTTTACCCCGACTTGAACATTACACAATGGGTATTAAAACATCACAAGGCACCCTAATAAATATGGACAACTTTTATGTGTCAATTAACAAAATTAAATAAAACAGAATTTTAACATAAAAGAAAAGATTCAGCTACATATAATGACCCATAAATATGGTGCTAGGCAGTGGAAAGACTGTTTTTCCTCTATATAATTTATTACAGCTATGCTATAAATCATTAAAAATGATTTATACTGGCTACAAGTTTTAAGATTCCACTTGAGAAAGCAAACAGTTCTATTCTCTCTCATCTCAGTTCAGCCTGTATCTTGGAGTTCATTAATAAATCATAGTTCACTCTATTTAAAACTGCACATTAAACCAGCTATATTCCATCTACCTCAATGGATGTCAATGGGAACTTGCTGTCAGCAGTGAGAACACAATTCCCTTCTCTCCCTCCCATGTATCAAAAAAACCAAGTGTTCCCAAATTCCTGGGGCATTTACTAGAACCCTCTTCAGAATTTGTTTATGCTTTTATTATCTCTATAGAACCTCTGTTTTCCTTGTGTTCTAATTTTCTACTTTACAAAGATTAAGAGTTGTTCTTAGAGTCCTTGCTTAAGGAGTTAATAAGCAAACAAATGCAAATGCAATAGCATTTCCAATTTCTGCTAGGAGCCTCCAGGCAGCTTGTGAATGGTGAAGGAACATTAGGAGTCCACTCTGCAGGGTCTTCACCCTTCCTGAGATTCTCTAGCAAAGGCCAACGAGCACCACTGTTCTCCTAAAAGGACTCAGTAGTTGTATTAAGACAGTGAAAACAAACAGGGAAATTTAAATATATAGTCCTTCATGATGCAGGCAGTTTACTTAGTAAGCACGGGCAACTTTCTTTGTAAGTAAAAAATAATAATCAGAAAGAAGACAAGCGAGGCTGGATGAGTTGATCTCGCTGGGAGTGGCTTGATCCAGCGTTCACAGCATGGGCCAGGAGCCGCAGGTCCCTGCAGAGGTGGGAGTGTGCACCCCTGTAGTCAGCTGTGGGTGTCACAGCCAGGAAAAAGTCACAGAAAAAGATGCTGAACCTTGTAATACTGTGTGCACACATTTTACCTGAAATTATGTTGACTGAAAGAACCCCCAACCCTGTTTTCTTTGTGTAAAGCGTTCAGCTCTGCACACTTCTGTATACACTCTACAACACATTTAGCCAAAGAAGTGCCATGTGAAGTGCTCTAAGCACAGCGAGTGGCAAAGATTATGGCTGGAAAACCACGGCAGCTGACCTGTCCCTGTACTCACCGTGGTGGTGGTGGTGACCTCTTCAGTCACGACCTTCAGCGTGTCGACCACGGAGATGTAGCCCAGACGCTTTGCGATGGCCAAGGCGGTGTTACCATTCTGACGGGAGAGTGAAAGAGGGCAGAATGAGGAATGAGGGAGGACGGCGATGTGGGCCAATAAGATCACCCAAGGCTCTGCATGAGCCAGCATTTCCTTCCAAAACAAGGCACAGCTTAGGAAAATCACTAGTTTTTACCATTACATCTAAATCTGTCTTTGTAACTTCTTTAGACTATAGCCCAGGTCACCATGGTAACACAACAAGCTTGAGTCTGCCTGCTCTTTTTAATAAGAAGCACTTGATGTTTAACCCTAAAGTTGTCAAACATCTACAAATATAGTCCTGAGATTAGGAAAGCATCCGCCGAATGGAAGATGGAGGCACCAAAAGCTCTGGGGAGCCCCAGGTACACTTACTCCTCACCAGAGGTCGGGCCATCTTCTGCAGGTGAGAGGTTACCCCTGAGCACACAGCGACATATTTAGCTCCAGCTGTGTGGGAGCTCAGGCTGCAGCACAGTAACACAAGCCAGCAATTCAGGCCGCTTGAGATCCTGGTTTGTTTAACTGGACCGCTTCGTTTACATTTCAATTGCTTCACATCCCAAGGAGCTTTGTCTAATCCAGCAACTCAGAAATGCTGCTCCCTTAAGAAAGCAGGGAGGGAGGTGCAATTCCTGCTCACATCTGAGAGCCAGCTGTATATGTTCCGGCCACCCAAGCCCAGGGCTCTGCTCTCGTGAGAGCCAACTGAGCGAGGCCAACTGGTATCCCTCCTGGGGGAAGCACTCTCAGGAAGCCACACGGACTTCTGGGAAGGCTTTTCCAGAAATTGGGGGCTTTCCAGGGTCTGGAAGCTTATTTAACCTGCACATATGAGAACTTAGTTCAGACAAGAAGCCACCCAGGCCAGAGAGAGGAAGGACAGAGCACAGTGAGGGACCGGGGTACGCGTGCATCTGGCTTACTGCAGTGGTGGCGTTGGGCTTGGCTCCATGCTGCAGCAGGATGTTGATGATGTGCGTGTGGCCCTGCTGGGCAGCCTGGTGCAAAGGCGTGTAGCCATTCTGGGGTTGGAGGTGGCAGTGATTTGCAGGGGGAGAGGAAAATGAGGTTAGCCTTCAGTTTTCACTTCCTGGTCTTATTTGCAACAAAACCATCAACGATGCTTTGTTCATTTGGAGCCCAGTTTTCCCAGCAACCCATTTCTTAGCAGCAAACCCTCCCTCACACCTTCTGCTCTCCTAAACAAAGTAGAGACTAGCTTATGAAACAAGGAGATAAAAAGCCTCTCTGAACATAACTATTATTATCTTGTAAGCAATTAGCATTAAAAATGGGTATGCAGAGAGGGGATTTAAAATGGAAAAGGACATTATCTCTGGTTTCTTCCATAGTTAGGAAGTAAAGAGTAAACTTGTTTTTAAAAGAAGGCTGAAGAAGGTCACACAAACTCTTGCTTGCTTATCCTCCTTTCCTGGCAATTAATTTTTGGGTTTGCTTTACAGTCTCTGAATCAATGAAAATAAATCCTTAAATAAAGCCTTAAATTCATTTCCAGGAAAGGCTTTGGGTATAGAAGGACACATCCATGCATTTGGAGAAAAAATGTTACAGAAGTAAGCGGCCCATTCTCAGTAAAAATATGCCTTTAAAGGGGTCAGGGATTTAGCTCAGTGGTTTCGCTGCCTGCTGCGCAAGCACAAGGACCCAAGTTCGATCCCCAGTGCCCAAAAAAAAAAAAAAAAAATGTCTTTAAAAACTAGTTTTTAGCCTTCTGGTCTGAATTTCCACACAGATAAAAGCCCTGTAGTCTATGATTTCCGAGGAATCATTGGCAAGGTTAGTGAGGCCAGTCTTGCTAAGAACTGCAGGGGTTGGTTAGGTATAATATAAGATGTTGAGTATTAGCATTCATTTAAAAGTCATACTGGAATCCTTGGAGGTAAAACAAAACAGCAATAACAGCCATTACTGTGCCAGTTGCTGGGCCCTGAAGTTGTTTTCTCTTCTAGTCTTCATTAGCACCCTGAAATGAGGGTGCCTACTGCATCATAGATACTTCATAAAGAATGGCTAACAGGGTAATGAACAAATAATTGAATAAATGAATGTTGTTCTCCCCATTTCAGAGATGACAAAATTGAAAATAGCAACTAAGTAATTTCTCCACTATCATTCGAGGTTCAGGTCCTGTGTAGATTATGACAACAAGTGTGCCTCAAAACTGCTTTTATAATCTACTTGCCTCACTCCGGATAAAAATTAATCTATAATTTTCAGACACAGCTGTGGTAGGCTTTACAATCTGATGGTCCATTCATACCCCATGTTATTCAGAGTAAATCTATACACCATCATCTAGATATACGGATGTATATATCCCTTTTAGCCAGTGTCCTTGTGGATTCATGATCACATGCATATTTTCTTTTTTTTTTCTGGTACCAAGGATTGAACTCAGGTCCTTGCGCTTGCGCAGCAGGCAGCGAAACCACTGAGCTAAATCCCTGGCCCACATGCATATTTTCTTATCCTGACATGAACCCATCATTTATATACTGGACAAGGGCACCACTTGCTTCTTCTCTGCATTCCCCATGGCCTCTCTGTCCCTGCGTGCAAGGGTCCTTCTGTCCAAGAGGCCCTAGTCTGGCACACCCTTCGCTCACTGTGGAAGGAGTCTAATGCCTGCTGTACCTCCCTACAATGGAATGAGCCCAGGAAATCTGGAAATATAATATATCAATCACAGAGGCTCTCAGAAGCCTACAGTTATTACAGAGACACAAATCAGGAAGAATCCATGGACATTTGTGAAGCATAAAGTAAGTGATATTTCTTTTCCCCAAAATTCTTCCTTTCTATTGTGATAACCAAATTTCATTCATGTCTTCAGTATCACCCAAGTTAATTCATTTAACAAGTGTTTACTAACCACATGCTATGTGCTAAATAACTTAGTACATAAATTAACATTATGTATGATAAATTAATACATATAAGTACAGATGGATATTGATTACCTATAAGTACATAAATAACCTGTATATAAATTAACAGTCTTGCTCCTAGTAGTCACAGTCTATGGAGCCCCTAGTGGACTCTGTGGCCAGGAAAATGTCTCCCAGGTCTGGTGAGTGAGGCCATTTGCCAGGAAAGTTGGAGCAACTCAAAAACTTTTACATGAACATTGGACTGAACCCTAACCCACTCCTGCAGGCCCATCTGGATAGGAACTCCAGACCCTACTCATCCACAATTGTTAGCAGTTCCCAAAGCTCCTACTCCCCTGCTTTTGTAGTTGTAAAACAGAAATCAATAAGATATCAAGTTTGATCAAGGATCAAATAAATCACCCATGAAAATACTTTTTACTTTAAAAATTATACAAAAATGCCACCAAACATTTGGTTGTCCCTTCATTAGAGAGCTCCATAATCTGTGCAGTGTATTTGGGGGGGGGGTACTGGGGATCGAACTCAGGACCTTGTGCTTGAGAGGCAGGCAGTGGAACCACTGAGCTAAATCGCCAGCCCCTGTGCAGTGTATTTTATAATCAAAATTTCCTTTTATACACTGTAGTTCAAAACTTCTTCAAAAGTTAATTCACCAAGTCTGGTTTGCCTCATGCCAATGTGACAGGGTTTCATTCTAGTTTTAAGCAACCAATAACTCCATATGTTTCTAAATCTTTTATACCAAGTTATGAGTCACTGAGGAGTAAAGGCAACACGAACATTTGTATTTTCTTTTTTTTTTCAGTACCGGGGATTGAACTCAGGACCTTGCGCTTGCGAGGCAGGTGCCAGGACCACTGAGCTAAACCCCCAGCCCTCGCAATTTCTTTTTTTTATTGCAGTACTGGGGTTTGAACTGAGGGCCTTTGAAACTGAGTTCCATTCCCATCTCTTTTCTATTTTTTATTTTGAGACAAGATCTCCCTAAGTGGTGAAATTGCCCAGGCTGGGCTCAAACTTGTGGTCCTCCTGCCTCAGCCTCCCAGAATGCTGGGATTACAGGTGTGCACCACCACACCCGCTTCATATCTATGCATTTTCTTTTTTTTTCTTATGGCAAAGTAGCATTTATTGAATATGAATTGAAACATATCACCAAGTTCAGTCTAAACAAGTGATGGAAAACTTAAAACATACTAAACCCCTCAATCACTAGGAACATTATTTCCAGTTTGGATATAAAGAGGGCGTCTTCAAGAAAATTTAAATATTCCCTTAAACAGTCTATTAAATAAATACTAATTAGAAACATACAATATGCTTATGGGCACTAAGTATTAAATACTCTAAGAAGGTGAGGAAGAATTTCTTTTTTTTTTCTCCAAATCCTTCATTTAATGCCAGGTAGTATTTCAACTCAAACACACACTGTATACATACTGCAGAGAAAGGGCCCCAAGGACATGTGAATCATGCATGATGCAGTAGGTGCAAACCTTGGCCCAACCCAAAGCAGAATTCAGTCCAGGGCCTGGAAGAAGGATGGCATGTTCTTTCCCCTCCCTGTTTCTCTCCACAATATCTATGCATTTTCAAAGGAATGAAACAATCATGTAGTAACTATAGTTGCACGTGAAATGTCAGGAAGAAAATGTAATTCCTTCCCCAGGGATATCCCTCTATATGAAAAAATTCTGAAGGGCTTATTAAATGTTTTCCTTTGGGGGTCTGTATCTATCAACTCCCCTGAGTACGTGGTTCCAAATATGACAGTAAAAGCTACACAGTTCACCAACAAAACAAAACAAAAATGCTACTTTTCTCTCCATCAAATGTCCTTGGATATCCAGGGAGGCCACTGGCACTGTGTAGACAACAATATCTGTATATTAACCATCTCAATATAACCATTTCAACAATCAAATGCTTAATAAAAATACAGTAAACATTTCAAGTGCTGCTAAGTCCTACTGCATGGTCCTTTGTACCTCTCTGGAGAATATCTGCATTCCAACAAAAATGTCTTTCCAGGAATGCTCACCTATAGCTGGCTCAGCAAAACTGATGCTAGGAGATGAAGTCTGAGAAATCATCTGAGACCTTTTAAATAAGTATCAAAGTAAAATTTCATGAAAACTCGAAAACTGCTCAGAAACTAGGCAGCAGCTCTTTTTGCTAGGGTAAGATTAAGAATTTGAATCTTAAATGTTACAGTATTATTTACAATTTACAAGATAAGTTTCTTTCAATTTAGCTTGTGAGTATGCTTATTTGTAGAGATAATTTTGTTACTACTTCTAGGAGGTTATAAAAATGTTGACTTATGAAACTTTTATAGATTTCTAATTAGTAGCATCCTGAGTGATGGCTTTGGAAACTTCTGAATGTGCTCACCCACCACCTGCCTTGAGCCCACATAGCTGCCATTAGCAATTTCTAATCTGGGAAGTTAAAAAGCAATATGCAAATATTTATTTGGATCAAAGAACCTGGAGCAGCTATAACATCACTATGTTATGAATAACAACAGCAGTTATAGCATGGATTTCTTCTACAATTTGAGTGCACTGAATTGCAGGGGTCATGCGCTGACCTGATTTGGTAAACGGGACCCCTAAAGTGCCTCTGAGAAAAGCTGCTGTGATGGAAGGAGCTCTGTGCTGTGGTGTGAACTTGCAGCGCAGGCCTTCCTCATGTCTGCTCCACTGAGCATGGACGCGTAACGCTCCCAAAGTGACACAGTTTGCTAAAAATGGAAGGTATGCAGGCTAGACTGCCTGATTGGGACGGGGACGAGGCCAAAGCCCAGAAACAAGGTAAAGGAAATCTGCCCAAGCATCCATTGTTCTAGTGGGCCTCTATTATATTCTGCAGCAACTTGTTAAACCAATGTCAGCTACTTTATTATAGAAGCCCTTTTGAAGCTAACCGACCTGGCTATCAAAGGTCATTGAATGAAAAGTCTCAAACAATTATAAAATTACACGGCCTCTTCCAAATCACTTTAAAAGAACTTAAAAAATAATTGTAGCTATGGTAGCTGATGAAGTGTTCAGATGGCTGAACCTATTTGCTTACAGAAAGAAAAAACGAATCCAAGTATTTTACCTTGGTTTTTGCATTAACATTGGCTCCCTGCTTCAGCAGAAAGTTGACCATTTTCACATTTCCATAGTGACAGGCCACAATTAAAGGAGTGTAACCAAGCTGTAAATAACAAATACATCATAAAATAATGAAGCAGAAGCATTACTACTTTAGTGGGTAATAATCAAAGGGGAAGAGGGATTAGGTAGGATTTCAATTATTGTAGGAAGGGTGGAAATTCAGTTTGCTTATATAAAAATTATTTAGCAGATTATATATGTATACTGTGGATACAAATAAGCAGACCCCTGACCATATGAGACTTTACATCAGCAAAGGAGATCAGAAATGTGTGTGACTGTACTTGAAAAGAGATTCACATACAATATGATTTGAAAACAGAGAAGGGGACAGACTCCAAGGAGGATGAAGAAGAGACACAGGAAAAGTATAGCTAACGTGGGCTTAAAGGAGGAGTAGAATTTAGTGGCACAGAGAGGGAAAAGCCATGGCAAGACCAAGAGCATGGAGTTGAGCAAGCTCAGAAGGACGCCAGCAAATCATCTGGACCAATGAAAGGGAAGGGTGTGCTAATCCTGTAAAACTGGTCTTTTGGAAAGGATCTTGACACCACGTTCTGCATTTGGATTTGATTCCAGCAAAAACAGGGTACAATAAATTTGTGAGACTCTGGAATGGCTTTTGGGGAGGGTGGACCTGACATGGGCTGATCTGAATGAGGCCCACTGGGATTCATCCAGGATCGTCACAGCATTGACAGTGACCAGCTTTACCTTCGTATGCGCATCCTGGTCAGCCCCGTGCTTGGTGAGAATATCAGCAACACTGACTTTATCTTCTTGGGCTGCAAGGTGTAAGGATGTGAGTCCACTCTAGAGAGACAATGAACGTAAGGAGTTCACTTGAAGAGGAAAACACACTGCGTTTGGCAGCACCTATTACCATGTCTTGAAAAAACTCCTGGAAAACTCGGAGCCTTTCCTTCCCCAGGAATCACATCTGTTCATATCTGAGACAAACTCCCTAAATTAATATGACTTTTCATGCAAGACTAATTTTCTAAGTCAACCAACACCCTCAGAAAATTGTGTTTTCAATTTTCTATATTGGGTATTTAAATAACTCAGCTCATAAGCCTCCAGATAACATTCACTTCAAAACTAGCTGGGCCTCCTGCTGCATCTATTTATTTACTTAAATAATCGATCAACCAAATACTACTGTTACTTCACAACCACAACAATAATCTACATCTTTGTCAATAAAATTTCATATCAATGTTAAAAATGCACAGAATTACAACAAATTAGTTCAGAATAACTTTCGAGCAGAGAGGATACTCTTATTTTTTTGATTGTTCATCTAGATGCTAAATTATAAAAAGTAACCCTAACATTTATAAAGTACCATAAACTGGCTAGACTTTTTGTTTAAAAAAAAAAAGTCTGGTATATACACATCAGGTAATTATTTTTGTTTATTAGACTATGCAAATAAAATGCAGTTATGAATTAATAAATCAGTGTGGAGGTTCCTCAAAAACCTAGGCTTAGAAGTCCCATTTGACCCAGCTATTCCCCTGCTGGGTATCTTCCCAAAAGAATTAAAAGAATCATACCACAGCAATATATGTGCACCCATGTTTATAGCGGCACAATTTGCAATAGCTAAAACTTGGAAACAGCCCAAGCGCCCATCAACTGGTGACTAGGATATGGAAGATGTGTTTTTTTAAAATATAAAATGGAATACTACTCAGCCATAAAGAATGATAAACTACAGACATTTATAGCTAAATGGATATACATTGGGGACATACTCAAGTGAAATAAATAGGACACACATGCAAATACCAAACAGTTTCTCTGGTGTGAGAAACTGAAAGTGTAAATGAGGATGAAAATGTATAGTAAATAATGTGAAATAGGAAGAAAGGGTTCAAAGGGGAAATGGAAGTAGGGAGAGGGAGTAGGGGAAAGGAAAGAAGGGAAAGAAAAAAATATGAAAAAAGAAGGAAAAAACAGAAACAAAGCTTTTTGTAAATAGGGAAGGGTGGAGCGGAGGAATGGGGGAAAGAGCAATGGGGAAAAGCAAAAACCAAGATCTATCATGTACAGGTACAAATTCCCAACCATGAATGTGATCATAATGTATACCTAAAATGTACCAATAAACTTAATGAAAAAAAAAACCCAAACAGCTGGTGCAGCACGCATGCCATAGGTTTGCCACCACTGCCTTATAAGAACAGAAAGTGACCTGAGCTAACTCGTTCAGTGTGACGATGGGATGCCCTTTGGCACGTCTGAAGGGGCAAGAAGAGCCTCATCAAATGTTGAGCAGATGCTGGTGCCAGGATCCTGGACATCCCACCCTCCAAAACCACGAGCCAAATAAATTTCTATTGTTTATAAACTTCCCCATCTCAGGTATTTTGTTACTGGAACAAAAAGTGGACTAGGACATTGTACTTTTTAAAAGGATCTACTGAGTTTTGATACAAGCAGATCAGTGTATGAAGGTAAGGGATGCACAGGGATGAAAACCCAGCCCACAACTGAGGCGCTCAGGACAATCCCCCTGTGTCACAGCTCTTCCTACGGAAGACATTACACATACTACCTACAAATGCTGTTAGGGTCGGTCCATGTACACTCACTACTTCACAAACACCAATAAACGCAATGGTCAAAAAACAAAGTATTTGTCTGCTTTCAGAAAATTCTAGGAAGCTTAATTTTCACTAAACCCAAACCACCTGTTACACAGAACACCATGATTCAAATAACAAACTAACTTCTAAACACAGGTTCTAAGTTTTAGTTTCTCAGCATTTACCTCCAGTAGAATATAACAGATAGACGGGTATATGTAATTAGATACACAAATAGAATGCAAATAGATGAATAGATACACACTTGTAAAAATCAAAGTATTTTTAGATTTGAATAATTTCTCCCTTATACCCATGACTATATTCTACTGAGTACTCCCTTACCACCACCAATAACTCTGGCATTCAGTTGGGCTGGAGGATAATTTGGGTGATACATGCAGGCCTATCTGATTCATCTTTGAACAAAACCCCAGATCAAACCGTTATCTCTCTCCTTCCCTCCCTAAACCCCTTCTCTTGAATTTGGAATTAGGGACAGCAGAAACTAAAGCAGCCTGGGCTAGCTGTTTAAACTATAGTGATGTTGACTCTTGGGAGACACAGGGTAGCCTCTTCAGAGGTTAGCACCAAGAACCTGAGGAAACACATCTACAGAAAGAGGTCAGTGAAAGTGACTTACAGAGAAAAGATGAAAAAACATTGCTGTGGAGTTAGAGTCTGAGAGAGTGACTCCCTTATTTCTCATGGTTTTCCAGTCCCTCACGAGGCTTGCTTCCCTGCCTGGCTTGGGGTCTACAATACATCCCTGTGTCCTTGTTTTCATTTTTGCTCCAAATTATCTTAGATTAGTTTCTGTTTGCATCCATCCAAAAGTGTCTAGTGGAAGCAAGGAGGAAGAATGGAGTACCTTGGTTGACATGTGGATGTTGGCTCCCTTGTCCAGCAGCAAGGTGACCATGTCCATGTGCCCCTCTTGTGAGGCCAGGTGAAGTGGAGTTACGCCTTGCCTTGTCACAATGTTGGTCTCAGCTCCATAGCTGAGCAGTGTGGATGCGATGTGCATCTGGTTCTTCTTGGCAGCAATATGGAGAGGAGTGTAACCGTTCTGGAATGAAGCAAGGACTCGTAGATAAGGAGAAAGGAATGTTAACAAGTTCCCTAATGTTTCTCTAAAGGAAATAAGAATATGCAATAAACAAAGCTGGTGGTTAATCTAAACTCTTACCCCTCCCAAGGTGCCATCCAACCACCCCTAATCTTTCCAGCCTACGCCCCCACTTTACTGTAAGAGAGATACAGGCACAAAATCTCCTTATATTATTGGTCCTCTCCTGAAGATAAGAGGCAGGTTCCTTTTTTAAATAACCATCTTTAAGGATGTGATTGTAGATTTCATCTCTCTCTCTCTTTAGTTTTCTCTTTTGCAAGCTAAATTGCCCATTCCTTCTACTATTCCTTTTAGAAGCAGCATCTCTAGACCTCGTTCCACTAACGATGACCTGGTTCAACCGGACTATAGTTTGTCAATACTACTCTTGAATTGTGGTACCCAGAATTGAACACTAAACTTCAGAAATGGTTTTAATCACATAGAATAAAATGGTATTATATTTGTGAACTTGTCACAGCACCCTTCCTAATATGCTTCAGACTGAGCGAGTATTACTTAGTTACTGGGCAGTGAATCAAGTGAAGAACAGAAAGGTAAGCCTAACATGATACTTGCCTTTAAAGGGTTGCGGAGATGGAAAAGATATTAAAGAACAAAATAGCTTTATATTAATCCAGCAGTCTACTTAAATCTGGACTCACCCCTTACCAAAAGTGGGAAAGTGTGGCCCCTGGCTTTACGGGGGAGTCTGTCCAGTGGGTCAAAGTAACTCATTCTTCACTTACAAGATCCAAACTGCAAACCCAACATCTAGTTAAAAACCAAAAACACTGGGACAAGTGTCAGGCTGGAATATATATTCTTTTCTCTCCTTTTATCAAACCTGGGAGAATATTGCACGAGAAAATGTATGAGAGAAATTAAAAACAGTGGGTTTATCATTAACGTGACACATTGAAGGGAGAGACAACAGAATGATCAAGTGTTTTGTGTGTGTGTGTGTGTGTGTGTGTAAAAGACTGAGGTAAGAGGTATTATTAGGCCATATTTCCTTAAGTCTAACTGAAAAGTGTGCCAAAAAATAAAAAAATAAATTTTGAGAATCTAAATGCCTTTTTATGCCATCATCAAATTGTGATCTTCAAATGGTCTTCCATTTACGTAATCTACTCCCATTTCTCCAAGTGAAAATTAGCATCTCTCATTTTTCACCACTAATACTTCCCTTTAAGCAGCTGCAGTGAACCCAGCAGCACTCCCTGGAAGCCTGTTCAGAGGCAGACCACAAGTTCCAGGTCCCCCAACTGTTGAGAATACTACTCTTGGATTCCTGGGCTCTTGAATAAGACATAGATTTTTGTGGCTCATCTAATTTTCAGCATCTCCTTTTTGCTCCAATGAGGTTCTTCAGTCCCAGCTTCCCCCATTCCTGCAGCACATGCTCTACCAAGGTGGGCACAGGGTCAGGGCATTTGTGAAGACTTCTGTGGAGAATGGCAGGGACATTTTAACACCACCAGAGATCATCAAAGAGGGGTTGATTTTGACAGTGAAAGAGGTTTGATGAATAGATAAACAACCTGCAATATCTGAAGAGCCCTCTATTCTACAAACTGTAAAAAACTTGAGAACCAAATGAAAATTCCCCTCACACACCCAAGTAAGACCAATTTAAGGCTCTAGACTTGGACAGAAAGAAGCAAAGAGCAGTCAAAGGACTGTTTGTTGGGGGGCAGGGAAATTGTAATGAATAGAAAGGGATATATGTAGAGTTATATGTATCTGTGCAAGCAAAGTTATATATGTTTATAATATTTTGTTATATCTAACATGTTTCTACATTAAAATAATGGTATTATACAGAATTTACTTTGACACTGTATCTTATTTGATCATTATGTACAATATGTAAATTTAATTAGGCATGTGAGTTTATATGGACATATTTATATAATGGAAGTAGAATAAATGTAATGACTAGGAGTGTTGGCTCTAAAATCACTCTGCCTGAGATCAAATTCTAGCTCTAATACTTGGTATTCCTGAAACTTTGAGCAAATTAACTTATTTAAATCTCACTTTCTTATCTGAAAAATGGAGATCATTATAATACAAATATCACAAGACTATTACAGGATTCGATAATAGCATACTACATGGAAAGTTCTAGGCACCATGTTTGTTACCTAAAGGCTAGTTATATTATTTCATCTAATATAGCATGAATATTTGTCCATGGCAAAAAAATTTTAAGTATATTATCAAAATATATTTGCAAAACGAGACATGATGTAATGATGACATTATGTATTATATGACATGTGGCTATTTTTTCAGTATAACAAAGAGGCAACACAAATGGCAAGAAACACCTGGTCCATAAGGTGAGACTTTAGTTGAAGCTGTTTAGGGAGCTGGTGCTGGATAAATACCAAAACCACACTGTTAGTCTAGAGATGTAAAAGGATCCATGCTACAATGAACACAGGTGAAACACTTTAAAGGACAAAGAAACCAGAGTCTTTCATATAGCACAATGAAAAGTTTGAAGTCTCTGAAGGAATGAGTGTGTAAAAGGGTATGTTTACCATTACATCCTGTCTTAGGGGAAAGAAGAACGTGTAACACCTTTACTATGTTTTGTTTCTCAGCATCCTGAGTCAGTATCTAAGACACTGAATACTGGCCATGTGATTCCTCTTTGCTGGCTTATGGACATATCCCCTAAATATCTGCTATTTCTAAAATTGTAAAAGGTTTTGAGGAAGCAACTGGTAGAAATAAAAAGGATGCCAATACCCAAAACTATTATGAACGACTGTTGGTAGCTGCAGTTACACCACCATATGTTTAAGAAACCATTCCCATGTGTTTGCAGACTTCAGCTACACCTATGCCTGCACATCCTTCCTGGGTCCTCACCTTGGCAGTGGCGTGAGGGGAAGCACCCTTCTCCAGTAACAGCAGCGCCACCTTCTGGTTGTCATAGTGAGCAGCAACATGGAGCGGGGTAAGGCCATTCTGTAAAGGGTGTGTTTCAGTTTCAGCATTAATAAATTACCTTTAGCTGCCCTGAAGCTACCAGGATGCATGGCAACTGTGCCGATTTAGTTTGTGTTAATTAATTAATGTAGTCAATAGAAAAGAAAGAGTCAAAATAAATGCACAATAATATTCATGGTAGAAATACAACTCAAATTGAAAATGAGCTTACAATAGGCAAAGTGCATCTTGATGGTCACAACAAAGAAAGGTGTAGGATGCTATGTAACAAACACTACATCGACATCACAGAGATTACTCTTAAAAGAGAGAAGTCATGGGCCCTGCCGTGACAAGAACATACATTTAGGGCACAGCTCAAAATTCTTTCTGAATACATGTATACGTGGAAAACCATAAACAGTTATCTCCACCATGTCTAAGTGGCAGTTTCATTGCATTTACTCATATGAGAAAAACATTTTCATAGATCTCTGGACATATCCACTCCACTAGCTCCATAAATAAAATTAAAACATGCTACTAAAAACCTTACCTTCCCTGCAGAGTCTGCGGCAGCGCGGCGTTGCAAGAGAAGTTTTGCCACATCCAGGCTTCCGTACTTGGCTGCTACATGCAGAGGGGTAAAACCCTTCTGAAAAAGTGAAGAAGAAAGGTAATATTTAGCATTTATTTTGCTCACTCCTAACAAAGTCTTTATTTGTTATCATATTAAATAACTTTGCCAACTTTTTCCATTTAAGAAAAATTCTGGTACCTTGAAATCTGTTAGCCATGAACAGAACAATGACAAAAAATGAGATTTAACATTCGAAAGTTTGGCTAATGGACTAGACAACAGAAATTTCATTTTAAGATCTTGGTTACTGAAATCTGACTGCATAGGTTTGGGATTTATAATAACCACTAGTGTCAGAAAACTGGCTCTGATCTGAGAGTGGAATAAAAAAGCCTCTTTTTTTTTTTTTCTTGTTTCTAAAATTAATAAGATGGAGACAACAGCTGCTTTCTATTTCTTATACTTTTTATAACACCTTAACTTCAAATTTCTTTAAGTAAATTTTAGGATATATTGGGAGTCAGAGTAAAAAAAAAAGAATAATTATTTGTGATCCAGTTTACGTATTTTTTGCAGAAACAGCAAGATAAATGGGCTACAGAACAAATACGTTCACTATTAAAAAGCTCTTTGCATCCTGACTTTTGCCCTTTTTCCTGAAGACCAACACTGTCTAAAAAACCAACTCCTCTTGTGAAATGCAGTCCATGATGTCAAGCTGATTAACACCAGACTTTTAAACACACTAATGCTTTAGAGCTCTTTTACAAGACAGCTATCCTCCACGTTAATATATACATGCTCAGAATCCTGTGTGCCCGGACAATAGCCACACTCTGTAATTAGCAACGTGTTGTAAATACAAATAAGTCCTGGACTGAGATCCCGAGATCCATCCTTTTGGCCAGACATTTTAACCACATGCTCTTTTAGGGTGGGAGTGGGAGAAATCTAAACTGACCAGGATCCATAAAACACAGGCAACACATGGGTGTGTTGAGCTCTCTAACATATAGCTTCTCAGACCCTTTATGCCCTTCTCTGAACACTGAACACCTTCCAGGAACCAATGTTCCCCTTCCACGGTGTCAATTATTTTGAATGAAGATGACATTTTCTTTCTGCCTGTTTTTTTTCTTTTAAACATTTGGTACTAATAAGTTTTTGGAAGAGAGGGAATCTCCTAGCTTTTGCTGCCAAGTACAGGAAGGATTTCTTCCTCCTGGCATGAGTCCACATATTCCACAGTTGCTAGTAAAACTCTGCTTTCCACATTCAGTGCACACAGTGATTTGGGTGATGCTCGTGAGAGATGGAACAGAGTTCTTGGAGGCAAACCACGTGGGGAGGAAGGACAGATCAATTCCTCCTTAAAGTCCTACTAGAATAGTGAGCAGTCCTTCATCAGTCTGGAAGCTCTTGTTAGACAAAGCTGCATACTATAGCATCCCAGAGGCAGGGTTAGAAAGCATGTTTTGAGTCACAGCCCTTTTCCTCCATGTTTATCACATCCAGATGTCATCTATCCCTTGATATTTGTAACACTTAAGCAGCTTTGAGGATAGTGACGCACCTGCTGTTCAGCACCAGTCAGTTCTGTTAAAACACTGTTCCATAGTTTCCTCTATTTCAACACCCTAATGTACTAGGATTCAGTATATTTTTGAACACCAGAGCTATTTGGAAAACAAGGAACTAACTATACTCTATGTCCATATTTTTATAATCTTAATTTTATCTGTTTATAACTTCATCTGCTATGACAATCAAGTTTCTCTTGGGTTCTTACTACAATTGTTATATTTTTGTTGCTCAGTTATTGAATTTCTATTTTATTTCTCCTTTAAGGAATTACAGCAAACTCTTTCAATTTATCAGGTGTCAGAACCTGAATAATTAACCATTTCTTACATGTTTTTCAGTCATGGGCAACTGACTAAGCCCTAAGATCAGCTACTGGGTGGCTCCCACTTCTAAGAGCAGACACCACATCCCTGCCTCAGTTTACACCAGTAAACATTATCCTGCTTGGATGCAGTATTTACACCTATGTGTTATGAACAAATTTAAAGGATCTTCTAATTAATCTGAATCATCATTGAATTTGTGGAATTATTTTGAACTGTGAGAGAGGCCCTTGTTCTATCTAGAATTTCATTTGCTTCCTTTTCCTGTTCTTCTGTCCTAGTTCTATTCCTTTTGCTCCACTGAGCTGAGTGTGGTCACCTTTTATCTGAAGTCACCTCTAAATACTTAATTTTGAATAAAGTCTATCAAGAGGACAAAGTATTATCCTGCCTCACAACAAAACTGAACATAAGTAAAATTGGAGTTGCAATATATTCTTTGTTTGCGACCAATAACAACTTATGAAGTGTCCGTTTCCAGTCCAGCTCCGTGTAGGCAGCAGTGTACTTGGAAAAGACTGAAGATCAGAAAGGGGACAGGATACCAAGTAGGAGATGGCCAAAACTAAGACTGGGAAAACAAGATTAAGTGAAGTGAGTTTCTGCATAGCACGCCGCCAATGTACTGTGATATTTTCTTCCTCACTGGCAATACCAGGTCATTGTACTTGAGAATCTTTTCTTCTCTCAAGAATGAATGCATTATAGATTTTATGGTAGAAATGAAAGAACACGTAGAACTGCTTTATGGGAATCATACTAGTTAAAATCCTAGATACTGGTACTAAACCAAACCAAAACAAAACAAAAAAACCCCACCCTGGGATTGATTAGAAGAATAGAATCCAGCATCTTTTTTTGAAGACATTACATAAACTTTCAGAGTCCCTTTATGATCATTTATGAAATGAATCTAGAATATTCCTAGAAGGAAGCAAATCAGAGGCTTAGTAAAGACACTGTGCAGCGGAGCAGGGCCCAGCTGGGCCTCTTGGTCCAGGCCACTGCCAACCACTCCCCTCACCTTGGTGGCTAAGGAGTGCGCAGCTCCTGCTTCCAAGAGCACTGATGCCACATCGACCTGGCCTTCCCGGGCAGAGATGTGCAGCGGTGTGTACCCATTGGTGGTGGCCGCATCCGGATGAGCCATGTGCTGGAGAAGCAGCTGAACAATTTCTGTCTTGCCCAGGCGGGAGGCAATATGTAAAGGTGTCTGTTCCTCCTACAACTCAAGTCAAGTCAAGAGTTAGTGCCAGACAGAGCAAACTTCGCCAACAGTATGAGAAGCTCATATGGTTCACCACCATCTTCTCCAGCGCCTTCTTGGAATCCCTAAGAATCTCCACTCAAAAGGAAATCATTACCATTTTGACTATGGCTTAATTTATGTTTTGCTATATAGGTGACTTATTTAATCACAAAATTTCCCTTAGATTTTTAAATAGTAGTACTTTCATGAGTAGTACTTTTGATCATCATTTTCTGGGCAACTCAAAACATATCTCAACTCATTAACACTTCAGCCTTCACTTATGTTTAAATATAAACTAACTCACAGTTTTCAAAAAGAAAGAAATCAAGTCCAGAAATCCTAAGACTTAGATTCTTCTTCAAGGGCTTTCATTTAAAGGCAGGATTTATTCTGGGAACTGTATCAAGAGAAAAAGACCCAGGGAAGCTGGAAAACCTTGTTCTTAACTCTGCTCAGCCAGCCAGGGATACAAATGCTGGTAATTTTCTTCACAGAGAAACCACGGATAAAGGAGATACTGCAAATTGGTTTTAAAGATGCTGTTCCAGGAAGTGCTGCAAATGGGCCTGTGACTTACATCAATGCTGAAACACCAGTGCCATCGTTATAATAAAACCACTTTTTACATACTGCCACATGCGACTTCTACCAGTTTACTTTGTTAAATAAATTTTTATCTATATTTATACTTTTTTCTTCTATCATCTTTATCCAGTTTTAGTATTAGCACAATATTGATTTTGTAAAATGAGGGGAGAAGTGTTCCAGACTTCAAAGAGGAGAAGAAACTTTGGCAACAAGCAAATGGAATGAACTTTTTGCCAAGAGTTCTGAGTTTAAAAAACAGAGACTATAGCTGGGGAGAAGGACAGGAAGGACATGTTTGAGGAGGCTCAAGGAATCACCCAATTCTCATGTGTAGTTGGGAATAGCACTAAGAGAACCAGGCCAACCACTGCCTCTTGTAAAAAGTAAATTGAGTGTAACCTTAGTGATGAAAGGGGGTATATCTTATGATCTGCCTAAAGGCGTACAATGATAAAAGTGAGCAAGGAAAAGCTGGGCCCATTTCCAGGGCTAAGAATGAATGGGGGGAAAAAGATAAAATAGATTAGTCCAAATAAAAGTACTACTTTGAAGTTATAAGAAAAAGAAGAAGCAACTACAGAAAGAAGAATAGCACTGCATAAAATTCAGGGTGGTGAAAAGTAAGTAATAGTAATATGATTATTTAGTAATAGAATTGGAGTTTTATAAAAACTTGCAATGTACACATTTCCTTCATATATGATATATATGTAACTTAGATCTGAAAGGAGTCATAAAATGTATGATTAGACTATTTTCCAAATAAAGAGTTTAAGAGGAATTTACTAAGTTCTCAAGAATTTTCCAAGGTCATGAAGCTATTAAAACAAGGCTTGAATTCAGGGACTGGGTTCTAAAGACAATGTTTCTTTGCCCACATACTTTACAGAAATAATATGATAAGATAGCTATGGAGAAAATTAATGGGACAAGAGGACTCTCAATAGGAATGGAGAGAATGAGCATGTATAAAAATAAGTAGTTAGCAAAACAAATAACATCCATCAAAAATCAAGGACCTTGAGACAAACAATAGTGAATTTCTGTTGTTGCTGGGTTTTCTTTCTCAGACTTCAGCCCTGCAGAACTTGACAGAGTTGGGTGTAAAATGCAACACAGTCTAAAATTGTGTTCTTCAATGGGGGTGGGATGGGCAATGATGCCCCTTTAACCCACGGATGAGAAGTGACAATCTCTTGACTGGGGGTAGATACCGTTAACTGGTTGATGGATCTACTAAGCATTCTTTTAGTTCTCAGACCCCACAGCATTAAAGTACTTTCCTCCTCTAAATTAAGAAATAAGCTGTCTCATCCACTTTTTACAACTTTTGGTATAGTCCTATCTAAAAGTAGAAAAGAACATACATATTTTGTTAAGAAAATCTTTAACCAGGCCGGGGATTTAGCTCAGTGGTTTCGCTGCCTGCTGCTCAAGCGCAAGGACCGGAGTTTGATCCCTGGTACCAAAAAAAGAAAAAAGAAAACAGAAAATCTTTAACGCATAACCAGGGATATAAGAACTTTTCATGTTTTGACTTTTCTTTCTCTATTGAACTGCAAAAGTTGAATGTGCTTTCCAGAGCTAAAGTTAGCGGAACACAAGGCAAAGTATTGGCCAAGTGCAGAGGACTCATGGGAAGAGAGGAAGCAGGGACTGGGGGTGTCTGATCCCTCACACCTCCTCCAAACATGCAAAGCAAAAATTCCTCATCATAGAGCATCACTGACTGAAACAGCCTGAGCCAAAAGCAGTGAGCTCGGCTCTTCTGTTGGAGCCTCCTACGTCCCTCTACTCCAAGGCCACCAAAGTCAGAGGACAGGATGAGCCCCAAGTCCTTTCATAAATGGACAGAAATAATAGTGGCTGAGGAAAGGCTCAAATTTTGGTTAAATTTCTGCCAGTAGTTACTAGTTTTCAGGGTTCCCAGGAACCAAGTCTACTGTCAGCTAAGCAAAGCTTAATGAGCTAAGTTTCAAGTGACTTGAAGCTTAGGGCCCTTGTGGTTGCTCAGTTCCTAAAGCACACTCCAGGCCCCATCCTTGTGCCAACACAAAAGCTCCTAAAGCAAGAGGGATCCCACCCGGGAGGCCTTGGTGGCCCTGCAGGGTATGCCCATGGGGAACATGGACAAGAAGGGCCTTCCTCAGAGAGGAGCAAACACACTGTCTGGTGACCAAGAAACGTATGCCACTGTAACCCTGGTTCTTTATGCTGCCCAGAAAAATAAACCCCACACCCTTGCCTGAATGGAGAATGCACTTTTAAGTTAGAAATAGTATTCTGATTATAGAATTTATTTCTATTATATATTGGAAGTAGATAAAAATTATGATTTAGCTCTTGGTTATAATAACCATGGTGTATTATTCCAAATTTCATTTGAGAAGAACTATGGACTATCCAGAGATCTTGACCATGAGCTCAATGTAGTAAGCAGGAATAAGTTTTTAATATCTCCAATTTAGCAGGGGAGAGTTCTAAAGCAACGGTATCAGGTTAAAAAGAAGGAAGTTTTCAAAAGTGTGTGTGTGCACTGGGGAACAAGAAGTGAAACAGAGTGGACATGTGCTTATATTTCTGCCCAATTCCTTCTGAGAACTACCCCTCTTTGGTGGAAGTGTACACCCCTCTCTCCCTGGGCTCCAGAGGGCTGGCCAGTCACCTCACCCCTCCTCATAAATGGACTGCACCATACCAACTGGCATTGGTCCACGCCTGATCCAAATCCTAGTCCTAGTCAGCTGCTCAGGGATGAAACGTGACTAATTAGAAATCAGCCATTTGCTTGGATGAGAGAAGGGCTCTCTTTACATTTGAAATGGACTATAAGGAAATGAAGTGGATCAGAGCTCTTCTACTACCTTGTCCAGTGCTGCTTTACCATGAAAGAATCACTGCCTCTGAGTACAGAGAATGAGGAGAAAGATTCAAGACTGTGGGAAAAATCCTCTTTCTTATTTTAACTGTCTGATCACAACCAAGTCAGCACAATCTTGAATTTGGGACCCTAGACCACCACAGCCCAACACAGGACAGTTCTGAGTATCAGATATGACAGTTTGTGTTAAGACGCTTTATGACTTATATAGCACTGCGCAAAATCAAAGTCAGAGAGTTCCAGGGGAACATTAGCAGATTAAATGAAAGTCAAAAGCTCATGCTAGGGCTGGGGATTTAGCTCAGTGGTTTCACCACCTGCTGCGCAAGCACAAGGACCCGAGTTTGATCCCTGGTACCAAAAAAAAAAAACAAACAAAAACAAAAACTCATGCTACAGGTGCACCTTAAACTGAACAGGGGAAAGGAAAGCCCTAACTCCTGGCTGTTCAGTTTCATAAGGAAACTGGTCACCTGTGAGTGTTAGAAATGCAGAGCTGAGTTCCAATGTGTAATTAGTAGGAGGCCTCAGTGGGGGTTATACAGTGACCTTCAGGGAACACTGCTCTATAAGATGTGATATTTTTCCTGTTTGTAACAGGATGCTATACAGAATGAATTTCTTAGGGTAGGTGGTAGAACTAAAATAATTAAAGGCTAACATATAAAACTTAATATTTAAATTAGGAAGAATTAAGAGAATTGTGTATATATATGTAGACTATAAGACTAAATGGAATTGCCAAAGAGAAGTAGAAAAATAGAATTGGAGGAATCTACATGTTAAATAAATACATAAATGAGTGAAAGTTACAGCATTTTAAAGCAGAGGGTCTAGCTAGTAGTTTGTTTCGGGTTTTTTTGGTACCGGAGATCGAACTTGGGTCCTTGCACTTGCATAGCAGGCGGCGAAACCACTGAGCTAAATCCCTGGCCCAGCTAGTAGTGCTTTTAAGGAAAGTTTCAGATGGTATCTAGAAAGGTGTAAGGCCAATATAGATCCAATCAATGTAGAAAATTGGCATAGATACATGAAAATGAGTAAATTTCTATTGAAATAGAATACATTAAATTTGAAATTAGAAAAATATTAAAGACTTTTAAGAGAGGAGATATGGGAAGTTCTTTTATTATTAAATATGGGTTACACAAATTATCAGAAACACTGTTGCAATTTCTGGTAAAAAAATAGCACTGTTCATTATACATGGAGTGCACTGGTTGATTATAAAACTATTCTTTTAAATAGCAGAATGCCAGGTTACCTTAGAAGGAAACAAGAAAAATGCCATGGCAGGGGAAAATACAGTTGAATAACAAAAGATCTAAATATATAAAAGTATAATGAATCTATGATGAGCAAAGAATATAAATGACACTACTTTCCACAGATGGGAAGCCAGATGAGATCTGAGACTAGCCATCAGCCACTGAATTCAGCATAATGATCCATGGGACTCATTAGTAGAAAATGGCTATTAAATTCATGGAACCAGAAAATGTTAAGAATTTAGAGAAAGGAATTTTGAGGTGTCTGTATCCAACTCCAAATTTCAATGATAAATCTATAGAAATGCAATGATTTTCCTAAAACACCTGCAATTTTTATGACTCCAGATAGACTCCATATAACCCTGTTTCTCCAGTGGAGCCATGATGGTGTGACTCAAGCTGAAGAGTTACCAAGTGCTGGAGAAGGAGACAAGGTGTTTATACAGTCCATGAGAATCCCAACAATGGAGTACAAATGTTAATGAAACAACATGGAACAGGAAATAGAAGACACAGGACATTGGGAGAAGCACTGGTTTATTCAGCGTTCAGAGAGAGGTGAGAAAAGAGAGTGAGAAACGAAATTCAGAAAAAAGTAAAGAGAAAAGAAAATCAGAAGTGATTATTAAAAGAACAAATCTGACCATGGAATCTACAGTGCCAAAATTCTTCTGTTTCAGAACAGTAGAAAGGTAAAACATCTACTATGTAAAAATGACAATAACAAGTTGGCCTTATTACAGAAAAGAGGAAAGTGAAACAGATTAAGGGAAAACATTCAAACTTTGAGGATAATTTGATCTTAAGTAACTTGTAAGGAACAACTGTTAAAACATATTTTTAGTGCTAAGAAATGCATTTCTATATATACAGCACTTTATAAGGCAGGTAAGTTTATAATAAAGAGATACATGACAGTGCCTTTGTAGGTTAAAAACTATTAAAATCTAAGTCAATGTTGTATTCTTAGTTGCTAAAATGCTTCTGGAATTTGGGTGCAGTTTTCACTGTATACACTCACATAGTTTTCTTTTTTGTCTGAACTGTCATCAAACTGGTGTTTTTGCCCCCAAGACCTTGGGAATACCCTCCTTAGATATGGGACCACGCGAAGCTCACAGCAGCACCTACCCTGGCTCTGGCATCAACAAGAGCGCCATTTCTCAGGAGGCACCGGACCACTTCCACCTGGCCAGCCCGGGCTGCCATATGCAGGGCTGTCTCCCCACGCTGTGGGAAACAAAGATTGTCCAGTCATGAATAAGCCCAGTGCTCTGGATGGTAAAGAATGAAGGTGTCCCTCGTGTGAAATTCAGCAATACATCTAAGGATTTAAGAAATCTACCAGAAGGTATAATTATTGAGTTTAGAAAAAATACATAGTTTTTGTATCTTCTCTATCTTTACAATAATAAAAACAAATGTTTTCTATTTCTTTCAGTCCATGACAAACTTAGTAAACTTACTCAAGCATCCAGGATACCCTGTGGTTGAACTTCTCAAGCTAACAAAACTGACACTGGTTTTGGTGATAATATTAGCTTTTATTCTACAAACCTAAAATCTGTAATTGATCCCATCTCAATCATAAATTTCAGTTGCTGAAGATCAAGTCAAAATATTGCAAAAAGTCATTATCACCTGTACCATACATCAGTGATTTCTTTCCAAAATTCTAATTTTATTTCTAAAATAAATGATTATTTTACATCTGATTTGTCTTTGTACTGTGAAACTAGATAGTAAGTGTTCACAAAAGAAATCTGACTTGCCTACGAAGTACCCTACTGAATGTTAATGAGCACATGTGATTATAGACAGTGGTTTGGGACAGCTACGGAGACACAGTGAGGTAGCTGTTAACAGCAGCATCTACTGAGGTCAGGACACTGAGCAGCACTTGAGTCCTTCAGTATCTCCACACAGTACATACTCATCAGGAAACACTAAGGACGAGAGTTAGACATAAGGCAACCTGCTCACTAGGAAACCTATGACAGCCAAGGGCAGGATCCCATTCATTCAAATGATTTTACCATTAGAACAACATATTGGAATAAAAGTCATTACAGATTGACTTGATGTAACTATTCCAGAGCATAAGACGGATTTCGATCAATAAACTAAGCCATTCCAAATCAACAAAAGTGATTCTAAATTTGTTTGTGGGCACTGGATATTCTGGACAAACTCCTGTGAATAATGTCATTTCCTTGGCACAACAAACCCTTAAATCTAGAAGCTTCAGGGCAAACTTCAGGGTCGTTCTGAACTCATTTCCCCACTACAGAGACCATTCCCTTGGGAGTTATGAGAAAATTCTGTCAAATGGTCAGATTGTGGAAGCATTAAATATCTGCCCTCCTTTTCTCTTCTTCACTGATGACTCCTCCTCTAGTGGCCTTATTTTCTGTTGGCAACATTTGACCTTTGTAGAGTAAATGTATCTGGAATATGTTGTTTTATGAAATGATACATTATTGGAGTAGGAATATTTGTCTTCAGGTTTTAAATATATGGCAAGATTTTTCTTTTTATTCAAGATTTTTCTATGGATCATGATTTCTAACTTGTTTTCTGTATCCTTAAAACCTATCTCTAAGTGGATGAGCCTAAGATTGTTGAACTACTTCAAGGAAAAAAACTCAAACCTTTATTTCTGGATCTAGTAAAATATATCAGTTTTACTAATTTTGGAAGAAATTAAGGTAATTTATTTATTCCTTTATTTATAAAGGAAATTTGTTTTTGAGAAGTGAAGACTAACAGGCCCTACTGAATGGTGAATTCACGTATTTATTAGCCAAGTTTTATCAGTAGGGAATTTTCAAAATCTAAAAATGTTTCAAATACTAGTCTTAATATCTCAAAAATCTTTACACTACATTTAAGAAATCTTTACACTACGCTTAAGTTATTCTTTGATTTTTACACATTTGAAATTGAGTTACATATAAATCTAAAGTATTAAACTTTATATTCAAAGAAAAGTTGCATATACATGCACACATAGTCTCTGCACTACTACAGTGGTCTTGTTCAATCCTTATTTAGGGACTCTGGGATAGGTGACATTTATTGTAATTTCTCCTGACTTTTTTATATTTATGTTATCATTGTTTATGCATGAGTATCAATAAGAAAATGAAAAGCAGTGAACATTATCTCACTAAACATCTTCCATTTCTTGGTTATTACGTACCCTGTCTTAACAGGCTTGTTTTCTTAAACTCCCCCACCCCACCCCACCCCATGGATCAAACTCAGGTCCTTGCACTTGCCAGGCAGGCACAGCGACACTGAACTACATCCCCGGCCCTGTTTTCTTTATGTTAAGCTACCTAAAGATTGGGGAACATGTCTGAAGATAATATAAAGTGTGAGCTTTGCCAGAAATCTACTGCCTTATTATAGCAGGAAGCAAAAATGGTAACACCCTGCACTGGACTTTCCATAGTCCTGAAAGTGCTTGCTTCCCTACTCCCATGCGTGTCAATAAATCCTTTGGATGAGGGATGGACTGTAGGAAGCAGGTCAACTTTCCAGGTTTTGGAGTGCATTTGTACACTTTTTGGAAAGGGAACATGATTGAGTGACTGGTCCACTTCACACTTAGAGTGACTTTTCAGACAAAAGCAAGATTGACCAGAGAACAGGTATGCTATGTCCAAAGCAGGTACTCAACGTCATGCTCCAGCTCTCTGTCATGAAAACTGACTCTGCACACAGCTACACAGACTTCCACTTGGGTGCATCAAGTTGGAAAGCATCAAAAGCACAACAAGACAGCATTGCATTCAAAAATGCAACATGATTTCAGGCAACACACAAAGGGTGGGATACCGTGGGGTCAGGAAATGATCAACTCTGACACAGCAAGCAGGCAGTGAGTGTTTACATGGCTTCTTAATCACCTTGCAAGGAGTTTGGGTCCAGAAGCTACATCTTCATGTTCTAAGAATACACAAGTTCATGGGCTGTCCCTCTTAGAGAAAGCTAAATTCCCTTACTTCTACAGTTAGCAGATTCAACAAATAAAAATGTCTGGTTGACTTTGAATTCCAAGCAACAAATAATTATTGTATTATGTCTCAGCTATTGTACGAAACATACTAAAAAAATCAATGTTTATCTAAAATTCAAATTCAACTGAAAGTCTTGTTTTTTTTTTAAATCAGGTAACTTTATCTGTAGGTATCTGCTCCCTGAAGGAAACACCTTTGAAAAAATAAAGGTAACAAAACAAAACAAAAAACCCCTAGGAATCATGTTGAGAAAAGGACTAAATTGGCAGGTATTTACTTTTGAGGGGATTGTAGAGAAACAATATAACAGACAAATGATCAGATAAAACAAATGAAGAACTTTGGTATGACTAACCATTGGGCATTAAAATTAAAATGCCCAAATTTTGGAATCATTAAGAACCTGAAAGAGTATGACTGTGTTGTTCTGATTAGTGTTTTATTTATTTTTCCTTGAAAATCTACATGGTCTATATAATTTCCCCCCGAAGGGAATATATTGTAACTAAATAACCATCAAAAGTTTGGAATTAGTCAGCTAAAATCAAATCAAGAACAACCACAGAATCCCACCATTTAAGTAGGTTATTCTTTGAAGATTTTGTGAAATACTCCCCCCAAAAAGATTAACTCAGGGCATTTTAATTAATCGCCCCATAGAATATCATTGTATATGTTATTATTGTAACATAAAATAATTTAGTATCACTATTGCTCTTGTGATTCTATAGGTATTGGGATGAAAATAAAGGTGGAAGAAGGTAGAAAAAAAGAAAAAAAGTAAAAAGTGGGCAAGTACACAGATTATTTTTCTTGAAAGTTTCTAGCCTATATATAAGCCTATTCACATCTCAATGAGAGGGAGAGGTCATTTCTTAAACAAAAAGATGGCGGTTTCTTTTAGAGTTCTAAGAAATGACTAGAAATTAAACTCAAGTAGGCACGTTATGAAACTATTCTTGTGCTTAGTAACTAAGGATTAGCAAATAATTTTATTACCTTAAGACTAACAAGTTATAACTAGAGAAGCATGAATATAGACTTTAACTTCTTTAATGATTTGATGTCCCAATTATTGAATAAAAGAGTATTAAATAATATTTAAATTCAAATAAATTTAGTTCTACAATGGATTTTGTCTGGGTTATTAGAAATTTCAGCATAGAAAGTGTATAAAATACAGAGAAATGTGAATATAAGGGGAAATACAAATACAAAGGGAAATTGGGCAATTTAAATGGAACAAGATACCAAAACTTAGCAATAATGGTCATTATATGGCTTCTGCAACTAAGATTTAGGGTAATAATATTCACTAATATTTATTTAGAATTATTTCTGTTGCCTATGTTTTAAAATATATTAATACTGAGCTTCTAATTCCTGCCTGTGCATGTATAAGGAGCGCTCTTGACCAGGAGAAAACTGACACTACCTAGTTTGCCATGACGTGATGACCAAAGAAAATTAAGAAATATAAAGAAATGAGAAATTTTAAAAATCCTAATATAGATTAGGGGGAAGAACTCTGGGGTGTCCAGTATTTAGTAGCAGCAGGAAAACTGTCTGGAGATCAGTGTTCATTTCAGGATGCATGGTATAACTACTTCAGCCAAGACACACGTCCACTCCAGCCAATGAAGTCAAATTAAAGTTAAAATCAAAATGAGCTTAGATGTGGAAAGTGTATGTAACTGAAAAGAGGAGGAATGGGATAGCAAGTAAAAATCCTAATACTGTTCTATCTCTGGTTCATCATTAATTTTTTCTTCCTCGGTGGTAGTGGGGATTGAACCCAGTGTCTTCACACTGAACTCTAGCCCCAGTTTTTATATTTTATTCTGAGACAAGGGCTTCTTAAATTACCAAGTGGCCCAGGGTGGGCTAGAACTGGTGATCCTCCAGCCTCACCCTCCAGGAGTACAAGGATTACAGGCATGCGCCAGCATACCTGGCTCAACTTGCCTTAAACTTGCTATCCAGCCCAGGCTGGTCTCAAACACATGACCCTCCTGTCTCAGCCTCCCATATGCTGGGATTATAGGAGTGCTCCACCATGCCCTGCTTCTGGTTCATCTTTGGTAAGATTGGAATGGAACTAATTTGATATTTTAATGAAATTTACCTGGAGCCCAGAAGAATTTTTTGCAGCCAGTCATCCGTGCATGTTCAGAGGAATTTAAAAAATGTATCTGTTTTAATAAATGCATTTGAGATGCATGTTCAAACTATCTGTACGAGGAAGATTAAGCTGTCTCATTGCAGAGCTCCCATTCTCATTCCTAACACATTTCTTACCCTATTGAATTATTTTCGGTGAAGTATTTCGTAGTGTGTTAACTCAAGGGTCCTTCTCAAAGCCGGGAGGCTGGCTTTGATGACAAACACACACACCAGCACACACCCAGTCTCAGCTCCATGGCACTCTCTCCCTGTGGTTATTCTGACCCAAGCCATACTCACAATGTTAGTGACATCTGGAGAGGCTCCGTTCTGCAGCAGAAGGAGGACAATGTTCAAGTGGCCCATGAAGGCAGCCACATGTATTGGTGTGAGGCCAGACTGCGAAACAAAGCGACAGCAGTTTTACTCCTCTGCACCCGCGAGGCTTTGGGGCTTCTTCAGATAAATAAAACTCGAGTGAAGAGGACAGAAGGTGGGTGAAAGGAAAGGGAGGAAGGAATAAGAGAAGGAACGCTTTGTGATGAGCTGGAACAGTGTTCTACCTCTGTGATAGCTTGGATTGAAGCCCCATATTTCACCAGCAGTTCCATGACTTTGATGCGGTTTTTCTTGCAGGCAATGTGCAGTGGAGTAAAACCGTTCTGTGCAAAAGACAATCAAGTTAGTCAAAAACATGCAGAAACGATTCTCACACAACTCCATGCTGGCACGTTGCAGGCAATCATGTCACATTGTCACACTGTGTCACCGCTTCTTCAAACTCTGCATGTATTGCTGGATTGGGAAGAAAATGTGGTGGTGTATTCCTGGGCGCACTGGCCTTCTGTGTGTAATGCTCTATGTGTGCTTATCAAGAAAACTAGAGGAAGAAAATACCCGAGATAACTCTTCAGAGAAGGAAAAGTGGAGGGGCAACTGAATTTCAGAAGCTCTGAGATATTTTAGGGCACACTGATTGGTCAGGTGAACTGAAGATGCACTGATGAGAAGCCTGTATCTGTATGATGAAGGCCATACAGGAATTGTTCAGTTATCTTCAAAACCTAAGGACATGATCGCCTCTATAATAAAGATTTCAGCTTTGCTACTATTTTCTTTAGACAGAAGGGTTTCAAATTAGGAGAGATCATCATTTATGCTGATGAAGCTATAATTTTATATTGAAAGTTTTTACAACATATAAGCCAATCAGATACATTGTTATAAAGAAGTGAAATATTTTCTTAAATATTTTTGAGGAAAGCATGGAGAATTTCTAGGATAACTCCAGAGGAAGGTGGAGAGTCTATAAGGTACTTTGTAACTTTGGTAAACAAGACTAATGTCCAGGAATTGGAGAAATTATGTAAAAGTTTAGCTCCATGCCTGATTGTTATATATTATATTTGTCACCTTTTTACTTAAATAATGATCTTTTATTGAGTTATATCTGTTCTGCCAGTTAACAATTTCGTATGTCCCAAGGGAGACAGATAATTAGGCAATATTTTTATATATTAATAGTTCTCAGAAAAGCATATAGTTAGTCTTACTTAAGCTAATGGCTTTTTCCTTCTCAAAGTGAAGTGATAAACAGTTTTCTCCATTTCCAGTATTTATAAGCTATATAATAAGCCAGATATAAACAGCCACATGTACCTATAGTACTTAAAATATCTGCAATTATTAAATTGTGCTTTTTTATAAGCTTATTAATCACTATCCAATTAAAATTAATATTTTCAATTTCCTGTGAGAAAATACCATCACATATTTGTCTATAACCCTGAAAATATATTCGCTTCCCAGATAATTATTAAATGGATTGCAATGGAAATTTTCAAATAAAAGTATTTGATGATTTTAGTGATATTTTTTCAGCTACTGATTGAAGAAGAACTTTAACTGACATAAATCATGTAAACATACAAGAAAGGGGATTTGCTTTTAGTTTGAGAATTAGGAAACAAGTGACATAAATTAGCACAAGCCTAATACTCCCAATGATTATTGTTAGAATATAAGTGAAATAAGGAAGATTTACGTGATATTAGACCTTGGGAGACACAGAAGCTGCTCTGGGGACTAAGCCAGGCAGTTTTCTCTTGAGCAATTCCTGGAATAGTTTCTATAAAATGCTTCCCAAAGCAATAATATAGCAGGTGTTGCTTTTCTATTAGCCATGGTTGGGAAGTCAGGTCAATAAGGAAACTCCACGTAGACTCTTCACAAGCTTCTATTTTATACTATCTACCATACTCAAATGGAGTCATCATCTTAAAATCTATTTTTTCCTCAAAGAAATTAATACAGTTCAACCTATTCAGGCAAGAATATACTTGTATTCTTGCTGTATCTCACATCTAGAGGAACACAGAACTGATTTTATAATTTCCTGTTTTTCAGGTTCTATTTTCCATATAAATCGCTGATCTGCCCACAGTTTTATACCTACCTGTCCACAACTCTCTGGTTTCAGAAACGTTACTCTGGTGCTCTCTTGCATCTGCCCTTGCTTACTATCATTTAGCAGGAAATAATGGAGGCAGGAGGTAGGCAAGCAATACATGGGAAGTGACAAATGGGGCCAGATCAACCGTGTGTCTGTCAATGTACATTGCTGGTGTAGGTGCCACTGGTCAATCCCTGTGGATCTGCTTGTTTTGGGCTTTATTCAGCTGAAATGGACTGGGCCAGGTTTACCAGGGCTCTCGCATTTGGATTGGCTCTCTTGTCCAGAAGGAGTTTGGTGACGCGGTAGTGGCCACAGTGTGCAGCAACGTGGAGGGCCGTCAGGTAGTCCAAGGTGACATCGTCGACAGGTGCCTTGTGCTGCAGCAGGTGCTTCACACACTCCACGTGGTCTCCCTGTGCAGCCATGTGGAGCGGGGACAGCCCATTCTGCACAAAACAACACCAAGGCCACTTTTTAATTATTCTTTTCAGGTTCTGAAATGCAGCAAAGTCAGTTCTCCGTCTATAACACAGTTTGTGGCAGGAGAAAAAATATGTTTCATTAAATGTCTGGATTAAAAGCAGATTGAGGGGAAGGGAAGCAGAGAGGAAATTTATATTTATAATTATGCATCTCTTAGGCAAACCCATATTAATTAATGTTTTGTATTAATGAATAATATGTGTGGAAAATCAATTGTTAGGGTAATATTAGATATACAGACACTGGTGATAGCTGATGCTTAAATTATTTGTGTTTGATTTTACACATAGCAGTTACATTCAATGAATCTCTCTAATGACATTTCTTTGCTTATAAAAGAGGAAAGCTGGGTGAAGGAGGAGCAAGGAGGTGGTTCAAAGGGGAAAGTGAAATTCGGTCATCTCTGATCATGAAATTCTATGATTCCCTTTTCAAATAATACTATGAGACAATGTGGACTCAGAGAGAGGGAAGAGCCAGAGAGAGTGAAGCTCGGGTGGACCATTTGTCGTGATCTCACGACTTTTAAATGTGGGAATGATCTAAATTAATCACCATAATGATGCCCCAAACAGCTGCACCCTTAATTCTAAGAAACACAAGGCAACAGGGTAAGGCACTGGTAGTCATCACTCTAAGACATCCTTTTTTAAAAGGCTAAAGAAAATTCAAAGAAATATATGTAAAATTAGGAAATCAAATGAATTAGAAAAACATTTACCCATTCAAGAGACTGGATCATTGTTTTTTCTTAACAACCAATCCAAGTATGGTCTCTATAAAAATGACTGTTACATAAATGATTAAACAGTTTGATAATCATTACAGTCAAAAAGATAGAAATTGTATCTGAATAAGATGCCAGAAAAAAGCCCACAGCTCAATATTCTCAAAAGGGAAAGTGAGTTCAACAGTAAAAAGCAGCTAAAAACAAATACACTGAAATCTCTTCTTTTGTTAGCACACGTTTCCGGGACATAATGATCACATTCCTCGCATGGAGTTGCCATGTATGAGTATGCGACGCATCTTAATTCCTTTTTTCAATCCCCTTTCCTGCCCTTCTCTCCTTCCCTCCATGTCTTGACGCCTTCCCATTCAAGAAAGATCCTTACTTCCCATCACCTTCTATTTTGCTCTTTATTTATATTTTGGGGTTCTCATAGAAGAAAAGCCATGTGATATTTAAGCTCCCGTGTCTGATTTATTTCACTTAACATTGTGGTCTCAAGGTGCATCCATTTCCCTACAAATGACTTGGGTTTATCTCTCTTTATGTGGCAGTTTGTGGATAGTAGAGTTCAAGTGACTTAAATAATGTTCCTCTTTATTTCTGAAATAATCTTCATTTACAATTACTGCTTTCATGTTTAGAAATCCATAAAATGAACCTAGAAAAGAGAAGCAGGCTAATGAGAAGGTGTCTATGCACTGGAGGGAGACAGTGTTGTTTGCAGGAGAAAGAATGGGACTTGAGACCCTAACCCTAAGTGAAGTAAGTCAGACACAGCAAGTTTAATATCACATGGCTTCTCTTAGAAGAAAATCCAAAGTATAAATAAAGGAAAATAAAACAGAGATAGTAGGAAACAGGAGGTAGACTTTTAAAGACAGGGAAAGGGATAAGGGTAAGGGAATCTAAAATGATTAAGATATGATTTATATATGTACCAGTTCCTCAAAATGAATGGGACTAGTATGTGTTGCAAACATACACTAATTATGTTTTAAATGTAAAACAAATCCAGGCCTTGACAGTGTTTAGACTGAGAATTAAAATACATATTATCATAGAAAGTCATCAACACCAAAGAGAAAAATGAAAGCATGGAATGTCCGAAAGAATTTGTGGTTATGAATGCAATGTTTTTAAGGCGGCCACAATGCCTTACTGAGAAGGTGAATGATGGCATGACGAAAGCCGAGGCGGGGATAGAGGAGGCAGAAGGGAGGCAAACACTGTGTCAGGCTGGGACACACGTGATACCAGCCGAGGAGAATGTGGCTCCAGGTAAGAAAACTGGGCGGCAGCATGAGGAGAGGAATTCGAAGAGGTCAGGGCCTTCTCAAGTCAGAGCAGTGCTTGGCATTTGACTTGGGGACAGATGAGGCTGGATGAAGGGCTAGGGCAAGGGAATTACCCTGGCTGTTGGGTTAAGAACAGACTAGGCTGGAGGGACAAGAAGGCAGGTCAATGAGGGACCTCGTGCAGCCATCCAAATGGGATGGTGACCTGGACCCAAGTGGTGGTCATTGTTGGCAAGCTGCTGACTTAATGATACATTCTGAAGGAGGAAGCAACAGGGTTTGTGAAAAGTAAGAATAAGACATGAAGTATTTGGTCTGAAAAACTAAAAGGATGGAAAGGCCATCAATTGAGATAAGAACGACTACAGGGGAATTAGGGTTAGGAGTGGGGGAAAATATCAGATGCTTAATTTTGGACTTACTAAATTTAAGATGTCCAGTAGATATCCACACAGTAATAGTGAGTTGACATCAACATATGGAATTCTAGAAATATGTACTATGTGCCACCACCAGGATGTATGCTTACTTAGAGATGGAACTGCATGAGATTTCATAGTAAGTAAACTGGGGGAGGTGGTAAGGAGGGAAGGAGAGAGGGAGAGACAGGGAGAGGGAGGGAGAGGGAGAGAGAGGGAGG